TTCTTCTTCTTCTTCTTCTTCTTCTTCTTCTTCTTCTTCTTCTTCTTCTTCTTCTTCTTCTTCTTCTTCTTCTTCTTCTTCTTCTTCTTCTTCTTCTTCTTCTTCTTCTTCTTCTTCTTCTTCTTCTTCTTCTTCTTCTTCTTCTTCTTCCCTTCTTCTTCCTTCTTCTTCTTCTTCTTCTTCTTCTTCTTCTTCTTACTTCTTTCTTCTTCTTCTTCTTCTTCTTCTTCTTCTTCTTCTTCTTCTTCTTCTTCTTTCTTTCTTCTTCTTCTTCTTCTTCTTCTTCTTCTTCTTCTTCTTCTTCTTCTTCTTCTTCTTTCTTCTTCTTCTTCTTCTTCTTCTTCTTTCTTCTTCTTCTTCTTCTTCTTCTTCTTCTTCTTCTTCTTCTTCTTCTTCTTCTTCTTCTTCTTCTTCTTCTCTTCTTCTTCTTCTTCTTCTTCTTCTTCTTCTTCTGCTTCTTCTTCTTCTTCTTCTTCTTCTTCTTCTTCTTCTTCTCTTCTTCTTCTTCTTCTTCTTCTTCTTCTTCTTCTTCTTCTTCTTCTTCTTCTTCTTCTTCTTCTTCTTCTTCTTCTTTTCTTCTTCTTCTTCTTCTTCTTCTTCTTCTTCTTCTTCTTCTTCTTCTCTTCTTCTTTTCTTCCTTCTTCTTCTTCTTTCTTCTTCTTCTTCTTCTTCTTCTTCTTCTTCTTCTTCTTCTTCTTCTTCTTCTTCTTCTTCTTCTTCTTCTTCTTCTTCTTCTTCTTCTTCTTCTTCTTCTTCTTCTTCTTCTTCTTCTTCTTCTTTCTTCTTCTTCTTCTTCTTCTTCTTCTCTCTTCTTCTTCTTCTTCTTCTTCTTCTTCTTCTTCTTCTTCTCTTCTTCTTCTTCTTCTTCTTCTTCTTCTTTTCTTCTTCTTCTTCTTCTCTTCTTCTTCTTCTTCTTCTTCTTCTTCTTCTTCTTCTTCTTCTTCCTTCTTCTTCTTCTTCTTCTTCTTTCTTCTTCTTCTCTTCTTCTCTTCTTCTTCTTCTTCTTCTTCTTCTTCTTCTTCTTCTTCTTTCTTCTTCGTCTTTCTTCTTCTTCTTCTTCTTCTTCTTCTTCTTCTTCTTCTTCTTCTTCCTTCTTCTTCTTCTTCTTCTTCTTCCTTCTTCTTTCTTCTTCCTTCTTTCTTCTTTCTTCTTCTTCTTCTTCCTTCTTCTTCTTCTTCTTCTTCTTCTTCTTCTTCTTCTTCTTCTTCTTCTTCTTCTTCTTCTTCTTCTTCTTCTTCTTCTTCTTCTTCTTCTTCTTCTTCTTCTTCTTCTTCTTCTTCTTCTTTTTTCTTATCTTCTTCTTTCTTCTTCTTCTTCTTCTTCTTCTTCTTCTTCTTCTTCTTCTTCTTCTTCTTTCTTCTTCTTCTTCTTCTTCTTCTTCTTCTCTTCTTCTTACTTCTTCTTCTTCTTCTTCTTCTTCTTCTTCTTCTTAGCCTTCCATGTCAGTAAACTTCTGATTGTCCACATCTTAGCTTTGGTCTTGTTCCAGAACCTGAGTTTTGAGTGCACATCTGTTTTACATATATCTGGCTTATTTAAATGTAAACTGTTGGTTCCTCGCCTCCCAGTCAGGTGCGCTCCAACTTCGAAGAAAACATCCTTAATTAGTCGGCTTTTACGACATTCTTGTCAGGTGGCATTGGGTCTATGCATTTTTCTCCACAATGAGGCCCCGCAAACACACAGGCTATCACAGTCTTACCTCAGAGATCTTCCTTCTCTGTCATCTTACCTGAGAGATCTTTATTCTCTGTTATCTTGTCTAAGAGATCTTCCTTCTCTGTCATCTTGTCTGAGAGATCTTCCTTCTCTGTCATCTTGCCTGAGATATCTTTCTTCTCTGTCATCTTGCCTGGTGTATCTTCCTTCTCTGTCATCTTGCCTGATATATCTTCCTTCTCTGTCATCTTGCCTGAGATATCTTCCTTCTCTGTCATCTTGCCTGAAATATCTTCTTTCTCTGTCATCTTGCCTGAGATATCTTCCTTCTCTGTCATCTTGCCTGAGAGATCTTCCTTCTCTGTCATCTTGCCTGAGATATCTTCTTTCTCTGTCATCTTGCCTGATATATCTTCCTTCTCTATCATCTTGCATGATATATCTTCCTTCTCTGTCATCTTGCCTGAGAGATCTTCCTTCTCTATCATCTTGCCTGAGAGATCTTCCTTCTCAGTCATCTTGCCTGAGATATCTTCCTTATCTGTCATCTTGCCTGAGAGATCTTCCTTCTCTATCATCTTGCCTGATATATCTTCCTTCTCTGTCATCTTGCCTGAGAGATCTTCCTTCTCTATCATCTTGCCTGATTTATCTTCCTTCTCTGTCATCTTGCCTGAGATATCTTCCTTCTCTGTCATCTTGCCTGAGAGATCTTCCTTCTCTATCATCTTGCCTGAAATATCTTCCTTCTCTGTCATCTTGCCTGAGAGATCTTCCTTCTCTGTCATCTTGCCTGAGAGATCTTCCTTCTCTGTCATCTTGCCTGAGAGATCTTCCTTCTCTATCATCTTGCCTGAAATATCTTCCTTCTCTGTCATCTTGCCTGAGAGATCTTCCTTCTCTGTCATCTTGCCTGAGATATCTTCCTTATCTGTCATCTTGCCTGAGAGATCTTCCTTCTCTACTATCTAACATGCATAAATTCACAGAAAACACTCTTCCATGCCATGAAAAACGGCTGTCAAGAATTCTCTCTCTCTCTCTCTCTCTCTCTCTCTCTCTCTCTCTCTCTCTCTCTCTCTCTCTCTCTCTCTCTCTTCTATGTCTCTCTCCCACTGTGTGTGTGTATGTTTATGTGTGTGTGTGTGTGTGTCCCCACAGATCTTTCCAACATATTTTACTGTTTATATAGTGGCAAAAATTATGACTGCCTCTTTCTGAAAATGTGTGCTCAATTATCTTCGGGTCTTAACTCTTTCGAAGCATCTGGATTACTAATTTTTGTCTGTCTAACAAATGCTGAGCAATATTCTTTAAAATGACACTCTGATGTCTCCATTCATTTAGCTTTTTTTTAATTAATTGTGAAGATTTAGCACCATATAACAGAACTAATTCAATGTAATGTACAATGATTCTATTTTTTTTTTGGTCCTTCCCTCTAATGACAGCTGTTTATTTTATCGGATGCTCTTCCGTTTATATATTCTGTGCGCTGGATATATTCTGAGTATTTTCTGGATATGTTTTAAACGTATTCTGAATATATTCTCAATATATTGTGGACATTTTCTGGATAAATACACCTACCCAAATGGTAACCGATGTGGCGTAGCGGCTCGACACTCGCTTGTGGCCCGAAGGTGGTGACTTCAAACCCGCATCGAGTAATTTTTTCCCCTCCAAAAATGACAATGGCTCTAGTTGACCTAGCCTAAACGGGTACCAGGCAAAGTCATATGAAGTAAATGCGGCCTGCTCAATGCTAGCCATATCTCTCAGCGAGTGTCAATTGGTCTATAAAATATAGGTAAAACACTATATACCCAATACAACCAAGAACATGAAAAAGGGTTCTTTAAAATTTACCTTTACCAACAAGGGGGAAAGTCGGATAAAGTCGAGAGATGTGAACCAGCGACATTGCACACGGTTATAAAACATAAGTGCTCTTCCACCAGTACGGACAGTTGATAAGAAACTGACCGCCTGTGTCGCCGTCCGCACGAAACTCCGTCGCCTACAGCGACTTTCCTCTATTTACCCCGGAGTGTTAGCTCTTGTATCCATTCCCCGGAGGCTGGGTGAACCCCGGAAACCGTCCGGTTTCGAACACGGTCTGTGGGCTGCATAGAGTGGCAGTTAGATTTTAAAGCGAGTCTCCTATCGACTGCGCATAAATTGGAGAACAGGAAGGAATTAAAATTAAGGGATTTAAAAAAAATGCTGTAATGTTGAAAGTGAGCGTCTCAGAAGAAGCAGACTAAATACTTGTGGTGGCAACAACGGTCCTGAAATCCTATGCTATAAGTGTTAAAGGCGTTTTCACGCGGGCAGGTCTTGCTAGTCACACTCGCCATCGAATTGGACTGTGATTTCTTTGCGTTCCCATAGCGTACTATAACACTATCGTCTCAAAAGACAGAAAGGTGTCAATCAACACACCGGACTGGGGGTTGCTTCGTAATTGCCGTGTTCCCCAATATAACTGATAGACAACTCACCAAGCCGGGCCCACACAGAGATTGACTTCCCTTCCATGGTCCTGTCGTAAGGCCTGTCCTATGTTGCGGAGAGTGCTACGCTCGGCGAGCGTCCAGCAACACAATGAATTTTACCCAGTTGTACAACTTCGTGAGTTGTTACTGTGCTTTATACAGCTGAACTGGAGTTCCGGGACTTGTACCGGCGGTGTGATTCTTCTCCTTGAGGTGTTAATCCCATAAACTGCACGGGAAACTTAAGATCCTATTTTTTTCTCTTATAAAAGATCATAGTCTTTTGACAGCAACAATTCATATTTTTGCCTAATTTCCTTATATAATAGAGGTGACAGGAAATTGGGTGGTATTTTCTTGGATAGTAAAAGTAAAGAACACCTTTCCATTCCTTTACATGTATTGGGCATATAGGGTTAGATCTTTATTTAACAGACCAATAGGCACTTTGGTGGGTGATTCAGTCAGGACAGGTTCTTGATTTACTTTTACAGGTTCAGTAAAGTGTCAACAGTTTAAGAGAAAAAGGGAAGTGCCAGACCTTCACGAAGTCATTGAGGCTTTGAGCCTATGAAGCTAGTCTAATATTTGTATAAATCAAATGACACTCAACGAGTGATGTGCTCAACAAAACTCCTTTACCTTTCAAAGTATTTCCTGATACCCACATTAGTTTGGGTAGATCAGTGAACTCTAGGGCAAGCATAAAACTCCGACTCGCCACACTTTCGAACCTGCGACTTCCGGACCGGCATGCTAGTGTTTAGCCACTGCTCTTCAGCGGCTTAGCAACAATTAATACTACGAATTTGCTCTGTTCACAGAACACCGTGACTGCTGAAAATGACGGCATTAGGTTTAATTCTAACCCTAATGGTGGGACTCTGTGAAGCCAACATCTGGGAAATCCCTTTACCCGATCACACCAAAGAATGTTACAAAAAAGTGCAGTCTGCGGACATTCAGACGTATGTAGGCAGTACACTCAGCTGGCTGTGTGAAAACAGCATCGGAAATGGTCAGCAGGACAATCCTGGGCAGCTGGATGCCCAGAAGATCAGGTCAATATCATCGTTGTTTTGTAACTATCCCTATCATCACAGGACAGTCGCATGGGTCATTCTCACCATGATCATCATCATCATCGTCTGTGTATTTAGGCCCTCATTGCTTGCAGTTTCACAAGGCGGCAAAATTTTGGATCTGTAAAATTCCACAACTTATTGTCGGTAGTCTGTAAACGAATATCGATGCTGGGGTTTAGCTGAGGGAAGATGGGGCGTAAAATAAATGGCTGCACAGGGGGCGTAATACACTCTAAATATGGTACTGTGGCTTAATAAGTTTTGTGTCGTAATATCAAAATACTAGGGTTTAGAGTCAACTGCAAGAAATTTGGCAGCAAATCGCTTTACGTCGATTTGACAACGGTACGGCCGCATTATCGTTTAGTATGCAATGGCAAATGCCGAAAATAAAATTGCCTATTAAAACCACAAACAGCCAACAAATGTAAGTGTTGATTTGGAGCGTATTATACATGCACAGTATGTTCTGTCAATAGCAACACAAACATTCCATATTTTTATTTCGACCGTAGCTTTAAAGACTGAATACTTTCCCCCTCCGCTGTATGAGACGCATTCTTGTTATATCCTTAAGAGACCTTGTCCCTGACGAACTTGTACTCAGAAGAACAGGAATGCCAACAATGTACTTTCTATTGACGCAAAGATGACTGCATTAGTTTGGACATTTCTCTGGCATGGAGGACAGTGGCATTCCAAAGTACGGTAAACTGATAACAAGGAAAAGATCTGCAAGGAGTATAAGGCTACGCTATAAGGACACAAGCAAACGCTACCTGACGGATACCAATATTGCCACAGATCAGCGATAGACCGAATCCAACGGAGGCACATAATAGCTGACGTAGTTTTTTTTTTTTTTTAATTGAAGAATGGGGAGGGGGAAAAGTGAACTTCTCCCCCCCCCCCCCCCCCCCCCCCAAAAAAAAAAAATTGACGTTTTCAAGTATACTATGTTGCAGAGCCTGCCACTCCAGCAATGATCTTTACAGTCAAGGCAGAGACGTTGTTATAAAAACCAGGGACAGAACTTCATGGTCCGTAGTGACTGTGATTTCCTGACGTAACGTAATGGCAAAAATGGGTTCGAATTTGAACCAACGTGAATTGTTAAAACTGACCGCCGACTGGCTTTTGTTTGCCCGGTCGCTCAATGACAGGTTCTAAAGTCCCTCGTGGAAGTCGCTGTCGTGTTCAGGCTTTTTGATCACCGTCTTCGTCTGTTTGTGAACGTGTTTTCAGGTATACTGTCAATACTTGTCCGTCAGTGACTTTTAATTATTAGTTGCGTATCCTTTACAGGATGTTGCAGAACCAACCCCAACAGCTCCTGGCTGTTGTGTGTGTTTTCTTCTAGGCAAATTTACGTCCAGTAGTTTGCCATTGCTTTCTAGACAGTAAGCTTTCTTGATACCACTGTCGAAACAAACGCAAGGTGCAGCTGGGATCGAACCCGGCATCCCTGCATTACGAAGCGTTCTCGTCGACTTAGCCACAGAGCCGACTAGTTACTATTATCACTCTGATATAACCAGTCAACTCTGTTGGATGAAATTTTTCGTCATTTTAAAACCCGTCCTGGTTATTGCCAGGGGCCGCATTATAGCCCGACCATAAATATGGTCTAATGGCTGAACGCGGTTTCCAGGACCTCTCCACATGGTGGCACTTTGTGTCATCGGGTGTTTATCGCTTGTTTGATGTTGTAGTGAAGTAAAATGTACTACTACTACTATCATCACTCAAATTCGTAATTTTCTACTTGGTTCACCGGTTGTAAGCTCTAGCAAAAACCCTGGTTGTTCGTCCATTTGGACTTGAGCTTTGTGCCAGGGCCTGAGTTGTGCGTGTACACCCGTTTTACTGACTAATTCGTCTACAGTTGGTTGCCCCTTGCTACTCAGGCAGATGAGCTCTGACTTCAAAAGAAGTCCCCAGTAAGTCGACTCTTACGACAAGCTAGTTTTAGGGAGGCAGTGGGTCTTTTCTTGGTTTTCCCTGAAAGGGACCCCGGAGCCCACACGGGGAACTCAGACACTGTCCATAGGCACACAGGTCTCTGATATAGGATTTTTTAAAAATCGTATTTAAGAGCCAAGAAAATAAAAGGAGCCTTACCCTCCCCTTTAAGGCGTAATTTGCATTTAGGACTAGGCCTATATTTTATAGAGAAAGGAATTCGGTGGGTGATGTGGTCAGCATCACCTTTTCTTCCCAAGACTACACCTAGTACCCACTCAAGGCTGGGTCGACCTCGGAGCCAAGGTCGAAAAAAGTCCGGCTCATTCAGGACCCGAAATCACGACCTTTCGATTCGCAGGCGAGCGTCTAGCTGCGACACCACGGTGACTCCCATCGTGTTCATGCCTATGTTTATTAATTTGCAAATGAATGCAAATACGTACGCATCCTCACCTATCCTGTATTTCATTCAAGTCAACGTAAACACTTTCCCCCTTTCCTTAAAAGACTATCATCGTCATGAAACATGTTCTTTGTAGAACGTCGCTCTCATATTCTGTGTCCATCTTCGTGTGGGTCGGCCCCTGTCCGCTTTCCTGGTGTCATGCCCACCGCTACTGTTCTGTTAAAGCCATAGCAATTTATGTGGCCAAAATATTCCAGTTTCTGAGACAAAAAGTTGTTTACCAGCCAATCTTTCTTGATGTGTTGATACTTTAGGATGTCAGTATTCTTTTTCTCTTGGCTTATGGTATTCTAAGAAATTTTCTATAGCATCTGAATTCAAACGCCTATATTTTCTACCTTTATGAGTACGAGATAATTAATGATACACATCAGTATTTGAGAATACGTGAAAAAAAAAAAAAAAATACAAATGTCACCTATTTGATTGAAGTCTTGGCTTGGCTTGCCTTACGGATAAAAAAAAGGTCACCTTCAGCCGGCATAATTGCAACTAGGTTATGCGCGTCATATATATATATATATATATATATATATAATATATATATATATATATATATATATATATATATATATATATATATATATATATATATATATATACTAGTTGTACCCGGCCACGCGTTGCTGTGGCATAGTTTGGCTAAATGGAAATGAAAGAAAATAGAAAACGCACGTGTCTAATACAATCATTGTTTTGCTCAGATATAGAGATAGTCTTTGATCCCCGCCCCACCACCACAACTAAATCCACCTACTACTATCTCCCTCATCAAAGGTTTTTTGGAAAAGAAAGACAATGGAAATCGCACGTGTCTAATACAGTTAAATGTCGCAATCATTCTCTGCACGGATATAGCGATAGTCTGGTCTTCCAAATTTAGAACACGCACCTTATAATTGTGTCTTTATATTAGTGGTCGTTTAAATGGTGTTATTAGCACAGTAACAAAAATGGTTATTTGGTTATCACATGCTAAAGCTGTTTGTATTTTTATAGAGGACGGAAGTAAAGCTACAACTGTACTTGTGAATAACAAAGTAAGTCGTAAAAAATAGAAAAGCGGAGGTAGCGTTAGTAAAATATAAACAAATTAGGTAATGAGAACTTGAAAATCAAGTGTAAAGCTCTTTAATTTCTCTTAAATTTAAGTCATTACCCCCTCCCCTCTTCCACCGGCTACTGCTCTCTCCCTCTTCGAAGGATTTGAAAATCACTAACTGGCGATATTTTGTTGTTGCTGTAACTGACATTGACATCCCTGTCCATCTGGACTAAAATAGGGAGCAGGAATTGTAAAAGGTAGTGAATAGGGCTAGGGTAATATTTACCACATCATCCTTCAAGTACCAGTACAACTACTAAAATAATGTCACTGCTATCTGTGTTACCATCGGAGTAGACAGAGAGTCGTGAGCCAGAAGATTTGGTTCCGCATGGCTAGTGCTGTCGCCACAGACTGGTCAGGTTAGGATGTATAATTTCACTTGCCGACAGAAGAACGCCATAACCTTACCGGCGGTCTTCACATGAGAGCACTATGGTGTAACAGCCCTGGTGTTAACAACTATTACTGCTGCTGCTACTTTAAGTGGGTAAAGCCGTTACTGTGACTTAAAACTCTCTCAGTTAATAGTTTGCCCCCCCCCCCCCTCCCCCCAAATTCACCGACAACTCTTTCCCTCATTGAAGTAGTTGGGAGAAAAAAAAAAAAAAAAAAAAAAAAAAAAACAGCAAAGCAAAACGAACACAGGAAAAAAAACACCATAATTAGGAAATGAACGCCATTGTAAACAGCACAGCTTAAAATTCCAACACAAATGAAATAACTAAATCTAAATGAAAATAAATGAAAATCTATAAAATTTCAGCGTAACCATGCAATCGGAAAGTTTAACAATGCAATCATAAGTATGCGAAATGGTCAAATTTAATTATCAAATGGTTTACCCATTTACTTTTTTTTTTAAATATTAAGGCAACATGGCTAGTGCTGTCACCACGGCAGAGCAGATGAGGATATTATTTTAGTCCGGGGCAAAAAAAAAATTTAACGACTGCGGATTCGAACCCAGGTCTACCGCACATGAACCCATTGTTCTAACCATTCGACCAAGCAGCCATTTAATCGGAACAACGAAAAGGGAACTCAACTATTAGACATGTGAGTCCATACTACTGTGTCGCGATTAAAACACAATTCAAAACCGCAGGCAATTGTTTTCTAGTAGACAGATACTCCAGATATATTACTGAAATAGGAATCGCACGTGTCTAACACGGTTATTGTCGCAGTCACTGTCTGCGCTGACGTCGAGATAGTCCTTCTTGATACCCCCCATACACCCCCCCATACACCCCCCTCCCCCCCCCCCACCCCCCCCCCCCCCCCATGAGTCCCCCCCCCCCCCCCCCCCCCCCCCCCCATCGAATGTTGTTTGGAAAAAAAAAACAGAAAATAGAAATCGTGTTTAATATGGTTATTGTGGCAAATATAGAGATAGTCTTGTTTGCTGTACCACGACCTACTCTATGTATTAGTATTAGAGAAGGCGTTGGCAGCAGTAACTCGCCGGCGAATGGTAAATACAGCGCATGCGCAATTACTAACGTGGCTATAATTAGAAATCACTAAAGTTATAAATATTAGTTGCGTATATTTTGGCATATATTGTGGTCACCTATCTCTAACAGTGACAGGTTGAATTTCAAACCACGACAGTTAAAAATCCGGTATCACAACAAACATATCCTGAAAATTTCAGCTAAATCGGTTCAGTAGTTTCCGAGTCTATAGGGGTGAAACAAACACACAAACATTGATTTATATATATATATATATATATATATATATATATATATATATAATATATATATATATTATATATATATATTATATATATATATATAAAAGGCTTAGCGTTACTGGCCACCGAAAAAGACACAAATACCTTCCCTACCGGCGACTAAACCGTCTACCAATGGGTCACCAGGTCACCGATGTTGACTGAAGTCGCTGAAGGTATACCCTTTTCTCTTATTCACCATCATCCTTATCATCAGGTATCCTGCCGAAACGTGTTGGTTGTTATGTTTGGCCATCTCAGACGATTATCAGAACAAGTTCATGTCTCGCTTTATCCATACAGCCAAACCACGCAGATCATTATCTCTTGACTTCTTCTCATAGTTTCTCCTTCTATATCGCCAGCTGTTACTAAGGTCTCGGGTGCATTCCCTCTCATAACATGTAAAGGGGAGAAAACACTGACACGATATCTTGAATTAGGTGTTTTTTCGGCTCGTTCGCTGATTGTTTATGTCTCACGTGCAGTTAACAACACAATTTCTGTATAGCACTTGAATACTTTTTTTTTCCATGTCTGCAATGTATATCTTTTTATTGGAACGTATCTTTTGTATCATCAAGCTAAAGACTAGTTCTGTGATGGTAATTCTTGTTCACAGAGCAGCTTATCTCAGATTATCGTTAAGTCGTACCTATGTGGGATGCAATTTTTAGTTATAATGAAGCCCTATCCTGGTGGGGTACAACTTTCCTACCGACATCTTACCTCAGATATCATTGATTGCTCGGAAAAGGTTTAATTATCTTATGCATGTTTATTTACTGAGGAACATATGCAAATAATATACGGATGCTTACTCGTCACCAGCTATTACAAGCATCTACTGGAAAGCTCCGCCCAATACCTCCCCAACAACACTCAAGGAACACCTGTTTCCAGACGCAGACGACAGGCCACTCGTCAACGGTGTGTGCGGAAAGAGTACAGGGTGTTAACTGACGAGGAGAGGACGCGCTTCCATGACGCCATCAACACCCTTAAAAGAGACACAGTCAGTAATATTGTTTATTATTGTTATTAGTAATATCATCATCGCCGTTATAATAATTACTGTCATCAACCTCCTCCTCCATTGTTCATTGTACATTTTTTATATTTTTGACATCCTCTTCATCCCGCATAGGACATGACCATAAGTGCTCCGATCTCCTCCTGAGTATGTTTGCAAGTGTTCTGGTTGGTGTCATGATGGGAGGTGGGGAGCTGCAGGTGGTACACCTAGGGTATGCAGTCTATTCAGTGAAAAATCATTTTTTCACGAAACTAGAAGCCTCACAGCATTTAGTTCTCGTATGGCATTGATGATGTCTCTCTTGTCCACAGAGGACCCATTTCTGACAGTTCCACTGTCAGCTAGAACGTCTGTTCTCTCAATGCCTTTCACACCAGAATCCCCTGGGACAAAAAATGAAAGTGATTTTGCGAAACTCTGCGTGCTTTATCAGATGGAGCCACTGTTTCCGCATGTACCCCGCCTAGATCTTTTGCACCATGTTTTTTGAGTCGCCGAGCAAGCTAGCATTGATGAACTTGTGAGTTTTCAGCCATTCTAGGGCCTTTATCACAGCCATGACCTCCACTGTCATGCTGCTGGTGGTAAAAACAAAGGCTCTACTGTCTTTTTTAATGACTTTCTCTTTGATTCTTGCCGTGAAAGCCCACACACTTCGCCCTCTGACGAATCACAAAGCCATCTGTATAGATACCAGCATCTTCCGGTGACGTGTGTTCCTCCATATAATCATCATCATCCCTGTAAGGTAGTCATTGTCAAAAGCATTCTCACACAGAAAAGACTGACCATGAAATGAATCGCAATGAATATTCAGAATACATGAAATACATATTTGACGAGGACTGCAAATAAAATCCTACACAATGGCTCTTTGTGTTGTTGTATATACTTGAATCTTCAGTCGTAATGCATGTGTTTACCATAGTACTGTGTATTCAGTATAGTTGCAACTTGTGTCCTATATGATTGAGTCTCATATACTACATGTCTGTACTGGGTTATTTTACATGCTTGCACCACGCGTTCTAAATCTTTTCAACTTAAGTTCTAAATGTTCGCGCCTCATGTTCTACATGTTTGCACCTCATGTTCTACATGTTCGTGCCTCATGTTCTACATGTTTGCACCTCATGTTCTACATGTGTGCACCTCATGTTCTACATGTTTGCACCTCATGTTCTACATGTGTGCACCTCAAGTTCTACATGTTCGAAAAAAAAGAGTTACTAAAATACATTTAAAAAATACAATTAAAGCAACTTTAGTCACATAAAAAGACATTACGTTGGTTGCGTATCCGTTACAGGACGTTGCAGAACCAACCCCAGCAGTTCTAACTGTTGGGTTTTTCTAAGCAAGGAAAATAAGAGGTGGAAGGACAACATCAAGAGATGGACAAACAACAGTCTGAGAGAGTGTACTGTCAAGACAAGGGACAGCGAGTGTTGGAGATCTACTGAGGCCAAGTTTCATTGCGGAGACCTTTTCTAATTAATTGTGTGTTTTTTTTTTTTCATTTGCGGCATTTGTTTTCAAGAAATCTGATTGATTAGTTTTTTGCATTTGTGGCATTTATTTGTAAAGAAATAACAACTATGATACGATATAGAGAAAAGCAAGATGGTAAACATAGATAGGTGATATTTTATTGTTTCTGGAGTCCATTTAAGAAAGTTAAGAACCTAGTTATTATAAAAGTGAAACAGTATACTGATTTGTTTCTGACATCCATTTCAGACAGTAACACTGCGTTCATAGGTTCGTGAAACTTAAAAGAAATGTGATGTTCTATTTCAGACAGTAGAACCCAATAAATACGATGCCATAGCTCTCTTACATGTGTCGGCAGTCAATTCCGCTCACGCTGGAGCCGGATTCATGGGGTGGCACAGGATCTACCTCCTGATGTAAGTGCGCTTGTGGCAGACATAAGCATGTTCATTCATTCTATTGCAGTCTTCTTCTTCGTTTGTCCATCCTAGTCTATTACTGCATGCCACTACTACTGCCATGACTATCACTACTATTATTACTTCCTCTGCTGCCACTACTTTTGCTACTGTGCTCCTACATCAACTAATTGCTACTGTTCTCCTACATCAGCTAACTGATTCTGTGCTCCTACATCAACTAACTGATTCTGTGCTCCTACATCGACTAATTGCTACTGTGCTCCTACATCAGCTAACTGATTCTGTGTTCCTACATCAGCTAACTGATTCTGTGCTCCTACATCAACTAACTGATTCTGTTCTCCTACATCGACTAATTGCTACTGTGCTCCTACATCAGCTAACTGATTCTGTGCTCCTACATCAGCTAACTGATTCTGTGCTCCTACATCAACTAATTGATACTCTGCTCCTACATCAGCTAACTGATTCTGTGCTCCTACATCAGCTAACTGATTCTGTGCTCCTACATCAGCTAACTGATTCTGTGCTCCTATATCAACTAATTGCTACTGTGCTCCTACATCAGCTAACTGATTCTGTGCTCCTACATCAGCTAACTGATTCTGTTCTCCTACATCAGCTAATAGCTACTGTGCTCCTACATCAGCTAACTGATTCTGTGCTCCTACATCAACTAATTGCTACTGTGCTCCTACATCAGCTAACTGATTCTGTGCTCCTACATCAACTAACTGCTACTGTGTTCCTACACCAACTAATTGTTACTGTGCTCTTACATCAGCTAATTGCTACTTGGCTCCTACATTAACTAATTGTTACTGTGCTCTTACATCAGCTAATTGCTACTTGGCTCCTACACCAACTAATTGCTACTGTGCTCTTACATCAGCTAATTGCTACTGTGCTCTTACATCAGCTAATTGCTACTGTGCTATTACATCAGCTAATTGCTACTTGGCTCCTACATCAACTAATTGTTACTGTGCTCCTACATTTACTAATTGCTGCTGTGCTCCTACATGAACTAATTGCTACTGTGCTCCTGCATCAGCTAACTGATTCTGTGCTCCTACATCAACTAATTGCTACTGTGCTCCTACATCAACTAATTGCTACTGTACTCCTACATCAGCTAACTGATTCTGTGCTCCTACATCAACTAATTGCTACTGTGCTCCTACATCAACTAATTGCTACTGTACTCCTACATCAGCTAACTGATTCTGTGCTCCTACATCAACTAACTGCTACTGTGTTCCTACATCAACTAATTGCTACTGTGCTCTTACATCAACTAATTGCTACTGTGCTCTTACATCAACTAATTGCTACTGTTCTCCTGCATCAACTAATTGTTACTGTGCTCTTACATCAGCTAATTGCTACTTGGCTCCTACATCAACTAATTGTTACTGTGCTCCTACATCAGCTAATTTCTACTTGGCTCCTACATCAACTAATTGCTACTGTGCTCTTACATCAGCTAATTGCTACTTGGCTCCTACATCAACTAATTGTTACTGTGCTCTTACATCAGCTAATTGCTACTGTGCTCTTACATCAGCTAATTGCTACTGTGCTTCTACATCAACTAATTGCTACTGTGCTTCTACGTCAACTTATTGCTACTGTGCTTCTACATCAACTAATTGCTACTGTGCTTCTACGTCAACTAATTGCTACTGTACTTCTACATCAACTAATTGCTACTGTGCTCCTACATCAACTAATTGCTACTGTACTCCTACATCAACTAATTGCTACTGTACTCCTACATCAACTAAACTCTACTACTGCTACACATAAAGCTACTGAGAAGAATAAGAAGTAAACGTAGCCATTAACATAATAGTAGTAGGTAGGCCAAACAATTTTTTGTGGTGTCGGAGATGTGGTTTTACAGAAGAATGCTTTAAATACCCCGAACAGCCAAACCAAGAGGTTTTGAAAGAGGCGGGAGTCCGAAGACAACGTAACACAGACATCATTTTTCGGCCATGTTATGAGAAGAGGGAAAATGGAACATGTTGTGACCACTGGAAAGATCTGTGGAAGGAGGGAAAGAGGAAAACAACGAGTGAAGATTCTTGACAAACTTGTTGCATGGCATGGGGGTGTGTCATCACATGAACTGATACATGCTGCAGGAGATCGCAGGTTGTGGAGAGGCATGATCGCCCACGCCAGTCGGCAGGGCACCTTATGATGATGAGAAGTGGTGATGGCAGTAGTGTTAGTGGTAGCTGCAGTCCTCACTTACAGATTAGCAGTTTATCTTGCCTTTATAGACTACCTCAAACACTGATAAATCATCACCTAATTTTACCTTTATTAGTTCAATACTGCGTCTCAATGTCGGACGCAATTGTTTTTATTGTTTTAAAGCCCCACACTGGCTGTTGCCAGGAGCCCTAATATAACTCAACCTACGGGTTGAACAGGGTACTTGGGACCTGTCCCCAAGTGATCCTCAATGGTGTCACTTTGCGTCACCTGGTGTATATCGCTCGGTGTGATGTTCTGGTGGGGTTGAACGTCATCATCACCTAAGACATTTTCTCCCCTTTCCTTCCCCAACATCTTCCAGGACACCACACATGAGTTGGTATGGCCAGTTCCCGTTCTTCTCCCCTTTCCTTCCCCAACATCTTCCAGGACACCACACATGAGTTGGGATGGCCAGTTCCCGTTCTTCTCCCCTTTCCTTCCCCAACATCTTCCAGGACACCACACATGAGTTGGTATGGCCAGTTCCCGTTCTTCTCCCCTTTCCTTCCCCAACATCTTCCAGGACACCACACATGAGTTGGTATGGCCAGTTCCCGTTCTTCTCCCCTTTCCTTCCCCAACATCTTCCAGGACACCACACATGAGTTGGTATGGCCAGTTCCCGTTCTTCTCCCCTTTCCTTCCCCAACATCTTCCAGGACACCACACATGAGTTGGTATGGCCAGTTCCCGTTCTTCTCCCCTTTCCTTCCCCAACATCTTCCAGGACACCACACATGAGTTGGTATGGCCAGTTCCCGTTCTTCTCCCCTTTCCTTCCCCAACATCTTCCAGGACACCACACATGAGTTGGTATGGCCAGTTCCCGTTCTTCTCCCCTTTCCTTCCCCAACATCTTCCAGGACACCACACATGAGTTGGTATGGCCAGTTCTCGTTCTTCTCCCCTTTCCTTCCCCAACATCTTCCAGGACACCACACATGAGTTGGTATGGCCAGTTCTCGTTCTTCTCCCCTTTCCTTCCCCAACATCTTCCAGGACACCACACATGAGTTGGTATGGCCAGTTCCCGTTCTTCTCCCCTTTCCTTCCCCAACATCTTCCAGGACACCACACATGAGTTGGTATGGCCAGTTCCCGTTCTTCTCCCCTTGCCTTCCCCAACATCTTCCAGGACACCACACATGAGTTGGTATGGCCAGTTCTCGTTCTTCTCCCCTTTCCTTCCCCAACATCTTCCAGGACACCACACATGAGTTGGTATGGCCAGTTCTCGTTCTTCTCCCCTTTCCTTCCCCAACATCTTCCAGGACACCACACATGAGTTGGTATGGCCAGTTCCCGTTCTTCTCCCCTTTCCTTCCCCAACATCTTCCAGGACACCACACATGAGTTGGTATGGCCAGTTCCCGTTCTTCTCCCCTTTCCTTCCCCAACATCTTGAAGTACACCACTTATGAGTTGGGATGGCCAGTTCCCGTTCTTCTCCCCTTTCCTTCCCCAACATATTTCAGATTATTTAGCTCATGTATCTGCTACCCATTAGCTAGGCTAGGCTGACCCGAAAGATTTGGGGGTCGGAAAAATTACATCCACTTCTAGGGATTGCAACCGATCCTTCTTATAATGTCGGGGTGCGTCTGACTGAGAGGCGAAGAACAAACAGTCTGCATATAAGTAAACCACATCTGTAAAACGGGTGTTCAAGGAAAACTCAAGTTATAGAACAAAACCAAAGTTCAGATATAGACGAACAGCCAGTATTTTCGGGGGATCTGTTACTTGCAAACACCAGACCTGATCCACCATTCCAAACCTCCACATCCGGACCTTACTATGACATAGTAAGTCTAGAATCACAGATCATGAACCATTTCAACGACATCACTATCATTAATTAATTTCACAATTTCGAATCCATCCAAGCCAAAAAAATGGTTTTCAGTACTTTTGGCACGGTAAAACACTCAAAATTATAAAACTATAAATGGTGGTCCGAAAGGACCTTTTGTAAGAAATAGTTGTGAACTACCTTGTCAAACCTGTCATCCCCTTCTGGGATGCTACTTTTTCGTTATTTTCTGTAGCCCTACCATGGCCCAATGGCTAACGCGGTTTCTGGGACCTCTCCACGGGTAATCCTCATCCACATGGTGGCACTTTGTGTCATCGGATGTCTATCGCTTGTGTGATGTCCTGGTGGGGTAAAAGTACTACTTCTACTAGCTTGCTCACTTAAGAGATACGCCTGGCCAAACTAGAAGGGAGCAAATTCAAGGACACATGGGCGGACTCATGGACAAAAAAAAAAAAAAAAAGGAAATGAACCGGACCGAGGATGATCCACGAGGGAAACCATCAGGAAGATAAGGATAGGAGAAACACGATGAGACGGAGAAAAGGAAGAAGCAGTCTATCTCCTAGAACGGGAACATTAAACCATAGAGCTGGCACACATTCCGCAATATTAGCTAGGCAGTTGGCGCAAATAAACCAGATTACAAATATAACCGGAGACTGTTGGCGTTTGCTGCCAACAACAGTTTAAACGTGGCCAAGTGCCCCCCCCCCTCTTTTCCAAGCCTCCGGGCTTTAATACATCTTTCACTGTATCTATCCATCAACAAACAGGTTTGAATCCGCATTACAGGAAGTTGACCAATCAGTCTGCCTTCCATACTGGGACAGTACCCTTGACAACGAGTTACAAGACCCAGCGATGTCATCTGTCTGGACCCCTGCCTTTTTTGGTACACCCAACGGACCAGTAATTCATGGGCCTTTCGCTAACTGGACCACGCCTCAAGGTGTGCAGCTGATAAGAAACGTTGGCTCTGACGGAGAGCTGTTTACCTCCACTGCCATTGAGGCTGTTCTGTCAAGGAAAAGGTAATTCCATATTGGTTTTCCTAATATTATGTTGTCACAATAGACGTAAATGCAAATTAGGCATTCCCGCGTGTGCTCATTCCTCTAATGCAGCAGCAATTCTAATGCAACTGCTGATTGTGTTTTGAAAATGTTTCCCCACTTAAGGATTTCATTCTGATGTATTATATATATATAATTAACAACGAGACAATGTATTGACTGGCACTCATAGAAAACAGTGGAAAGATAGAAGGACACACTACACAACATAAAAATCGAAAGCTATAGTTACCGTGCCGGGAATCGAACCTGTCACTTCCAGATGACGTGTGCGCCTCGCTATGGAGACAAGCGTACTAAGAACACAACCAACTAGGCACCCTTCTTAAAAAAGGTGTCTTTGTTGGCATGTCTATCGTACAGCTTGAAATCCATAACTATGGATTGTGGGCCTTATCCCCCCAGGTTCCGGCACCCTTGATCAACCCCGTCTGTGGGATTCAAAAACATCCACACGGGACGTCAAGGCAAATTAATTTTTTGCCTTCTTTGGCTTTTGGAAAACCATCAGGACATGAATCATTATAAAATAGTAACACCCGGTTACTCAAGAAGCCACTATTCAAAGCAATTCCAACCCTGTTTAACTGTATACCACGGTTATATCAGCGCACACGACAGTGTCGAAGCAGTCTGCAGTTAAGTGTCGGTGGATGATGACTGTTCCCATGCAAAGATGTTTATAGTGTCTCCAATGCTGCATTTCCGCCATGCACTAATACTAATACTAATAACGATAAAGCTCAGACTCCCCATCGAGCCCTCATTGGACACCGGAAGGGAAAATAAAACGGGGAAGACCCAAAGAAACCCTGCGTAGAACAATTATCAGGGAAGGCTCAACCATGGGCCTGACAAAAATCCAAACCCTAAAACAGGTGGCTGGCTGGCTTTTTATACCCCACCAGGACATCACACAAGCGATAAACACCAGATGACACAAAGTGCCACCATGCGGATGAGGATCACCGTGGAGAGGTCCCAGAAACCGCGTTCAGACATTTGGCCATAATGATGACCTGCCTATATTGCGGCCCCTGGCAAAAGCCAGAGTGGGGCTTCAAATAACAAAAAATAACGTCCTAAGAAGGACGTATGATTGATAAAAACAGGTGGCTACGAACCGCCAGATATGGATGGCAATGACGTCTGCTCTATGCGCCGCTATAGGCGCAAGGGAAAAGACCTAACTAATTAATTCTGAACCCAAGGATTACATAGCCGTGCTTCACTTCCGGGTCATGTAGTCCAGTAGTGTGTCATTATTCCCGGGGTTAATCTGTACTTTATTGACAGATCTCGACCCCACCCACTTTTATGAGAGACGTTATTTATATTTCTATCTTTGGCATCTTTTATTATTTGTGTGGTAATACAACAAGTAATTGAAGGATCTCTTTCCTTGCCCAGAGGCGTATTGGATAAGTAGTGCGAATGTCACACTATTAGACTAATAGACTAATACAACTCGATGGATGAATGAATGAATGAATGAATGAATCATTCAATCAATCAGTCAATCAATCTATAGCATGCTGGCTGCCCTTACTTCCCAGACCATATCATGATTGCAAACTGGGTCCAACTAGGTGTTTAGAAAACGGGGGGGGGGGGGGGATGCTTGCTGACCCAAAGAAAGCATTATGGGGGAGGGGGCGTTTAGCGCAATCAATATAATATTTTCTAAGCAAAACAGTAGGTAGAGGTTGAGTAATCCTATTTTAGGAGTGTAATAATAACAACAACAACAGCACTGTGCTGGGTGGTAAATACATATAATAATACATTCCAAAAACATATAAATTGCATAAACAAATAATGTTAATAATAACTTCCATACATGGTTAAAGTGGGCTGCTTAGCCTAAGAAAATTATTGGGGCCCCAGAGAAGGGCATGAGCCTTCTCCTAAATGATCGGGCCTCATGTGGGCTTGGTCCCGGCACCCTTGATCCACATCGTCTGTGGGATTCAAACATATCCCCACGGAACGTCAAGGCAAACGTTCTTGATGAGCTTTTTTTTTTTTTTTTTGGAAAAAACCATTCAGGAGATGAATGGCGCCCATTACATCTAGTAGCCTTACAACGGAAACGATGGCTGTAACAATGGCAAAAGAATGGGTGGTTACTCACTCAAGAGTTCTCACACGCATACATAATAACTCAAAGAATATGCCTAAGACAATTCACACTGGATTCATCAGACAAGGAACAAATCAGTAAATAAACATGTTAAAAGCTGAGGGGATTGACTTCATTGCACCGGGTTTTATCTCATATTACTGGATAATTCTTAATAGAACGGCTAGCCGCATCCTTATGCATCGCACAAAGTCCGAACTCTGTACTTCCAGTGGCTATCTATAAAGGTCACGATGAACAATAAACTCATGAACCAAGGCACGCAGTCTGTGAAACGAACCCACAATGTTCAGATGGCGAGGAAAAAACCCAAAAAACTTCTTGGACATTAAGCTTTGGCAACCCTCTTCCCTCCAACCAACCCCGTCCTTGTTTTTTCCTAACTAGAAATCTAAAGTAGAATAGAAATGCTACAGAAATAGATTAACCTACTTAAAGAGAAGAAATTGATGACTGTTGACTCCATTGGTGCAGGCACGAGGACATTATTTCATCGCCACAAGTGGAACCACGATACGACCTGGAGTTTTACCATGGAGGTGTTCACATGTTCTGTGGGGGAACCATGAGTCAGTTGGACACCGCAGCCTTTGATCCCATCTTCTTCTTGGTTCATGCTTTTGTCGACTACATCTGGGAGCTTTTCAGAACCAGCCTCAGGAACAACGGCGTCGATCCACAGCGGTTTCCAGATATGGTGGTGAGTTCACAGGTGTTCTAGGATATATATGTCTGTCTGTCTGCCTGCCTGCCTGTCTGTGTCTGTGTGTATAAGTCTGTCTGTCTGTCTGTCTGTCTGTCTGTCTGTCTGTCTGTCTGTCTGTCTGTCTGTCTGTCTGTCTGTCTGTCTGTCTGTCTGCCTGTCTGTCTGCCTGTCTGCCTGCCTGTCTGCCTGTTTGCCTGCCTGCCTGCCTGCCTGTCTGTCTGTCTGTCTGTCTGTCTGTCTGTCTGTCTGTCTGTCTGTCTGTCTGTCTGTCTGTCTGTCTGTCTGTCTGTCTGTCTGTCTGTCTGTCTGTCTGTCTGTCTGTCTGTCTGCCTGCCTGTCTGTCTGTCTGTCTGTCTGTCTGTCTGTCTGTCTGTCTGTCTGTCTGTCTGTCTGTCTGTCTGTCTGTCTGTCTGTCTGTCTGTCTGTCTGTCTGTCTGTATGCACGCATGCATGCAATGTAGTCAGTGCCCATTTCTTAGATGCCAGTGTGTTTCTTAGCCTGTGGGTAATCATCACCATTATTCTATTGGGTCGTTAAAACGTCACGTAGGGCTTAAAGCTGATTCTATCATTCTGTTCTATCCTTTGCAATTAATTGCTTAAATATCATGGACGGAATTCAGACAACTTTGCTTCTATCATCATCGTTCGTTTTCTTTTCGACGTCATTCTTTTTCCTTCTAATTTCAGTGCCTATTTAGTTTTCCTCTGGTCGCATCTCCTCGTTGCTGTATGCTTTATGCCTACACATTTATGTACACAGTTATTAGGCAACACTAACATAACTTGTACGACCTCTGGACAGGCACCCGAATCCCTCCACCACAGTTCAGCACCCACTGGCTTTGGTAACCTGCTTCAATCAGACGGGTATCGCGATGCTGTTACACAAACATTCGAGTATCTTCCACCTCCTGTGTGTTCTTCCACGTCACCACAGTGTGGTTCAAGGTAAGGTTATCTGTGTAAACATCACTTAGGAAAGGCCGTCATTTTTCCTAACTACTGTTATGTCTGCGACTTTCGTCTTTTCATAATGATTACCATTAGACCAATAGGTAAGAAGCAAAGAAACAAATTATTAAATAATGATATATATGTCTGTCTTCCGAATAACGGTCCCAAATTATCGAGGCCGAAAATATACCCTAACAGGGCCTTAGTCAGATGTAAATTGCGAACTTCCGGCGACTACAGCCACTGCCGAGAGTATCTCCCATGCAGCTACGCGCGGCGTCGATTGAGGCTAAAATAGATGGCTGGGACTCACGAGCAGCAGCTACCGCATCTCCTGCAGCTTCCTTCATTTTATTTGCTCGGGATTGTAGAAGCCTAGTTAGAACAATTTAGGAAACATTTGTCTGATTGGGGGGGGGGGGGGGGCGCTGCGACGGTCCAGGCCAGGGGGCGGTAGTGGCCTCGGTAGAATTGGGGGGGGGGGGGTGCGGGGCGCTTTGACGGCTGGGAAGGGGTGGAAGGAGCCTCAGGTGCAGTTAGGGGCATTCAATAAAAATAAATTAAGACAGCGGTTAGGAAACAGAAGGTGTAGAAGAAGATAAATGTAACTGATTTTCACTATTGATGCCTGTTTCAATGGTTTGTAAAGATTCGTAGTGATTATTTAAATCAAAAAAAAAAAAAAAAAAAAATTAAAAAGAGAAAAATAAAAATTGGCAGTTCTTACTTATCAGTTTGATCTTTCTTATTATTATTTCGGTTGTCATTCTTGATTTATGAGTTGATGTTTTACATTTCCCCACTTTCCACCCTGTGTGGAGGAAACGGCCTGAGCAGAAACATTCTGCAAGCAGAGTTTCGCACAATATGGAGTCTCGGAAAAGAGCTGTAGTAACGATTGGCTAGAGTTAAAATAGACACTCAGTGGGTCACTACAGCATTTGATAAAGTGAAACATGCAGACATTATTATAATTTTTGAAACCTTAAACATTAATAGTGAAAATCTTTGAATAATAATTTAAAAAAAAAAAAAACCATACGCTACTAGCAACAATAATGAAAATCGTCGTCCCCTTGTGGGATTCAATTGTTCGTTATTATGAAGCCCCACCCTGGCTGTTGCAGGGGTCCTAATATAACCTAACGGTTAAACGTGGTTTCCGGGACCTATCCACGGAAGATCCTCATCCGCATGGTGGCACTTTGTGTCACAGGTGTTTATCGCTTGTGTGATGTCCTGGTAGGGCAAAACTTACTTAATTACTGGCAACAAGAAGCAGCCATAAGGATTGACAACCATGTTGGAACTTTGCATAACATTAAACAAGGAGTTAGACAGGGATGTGTACTATCACCTGATTTGTTCAATTTTTTTCAGTGAAATAATAATGAGATCCATACATGGTATACCAGTAATAGCCGTCGGCGGGCATTTGTTAACAACTTGCGATATGCTGACGATATAGTTCTGATCGCTGAAAATGAAACACAACTGCAAGAAATGTCAGATATAATTGTAACGGAAAGTGAAAACAAAGGTCTTAGTTTGAGCAGCAGAAAAACAGAAGTATTGGTAATTGATATTTTAAATTATATTCAAAGACAGCAAATCACATGATGTGCCCATAAATTTAAAAAAAAAATGCCTTGTGACGCTATACCATATAAAGCATACACCAAAGTAAATGTGGACGAAAAGCACTGGGCAGACCAAGAGCAATATGGACAGATAACATCAGAGAAACTCTAAAACAAGATGTGTCTATGGTCGAGGCGGCCAGAAGAGCAAAAAACAGAGCACTTTATCTCCCCCAACATTTGTAGCGGTAAAAATTTAAAAAAGTGTAGAAGAAGAAAAACCTCCACTGTGAAGACAAGACATTAAAAAACAAATCTACTGCCATTATTCCACTAATGTTGACTTTCTCAGGTACCTTAGCTGCCTCGAGAGGATCGGACGCTGTGTGCCCATAAACGCAGCCATGGCAGTGTCACCTCTACCAGATCCAACAACAACAACTACAACCCCAGTGCCAGAGATCCCAGTCAGCAAGCTCCCTGTGGGCAGCGACACCAGTTGTCTGCGACAAGAGAAGATCTACGGCCAGCCTATTCAGAACGATTTTTGCTGCGACAAAACCTGTGACACAAATGAGTGGGTGACGATTCCGGTGAAAGTTATCAGCGTCAGGCCGCCCAAGTTCAACAAGTACCGAAGTTATCCAGTACATAATGGTCGAGTGGACAGCCATTATGACATATACTCACCACGGGCCTACGAGCACACAAACAGGTTAGACAAAATGTTTTAAAAATATTTTTGATGTCGTTATTTATTGCTTCATGTTGTACTGAAAGTCTTCTGTATAATGTTTTTTTTTAATGACTTACACATCATTGACATCATGTAGCAGGTCTTTTGCAGAACGTCGCTCTCATCATGATCTGCCTGAAAGAAACTCAGTCTCTCGCCAGCTCTCCCGCCTGTGCACTTTCATACTTAAGGAGTCACTTATATCCTGTGCCCATCTTCGGCCCACCTTCTTGGTACCATACCTTCAGCTATAATTTTCCCCAGTCCGTCGTGGCGCTTGATATGATCATATTATTTCAGCTTCCGAGACAGGATGCTGTTTATTAGCCTTGGTGTTCAGTACTTACACATTCTGTTTGATAGTATGGGAGCCGCCGTAATGTGGCTGCTAGACGCTCGTCTTCGGATCCGAAGGTCGTGGGTTCAAATTCAAACGGAGCAGGAATTTTTCAAAAATGATCTTGGCTCCCAGGTCGACCCAGCCTTAAAGGGGTACTAGGATAAGTCCTGGGAAGTAACTGCGACCGGCGTGATGTTCACCACATCAGCCACCGAGTGCCGATTGGTCTATAAATGATAGGTCCAGCACTAGATGCCATACACGTCTAAAGGTGTGGAAAAGAGCCCATTACTTTCACTGTTTGATACTTTACTGTAAGCCACCCTATGGTATGGAGTTATATTGTTTAGTTAATACAGTAATATCAGTAATACAGATAAGGAACTCTCCTTTATGCCTGTGACGCTTTAAAACCAACCTGATTTTTTTTATAGACGTCAGCACTTGATGGGGATGTGGTCAACCTTTGTTGGTATATATTTTAGGCTGGGCCGACCCTATGTGCATTCAAAATATTGCAAGCAACACAGTGTTTTAATGTTGCAAGCTACATATTGTTGAATATAGTATTGTAAGTTACATATTTTTTGATAAAATAAGAGTTACAATTGTTAGATATATCGTAATTATGATGATAATGATATTAAAATAAGAAGAAGAAAGGCAGCGAAGCAAAAGGAGACGGGGGAGAATTTAGTAGCAGCAGCAGCAGCAGCAGTGGTACACTATTTTTTCGGTATTATTATTATTATTGTGGCTATTTTTTGTGAAAACAGGTACTTTTCAGCTCTTTCGCCCCATCTCGGGGGCTACCAGATTTTGTAGGAGATTCCTAGGAACTTTCCCTGAAAGCCCTTTAGGAAAAAAAAAGGGGGGGGGGGGTTAGGGTTATGGTGAGTTTCCTCTTATTTTCATTTGCCCGAAATAAACGATCTATATCTGCAGTGTCGTCTCTAGTATGTACTTCACTGCATTCTGCAATTCCCTTAAAGACCCTTAAAGTTAAGCTTGAACCGTTGTTTTTCTTGGGCACACTCTAGGCAGTAAGTTGCGACTGGGGTATATTCTGGGGCCCGCCATGAAAAGGAGCATCTTGGGGTGTTGGCGGGGGAGGGTCTTGAAAAGAAGCAACAGCCTCCGTGTATGTAGAGTCGCCGGTTAGGTTTAGGATTAGGGTTAGATCTAGGAGTGCTGAGAGGTCAAGGACTTTTACGGCGAAGTCATAAAGTAAGAAAACCGCTTGTGAACAGGGAAAAGTGATGGTAAAGAACGAACGAAAGTATCATACACTAGGAATGATAAAGCAAAAAACGATGAACACTCTGAAATAAATCAACACATGACACGCCTAGAAAACAGCAGTTTTAGTGCTGTAGGGTTACTGTTAAATGAACAACGACTAACACTTAGCCCAACCCTAACCCCCTTTTACTATAGGACCTTGCGGGGAAATCCCTAGGAATTCTCTACCAAATCTCACTGCCGTCGAGATGGAGTGTAAACAGATAAAAAGGACATGAAAACACACCAATAAAAAACAAAAAAAAAATTAAAATAAAGAAAAATCAAATTGCTAATAAATATCTGTATCTATATGGCGCAGACTGATTGTCCAGCGCCGGAGTAACCCTAAAACATACAAACGCTGCAAGGGAGACGACAGTGTTGGCCAGGTGTTGCTGTCTTCTCGGGGAATAAACTACCATGGCTTCTACAAAGAAGCGGCTATTGTTGACCAACGATTGGCTGTCTCTATGTCCATGGGGTTTGTGTCTGTGAAGAAACCGACAGGAGGTAGGTAGTCTTGTTTTTCTGTGAACTGTGCTTGCGTGTATAATTTGTGTGGTTCACTTGCTGTTCACGCTTTTCCTAAAGGGGATTCGTTTAACACACACTGTTTCAATTTAATACGTCCCCATGTGGGATGCAATTTATTGTTATTTGAAGCCTCATCCTGGCTTTTGCCGGGAGCCCTGAATATAGCTGGTCCTTAAATATGGCCTAACGGCTGACAGGGGTTTTTGGGACCTCTCCACGGGTGATCATAATCCGCATAGTGGCACTTTGTGTCCCCGGGTGTTTATCGCTTGTGTGATGTCGTGGTGGGGTACAGCTACCTACCTAATGCACTATGTGTGTTTTATTAGCGTATCAATATCCCGTGGGATGTAATTTTTAGCTATTTTGAAGTCGCACCATGGCTTTTCCCGGGGGCCGCCAAATATAGCAGGGCCTGAAATATGGCCAAACGGCTGAACGCGTTCATGCAAAATAAATGCATTAGGCAGTTGTCAGATGTGCCAACACTAACAGTTTCCAGACTAGAGTGGCAGCTTACCGGTGATAGCAAGCATTTAATTATGAAAGCTGGCATTGTACAACACTGCTTAGAGTTTTCTTTTAAATGGGTGGTGGGAAAAAAGGTTAGGTAAGTTGCGTATCCTTTACAGGACGTTGTAGAACCAACCCCAGCAGCCCCTGGGATCGAACCCGGCATCCTGGCATTACAAGGCGTTTGCATCGACTTATCCACAGAGCCGACGTGGGAAAAAAAAGGACTTTATGAAATGTACCAAACACGCCAGCCTGTCGGCTCGGTGTTCTTTGTTCGAATTCATTCGGAATGGAATTTTTTGTATGACCTTTGCTTCCAGGTCGACATAGCTGAAAACGGGTAACGGGAAATGACCCTAAAGTAAAGGTGATTGGCGTAATATTTTACACTTTATTCATCGAAAGCCTATTTGTGTAAATACGGATCTAGTATAACATGCCTTGTGCGCAAGTGATCGGACAATCTACTAAATATTCACAGAAAATATCTGCTAGCTTCATACCGGTGATAATGATAATGGCATCCGTCAGTCCCGGGGGACTATGGAGATGTGCCGCTGGCTTTGGGAACAGTATCTGCTGTGACTGTATAGTCCAATGCGGGAATGGCAGTCTTTGCCACACAGGATACACACAAAAGCAGATACTCCCTAGTTGTGAGGCAGTTTTACTCTCCGGTGTCTCCTCTCCACAGCTCGTTGTGTTCGGTTTCTTTCAAAATGTGACAGTCCGTCTTTCATACCGGTATAGCATATATATATACCGTGTTGTGCTTATTTGTAGTGGCATTTTAATGTTTCGTTTCTTTGTGTCCTATTTTTTTTTTTTCGGTTACAACAGAGATAATTGCGAAAACAAAGAACTGGTTTCTTCTTCTTTAGCGTTTGCCCATAAATCGCCTGTCGCCACCATGTGGTGTAGTTTACAGCTCGGTTACGATATCTGAGCCTTTCAGACAAACGTATCCGATTTCAGCAAACCACCCTTAATTAGTCACCTTCTACATCAAACATGTTAGGAGACAGTAGATCAAAGTTACGGAACTGAATTGCCGCCAGTTACATAAGTGGATCAAAGCTGACAGGAAGATACTGCTTTTCGATTACCAGGATATTTTCTCAACAGATGGTGTCAGTAAAGCCCTGATCTGAGTTCTAATATCCGGATATTTTCTCAACAGATAGCGTCAGTAAAGCCCTGATTCGAGTTCTAATAACCGGATATTTTCCCAACAGATGGTGTCAGTAAAGCCCTGATCCAAGATCTAATAACTGGATATTTTCCTTACAGATGGTGTCAGTAAAGCCCTGATCCGTGCTCATGACTCCTGTGGACGTGTTTGCCATGCTGCATGTAAGGACCCACTCACCAACCAGTACAAGGAGTGTAAGGGCGCCATTGCGGTTAGCTCGGCCCTACCTCTCATGTATGGAACAACTTATGACGAAGGTATAACGTATAGATTTGTTATTTCCACATATGCGTGTCACTGTTTGTATGTTTCAGTTTTACGGTCAAAGTTAACACTAAGGGATTAGAAAAAGCAGTTTTAGTGTGAAAGATAAAAACAAAAAGATGGTGAACAGCAGTTTTATGGTGAAAGATAACACGAAGAGATGATAAACAGCAATTTTATGGTGAAAGATATCACCGAGAGATGATAAACAGCAATTTTATGGTGAAAGATATCACCGAGAGATGATGAGTAGCAGGTTTAGGATGAAAGATGACATCAAGAGTCGATGAATAGCATTTTTAAAGTGAAAAATAAGACCAAGAGATGTTGAACAGCAGTTTTAGGGTGACAGATAGCACCTAAATGATGCATTTGGAGGAACGTCGCTGTAGCTACGGAGTTTTGTGCGAACGGCGACACAGACAGACAGTTTCTTATTAGCTGCCCGTACTGGTGGCAGAACACTTATGGTTTATAACCGTGTGTAATGACGCTGGCTAACATCTCCCGACTTTACCTTACCTTTACCTAAATGATACATAGAAGTTTTAGGATTACAGATAATACAGAGATATGATGAACAACAGTTTAAGGGTGAAAGATAAAACCGAGAGATTATAGACAGCAGTTTTCGAGTGAAAGATATTGTTCAATATTGAATTAGGAATCGTCAACATGGCACTTGGACATTCCCATAAGCGCTCCTTTCCAATCTTCATCAGCAAGCGAAAATTTCCAATTCCGATGGCACAAGTTACTGTCTGATTGGATATCCGTCTCGCATTTCCACTGTGTTTCAAACGTTGGCCAGATCCCCTGGTAACTCATCGCAGCGCCATTCTCCTCAGGCCGTAATGAACTATCTGTGCCTCCATACTGTTCACTCGCTTCCAAAGGGCCGACACAACATCTAGTTTGTCATACATCAGTTCACCACCAAGTGGTGTATAACAGGCCAGTCTATCTACCTAATCGTTTCTTAACACACGGGCATGACTTGAAGAAAATATCCAAAGAACGCCAACAACCCGGGACCTCTAAAGCGATGCATGCCACTCTGCACACACCATGCCTGTCTCCACCTTTCTCGACATGCTATGTGAGTCAATTACGATTACAACATACACACATATGTGTACTGCTGATTCTCAAGCCAGCGAAGGGCAGTAGCGACTGCCTCCACCTCCATTCTCAAACTAGACGTTGTGATATCATATGCCAGGCTTTATTGCACTAAGCGATGTCCATTCGCTTTTAGTATGGAACCTCAATAACTTCGAATGCCTCTCAACACGTCACCTGGGGGAACAGGGGGGATGGGGTTAAGAGGGAGGGGGTGTTATGACACGAATCATTTGTCGAACTTCTGATTCTGCAGCACCAGCTGGTCAGTCCCTGCACTGACGACCTAAAGTAGTTAGAACCCTACGCAAGTCTTGATTCTTCCTCGGGCACTTTGACCCACTCCTCTACTTGCCCAATTAATTAAGCATGCACATATGTCTAATTGTGTCTTCAGCTTTCATCCCCCAAGACCTTTCTCTTTGAAGCCTGTGACCTTTAGCTCTACCTTGGGCTTCATGCACGAGGTGCTTCTTGTCTGCAGCTACTCTGAGATATGACTTTGCTTGTAGAACTTTAAGCCTATCTGCAGTAGAAGGCAGTGCAAGTATATATCGCATAATACTACCGGGGTATCTCTTGTATAATAATTAAAAATACACAATCAAAACAAGATACAGAACACCTTATTCTTGGCCAGTCTTTATTTTCAAGTTAGTGCTTTACCGATTGTTGACACATAACACTTTGATTAAGCTATATTTTATTGTCAGGGTACGTATCTAATAATATAAGTTACCTATGTTGAACTTTTTTCATATACAGTTATGTATATTTGCAGCCGTTATGAGCGTGTTCGACTACGAATCAAACAATGCCCTTCCCCAATTCAAAACTAGTAGTTTCTTCCTGACATTTTACTGCGACTACCTCGGCAACTTTCCCTACACGGATTACAACCAGAGTGTTTCGCCTCAGCCGCAGGTGGCCACAGAACCTCCCGCTTTTGTTGTCCCGCCTACAAGTTCTGGTAAGTTACGCTGTAATGCTGACATGTCGACTAGTTTTTATACATCTGTATGATTTTTGCCTTTTTCTTCTGTGTTCACCATTAAAAAAAGGGTTAGTGCATTGTGTTCTAGTTTACAGCTAGGCTGCGATATTTCGGTCAGACATACTTCATGTTAGCAAAACTTTAAGCAATCGTCTAAAGCTGTATAACTGTATAAACCCTTCAGTATTACATTTTAGGAAAGCTTGATAAAGGGCAGTTGGTCTATCATGTACCTAGAACCCACTTTGGAATGTATAATTTATTAAATAATGCGATTGAACTACAGTTGTCTATAGCAAGCGTTCACGAAAGTGTGTAAAGACAACAGGTCCGGCTAACCAACCATGCATTTTAACAAACCATGCTTCTGAAAAAGATGAAGAAGAAGAAGCAGAAGAAAATGATAATGGGGTGGGGGGTGGGGGGGGGGTGGGTGGGAGGGAGGGAAGATAAGTAGCCTCTATGGGACTACTCTTTACATAAAGTACACACAGAATGACAACGTCATCTCCATTCACAGAATGTTTTGTAACAACACGATGTACCCTGGACATCCCATGCGCCAGCACAGAACGCCAGTGCCATTTACACAACGAGAAGCATGCATGCCGTGGATACTGCCAGGCTTACGGTGTCTGCATATATGGTCGTTTCTTTATGAAGACTTGCCCAGAAGGACATTCGTTTGACAATGTCCTTAAAATGTAAGTATTTATATTGTCAATACATTTCATTGTTTTTATTTAAGATCAAAGTTTATCAGAGTATACTTTGTTTATGCAACCCGTTATGAAGCAAATGCATGGATGAGTGCAAAAATGTTACAAAACTATTAACTAGCTATTTCAGTACCAAGTATTTGCTACTTTGGATGTTGTGTATCTCAAAGATTGTGTGTTGTTTGCCTATCGTACTATCACAAGTGATGAAGTCACTTTTCATCCAAACTTAAAAATGATCGTTTCACTATCACACTGTGTATGTATCATTATTGTGTGTCTGCGTAATTTAAAGTCACTATCAGTTTTGTGTATGTACCATTATTGTGTGTCTGCGTAATTTAAAGTCACTATCAGTTTTGTGTATGTACCATTACTGTGTATCTGCGTAATTTAAAGTCACTATCAGTTTCGTGTATGTACCATTATTGTGTGTCTGCGTAATTTAAAGTCACTATCAGTTTTGTGTATGTACCGTTTTTTTTGTCTCTGCGTAATTTAAAGACGCCATTAGTTTCACTATCAAACTGTGTATGTACCATTATTGTGTGTCTGCGAAATTTAAGGTCACAGACATTATTGTGTGTGTATATAATTTAAACAGCGTGTGCTGTTCTGAGCCTCATGATGTATTTTGTATCTGTTGCAGATGTGTGCCCGGGAGCTGCCAGAACAGCCAAGGTCATACAAATTCCGTCCCCGCCACTGGTGAAAACACAAATGTTGCAGCCAGCAGTACAAGTCAAATTCCCAATAACACAGGCGTACAAACTGGCACATCATACCGCTCAGGGCTCCTCTCTAATGTTCTGAAAAATTTAGTTGGCTAAAACAAATGGTATCTAATAAATGTAAACAAAAGCCCCAATAGCGTGGATATATATGCAAAAGTGTGCGAGTGTGTGCGCGCGCCCCATCTCAACAACAATGGTTGCTACAGTAGATATGTACATTCACTGCTGTTTTGGAAACTATTGGTGAGACCCTAACCACTTCAAGGTGTCTCTCCTATTCCACTTTGAGTGAGTGAGTTTCAACCGCACCCAGACGGCACAACAAGCGACTTATAACCGGTGATATAAAATGCCACCATTCGGATGAGTCTCCTAGTTAGACGAGTCCCATAAACCCCGTTCAACTGTTAGGTTATATTAGAGCTCCGAGTCATGTTTAACCAGCCTCCCCGAAAGGGAAGCTTTAGGTTACAATTGTGACTAGTTATGTGCGCCATATACTGCTTATAATTGCATGTCAACAAAAGCCCTGAAAAGGACTCCAGCAGTGTTGATGCGATCAGAGGAGAGAGACCAAAATACCGACCAGTGACAAAGTCGTTTACTGTTTACTGGCGAGCCAATGGGCCACCCAGTCGCTCATGTGTAACAAAGGAGATGTGACTCATTTTACTGTCGTAGAAGCATGCTGGGAATATGATGCCATGTTCATATATACTGTAGTTAATCAAATAACCCAAGATGGCTTATACTCGATAATCATCATCATCAAGTGCCTTGCCGACTGGCTTGGGCGACCAGGCCTTTCCATAATATGCGATCCACAGCTGCGTGTATCAGTTCGTGTGTTGACACCCCTCCATGCCATGACAAAAAGCCATCAAGAATCTTCTCGCGTTCTCTTCCTCTTTCTCTCTTTCCACAAATCTTTCCAGTGGTCACAACATGGTCAATTTTCTCTCTTCTCATAACAGGACCCAAAAATGATGACTGTCTCTTTCTGATGTTTATGATAAGTTGTCTTCGAGCACTTGCCTCTTTTAAAACATCTGGGTTGCTTTTCTCAACTGTCCAAGGAATTCCAAGGATTCTTCTATAAAATCACATCTCTGATGCCTCAAGATATTGTTCGGCTTGTTTATTAATTGTCCAGTCTCACAGCCATATGTCAAAACTGAATGCGTATAGCAAGCAAGAATTCTTTTCCTAACCTCTGGTGACATGGATTTATGCATACAATTGTCTTCATATTATAAAATGCAGTTTTAGCCTGTACTGTTCTGTTCTTTATCTCTGTGATACATCTTCCATCGGATGTTATCTATGTGCCTAGATACTTACATTTGTGTGTTGTCCCAAAATATACTGGACACCTTATCGATTTTGTGAACCCTAGGATGACAGAAAATAAAAATCTCCATTCTCGAATGGGATCTGAAGCCTGACCATCTGTCTGGTAGAGTAATTCGTTAGTCATAATACTGCCGCAGGTTGGGACTTATCTCTGGGAGACATGATGATAGTAGTGGGAAAACTGCATTGGGGAGAGTGGGGGTGGGGCAAATAACACAATTTTCAAAGGGCTAAGAGCATATAGGCTCTTCTAACATTCTGCTCTCTATACTTTTTCTATTTCATACACTTCATTCTCTGAATAACTCTTGAAGACAAACAATAATATAGGCATCAGATGTGTTACAGGAAAGATCAATATGTATTCCTAGGATTTTCACTCAGGTTAACCTATACAACTAATAGAGATATACCTACCAAGTAAGTATGTTGGTACAGCTAATAGAGATATGTATAACTACCAGGTATCCTGGTACAACAGAGATACAGTATTTATACCTCACAGGCATCTTGGTCCAAAACAAATGTATAATTATAAGGGGTCATAGTACAATGAAAACAGAGATTCATAGATTTATAAGCCTTTCACACTGCAACAATCACACAGAGATATGTAGAGTTAGAAGTTTAACTTGGCTAGGTCTGCACATTCCAATCAGGTCTAAACAGAATTAGATAGCAAATAAATAAAAATCGCCTATGCATATTCAGTGAGATAAATTGTACACTTTATTATACCTATTTTTTTTTTTAAACACGGCTAATAGGTGTTAATAGAGGAAAACTACAGATTAGAGAAATGCTATGTAGAGAGTCTAAAATTTTTGGACATGCCACGAAGAGGAAAAAAAACGTTAATAACTTATCATCCTGATAACTAGCAAACTTGATGAGCAAAGAGCAAGCAAGGTGAAGACACAGAGATGAATCCTAGATGACTTGACCAAATGTCATAAAAGGGACAAGAACATAGACCTGATCTGAGAATAGTGAACGAGATGATGAATAGTGACTGTTCCTGCTAATTGGTATGGCACATAATGATGATAAGCAGAATCATTCTTCGCACATTCTTGCCTCAAAATACAAAAAAACACAAAAAAACATTATGCACAATCTCCACAATAAAGGTTGGCTACAGTGTACCACTTGGCTATATTACCTAAATGCAAGCATGTTAATATGAACACTAAAAGAACACTGTTCTAAACAATATTCTTACCACATCTATGCTTTCAATGTCACACATGGACACTGTTTTCAGAAGACAGAAGGAAAATAGTCATAACATAAATACTTACATACTATGCTCAGTGTGATGAGGAAAAATTGACAGAGAGCAATGTTGCACCGAAAGGATGTAGTGGTAACAGACCCAGAGGTCGACCACGCAGAACATAGACCGCAGAAATATCAGAGATACTGAAAAGTATTTTATATGAAGTGAATAGAAGGTCCCGTTCCAGAAATCTTTTCCTGTCCTGACACCATGAGGCCTTCCAGGAGTAGAAAAAAGAAGAAGAAGAAGAAGAGCCCCTAATTTCTTCAAAGATTTGGTTCTGATACCATTGTCCAAAAACCTCGAGAACAATTTTTTTGTTTTGTTTACTGTCCCCTGCAGTGAAAAAACCCTAGTTCTGGAGGATCATGAAACTGTTGACAGCATTCACTAACCTCTCAGGCACAGAGCAGCACAACTCGGAATACAACCAAATACATTGTTTCAACTGTTTGAGAAATTGCAGCTATAATTTCTGCAGACTCAAACCGTCACAAAACAACAAATATATAGAATAAAAGCACATTTTGTTTGAAGAAACTTCACAGTCAATAACGATGCAGTCAACAATGAGAATACTATACTGTCTAGACTGCCATTTATAAAAAAAAAAAAAAAAGGAAATTCAATCCTTGGTTGGTAAAACTGTGCAAGAATCAGCAATGCAAATCAAACAAGGTTCTACAACAATATTATGAACACATGGAGGCTCTTTTGATGAATGTTGCTCAAACAACAACCTACTGAAAATATTTTCCATTCGTTTTCTGACTGTTTGTGGTTTTAATAAGCAATTTTACGTTCAGTAAAGTATGTAGCCTGTTACGTTGTATTTGTCATGACTTGCAGAGCAGTCTGCACTGCTGGTGAAGACATATATTAGAAGCACATCATGAAAATCCATTCAATCCAGGACATCTGGATGTGTGGGATAATAAACAGGCTGACAGACCAGTTGCTGCTGCTCCTCTGCATGGCAAGCTACTTTACAATAAAGTGGATGTCATGAGGGCTTTCTGAGATCAAGTGGAAATAGAACGGAGTATCCAAATCTGGAGAGAATAATTTAGCTGGGAGTGAGCAGGCGGTCTGGAGGGTTTCTAAACTACATGGGAAAAGACAGGCAGAGTTTAAATCAGGGTTCAACTGACACTATCAATTTGCAAAATCTTCACTGGCTACTGAGGTAGGGGACAGAACATGTGTGCAATTATGTCAGGGACCTAATCTACACTACTTATTTTATATGGCTCGCTAGGTAGGCCAGCTGACAGACTCTACTACACAGACACACTTAAGACGACACTCCTGCTGAGTACAACCATAATCTTTAATGTACAATGAACATTAGACGTACAACACTTCAACTGGGCTAAGCAGCTCCCATCCGAAACTGCCTTGGCGATGACAGCTTTACAATCACTAGTCACCCCAGGCCAGCTCCCATGGATCTAGGGGAGCACGACTCTTAGCTGGCAGTGTCTCAGTGCCAATCAATCCGCCGTCTATTGCCAAACGGGACTTCAGCGATACACGGAAGGTGTATGGCCTAAGCGTGCCCGGGCAGTGTTCTTGCCATTACAAGGCGCGTCACCTCGATTAACTGCTCAAACAAATACTGCATGGAATGTCTACTACACAAAGAACCTTAACTCTCTATACTATCTAGACGAAACATTAAATACAAATACAGCCTATCATAGACATTAAATACAAATATTCTATTTCAACCTAACCGTCGCTACACTACCGTTACCTCGTCGTAATGTTTCTGTCTCTTTCTGTCGACCAGCACACAACCGTCCTACACAACTGTCCGCACACAACTCTCCTCAAACCCGCTTGGACAAAGCCTTTTGTATTTCCGCCGAGTTCATGGCTCAATCCGCAGCACTCCGTGTCATCCGAGTGAACTCGACCTGGCCTCTAAACTGGGCACGGCTTATTGCGTGGACCAGCTGTCCGTTCACATACTGAGTTGTACTGAAGGTCAACTCGTACAAACGTGATGATTCACTATAGGACATCTGTTGTGCTTCCCATAGCCAAACTGGCCTCTGACAAATTGTCTTGATTGCAGTTATGTCATTTCTCAATTATTTTTTTCATCCTTTCATTTACTTTTTTGTTTGATGAAAACTACAGTAATGCTCGGTTACAAAGAAAAAAATACAATTAAGATAAAACAAAAGAACTATTTTTGGTCAAAGTTATAAATACTGGTGAACACATTAAAATACTGGGCTCCAAATGCTATGTATGATTTTGGGGAGTAAGGAGAAAAAGGATGGGAGGAAGGGGATGAACACAGCTTTCATCCATGGTTCTGGTGATACTGAGAGATGGTAAACCATGGTTCTGGTGATACTGAGAGATGGTAAACCATGGTTCTGGTGATACTGAGAGATGGTAAACCATGGTTCTGGTGATACTGAGAGATAGTAAACCATGGTTGCTTACACCTACTGGTATCTGGTAAACCATGGTTGCTTACACCTACTGGTATCAGGATGACGACAAGTCAGGTACATGCAGTTACAGCTTGCAAACTAAACACTGGATGATGTAGGCAGCTGTAGTTTAATTCTCTGGCTCACGGTAAACACAGGATACACTTTCCAAGTAGGTTTGTTCTCGTTCTCTGTGTGACAGGCACTCATGTGCTCATCCAAGGTGATGACTCTCCGGCCACTAACCACACTAGATATGCCAGTGATCATGACTTTATATGCCATGACCAAACCACACTTGCTGACAGCAACGGCAATAGTTGCACAGATTGGCAGATCAGGTAGAGGCATCATAATGGTTGTAGCACTTGCCTGGCAAACCACAAGCTGTCCACCAATGCATGCAATGCCATGTGACTCAGCTGTCATACCAACCTAGTGAAAGAGATTAAACAGTCTGGTAATGGAAAGGTAATAGCAGCCCCATAGCTTGGCTAGGATGGGACTTCTTAGGTCTTCACATATTCTAGGCTGTGATATAATAAGGTGGGGTGCCATTTCTGTTTGCTGCCCTCCTTTCCCAGACAATTCCTGAAAATTCTGAAAGCTTACAATAGGGGAACAAATTTAGGGAAGCAGCTGAAAAATGTGACAAGTTTGTGATTTCTTTGGCTGGGGTCCAGAATATGTGGTTGGTCAAGTGGGGTAAAAAGCAGGTTGAAAGTTAGCTGCTGTTGTTCCTCTGGAGAGTAAGCAACTTTATGATAAAGTGGATGTGGTGGAAGTTCTCTGGGATCAAGCAAATAGTGCAACAGAACAGATGGAGTATTCACACCTTGAAAGATATTAGGGGGAAAAGGGGGGGGGGGGGGGCGTGCTGTGGTTCTGGAATATATTTATATTTAACACTGAGGGGAAAATACAGGCAGATTTGTAATCACCCTCGCTCTCCTCACGGCACACCTGAAAGTCTCTCAGTCTATGGCCAATTCTCCAGCCCTTTGAGCTTTCACAGACAATGCATCTTCCTTGTCTCACCTGTCAGCTTCTGCCTCATTTTCTGGAAACTGTACCCTCCGTCACCACTTTTTCCAGGCCACCGGCTCATTTAAGATGGCCAAAACACCTCAGTTTTAGGGATAAGATGCTGGGCCAGGTTTCCTCAATGTTCAGATCCTATAAGATGTCAATGTTTTTCTTCTTCTTGGCAAAAAGCATTCTAAGAATGTTTCTATAACATTTCAATTCAAAAGCACTCATTTTTCTCTTCAATGACCGAGTAAGAATCCATGACTCCCATCCATTAATTGCCCTGGGAAAGATACACGATCTCTACATTTTGACTTGAACTCATTTGCTATGCCATTGGGTCCCCACGAAATTTAATCTCTGCATACTAATGCAAGTATAACTCTGACTTTAATGATACCATACTGTAGGGAAAAGTTAAAAGCAAGCAAGCAAGAAGCTGACAGCATTACAAGTGGAAAAATACCATCCAGATATGGACAAATAGCTGTCTGTCATAGAGCAATACTATAGTTACAGATTCATTGCAGCCAACCTTTATTGTGGAGATGGCACCTGATTGATGACTGACTTTATAAAAGCTTTAGAGTCAACTCTTTGGTCTGATGCCGAACTCTTTCACAGACAACCTTCATTGTGAAGATGACCCCTGGTTGACTGGTTAATCATAATTTCATTGTTTATTTCTGTGCCATCTCCACAATAAAGGTTGTCTAGAGTTAATCCACTGTTATCTTTAGGAATTCTAACTGTGTGGTGAGGCCCCAATCTCTTCAATAGAGCGATTGGTATTACTGTCCAAAACTCACGAGAACAGTCTTTTCAGACAGTTTACTGTAGAAATCTTACTTTACTTTACTTTTACTTTTTCCTTCCACGTATGCCGCTAAGCGTTGTGGGGAGATGCAAGTTCCTGTCATAAGCAAGGCGGGCAGCATCTGATGTTCTGAGGCCATGCTTTTGGCAGGTTTCGGAGACCCCGTCAATCCACCGTTTCCTTGGTCTTCCTCTTGCCTTATATCCTGAGCTTCTTTGATTGAAAATTTGTGATGTTATTTGATCATTTTTCATCCTGGTTAGATGTCCAAACCATTTCATTCTTTGATGTTCTATGTAGTCTAAACATGGTGTAGTTTTGACAGTGTTTCTAATGTCTATATTCTTTATCCTGTCTAGTCTTGTCTTATTCGCTGCTTTTCTTAGACATTTCATTTCACAGGCTTCTATTCTTCTTTCATGGGTCTTGTTGATTGTCCATGTCTGGCACTGGTAGCAGAGTGTTGGAATGAAGATGGTGTTTATCAATTGTCTTTTGGTCTTCATGGTTATATCTGGATGTTTAAGCAGAGGTGATAGTTGGTATGTGACAGCATTTGCTTTCTGTATTCTTGTTTCTATCTCTCTGTCCATTCTTCCATCCTCTGTAAATATACTGCCCAAGTATTTGAACTCTTTGGTTTGCTTGATTTGGCACTTCCAACATTTATATTCAGTGGCCTGTGTGTTCTGCTGATCTTCATAACTTCTGTTTTTTCTGTACTGATTCTCATATTATGTTGTAAACAGCTGTTGTTGAGAGTAGTCAGATGTTCCTGTAGATCATATTCATTTTGATACAGTATGCTTTGATCATCAGCAAAAAGTAATTCGTTTATAGCATACACGTCTGGGTTTGCTTCTACAGTGATCTTATCCATGTATGTTATGAAAAGTAATGGTGACAGTACACATCCTTGTCTGACACCAGTTGTGACTTTGAACCATTCAGAAAGACCACTAGATGTTCTTACTGCACTTTCACTTTTTTCATAGAGGGCTCTGATGTTGTCTAATAATTGACCCTGCACTCCGTAATCGTCAAGAATTCTCCACAGCACATCTCTGTCTACACGGTCGAATGCCTTCTCTTGATCTACAAAGACCACGTTCAGCTCTTTATCGTATTCGAGTGTCTTTTCACAGACTTGTCTTAGTGCAAATATGGCATCAGTGCAACCTCGCCCTTTCCTGAAACCGAATTGTGCTTTACTCAGTAGAGGTTCAACCTTTGCTCTTGTCCTACCTTCTAAGATCTTTGCATACATTTTCCCCACATGACTTAGTAAAGATATTCCTCTATAAGTTCCACATTCTCTCTTGTTTCCTTTTTTCTTCCAGATAGGTACTACAACTGATCTTTGCCAATCCACTGGTACCTTTCTCTCTGCCCATGCTCTATTGAAAATTCTCTCCAGCCAGGTGATCATAGTGTCCCCTCCAGCCTGGATGACTTCTGTTGTTATTCCGTCGATACCAGCTGCTTTGTGTCTTTTACTTGTTTTGATAACTTTCTCTACTTCATCCCGCAGGATATGTGGTTCTAGATGATCTGGAGCCCTTGAATGGAATTCTGCTGTTTCATGTACTCCCGACGGGTTCAAAAGTTCTTTAAAATATTCCTCCCATCTTTTTTTAATTTCTTTTTGGCTGAATAATGGTTTTCCATTTTTATCGTTTATGACTGATGTTGGATTGAAGCTTTCTTCTCTTAATCGCATCGCTTTCACACTCTTATAAAAGTCTCTTGATGATTCTGTACATAGCTGTGTTAGGTGTTCACCATACTTTTTCCATGATTCCTCTTTGGATTTCTTTATTGTTCTCTTGGTGTCTCTTCGAGTTAGTCTGTACCTAATGTAATCCTTTTCGTCTTTTGTTTTTAACCATATTTGAAACATCTTCTTTTTATTTGACACTGCTTCTTTGACTTCTTCATTCCACCAAGCGGTACCCTTTTTCTTGCCTGTAGAAATCACTCTGTTATATTTACCAACCTCTAGGCCAGCAGTTCTTTGGGTCGCGATCCCTTTGGGTTTTGAATGACCCTTTTCCAAGGGTCACCTAACACCACAGAGAAACACATATTCACTGAAGTTATGAAGTAGTAAGGACAATAATTTTATGTTGGGGGGGGGGGGGGGTGTGGGGTGTGTTCACAACAACCTAAAGAGCTGTATTAAAAGGTCATGGCATTAGGAAAGTTGAGAACCACTGCTCTAAAGTCCCTCAAATAAACTAACCTGCTCTTTGGAAGTCAAAGGCTTTGTAGAAACTCCGAGACCAAACAGGTAGCCTGTGTTGATGTCACCAATGTGGTTAGTGTTTCTGTTAACATTGACCGACCACTGGGTGCAACCTTCAAGAGGTTCGGCCGTGAAAGTCGTTGAGTTGAACCCCCAAGAGATCAGCGTCCGACTAGGAATTCGGGACACAGCCGCGACACTTAGGCTTGGAGGAGTGACTCCAGACTGGACAACTGGAATAACCACTGGATAATTGGAGGGGAACATGTCTGTGGATTAAAGAAGGAAATTAGACAAATATTTAACATATATTGTAGACATCAGAGGAGATGTGCTGGCCCAGTGGCAAGCAGGCTTGTGCTCCAACGTTGTGGATGTTGGTTCAAATTTACATCATGGCAGATTTAAAAAAAACACTGGCCTGGGCCCTCAGACCAAGCCTAAATGTAGAAACCAGGAAAATGTCATGGGAAGTAAAGGGAGCTGGCATATTGTTGACCAGATCACTTATAAGTTGTCATTCAGCCAATAGAAATATTGGGCTATCTTCATATGTCCAATACCCCTAATGTGTGACTCATTTTACAAGAGGAAGTCAAAAAAGTAAGTCACAAATGGTTGTTTAAAAAAAAACCCAGCTAAAGAGGATTACAACAAAAAACCATTTATTTTTACACATACAATGTCCCTTTATTTTTCAACATAATTTCTACCAACACTGATGCCCTTGTACCATTGTTTTATCAGTCCTCCCAAACCTGCTGCATAAAACTGTGTGTTTGGTTTTCGAAACCATATTTTCACTCCACATTCAACTTCTGCATCGTTCACAAAATGGCTCCCGTCAAGGTGGGTTTTCGGATGACCAAAAATGTGGAAATTGCTAGGGGCTAAATTGGGACTGTGAGGCAGACGTCCCAGAAGTTCCCACCCTAGATGGTTAATTTTCTCATGAGTTAACCGAGCCGTATGTGGTCTGGCATTGTCGTGAAGGAGCAGTACTCCTCTAGTCAGCAGGTCTGGAGGTTTTCTTCGAATTGCATCATAAAGCATTGATAGAACTTTACAGTTTTAATCAGCATTGACATTATCACCTCTTTTGTTTAAATTGGTTAAAAGCACTCCTTGACAATCCCAGAACACTGGCAGCATAACCTTCCCTGCTGGTGGTGTAATCCTGAATGTTTGAACACAAGGTGAAGAATAATTTTTCCATTGCATTGAAGCACGCTTTGATTCAGGCTGGAAGTGATGCACCCATAATATATCCCCAGTAAAAATCATGTTTAGCATGTCCGCTCCTTCATCTGCGCATCAACAGAGATGCTGCAAGGACAGGCCTAATCGGTTCATTTTGTGTTCATCCATCAACTGTCTGTGTACCCACCTTGAGCACACTTTCTTAAATTTTAGTCGATCATGTATTATGTTGTATGCTGAACCATGTGAGCACCCTATTGCAGAGAGTCAACTGTTACTTGTCTGTCACCTCTTATCATGCCCTCCATCAGCTGCACGGATGCATCTGTTGAAATCACAACAGGACAACCAGATCAGACTTCAACAACCATCTTACAGCGCACTTGAAAATTTTTTTACCCAGCTTTGCACCACTTTACGGAACAAACATTTGTCAGCATAAAAAGGAAGCATTTCCTTGTGAATGCAGGCAGCACTTTTGCCAAAACAAATGCACAACAGCACATTGTTCTTTGAGGGTACACTCTGTAAGTACAGGCGCCATTTTGTTTCTGTGTTGCAACTGCGCACACAACACCAAGCACCACCTAAGGAACAGAAATAAAGTTTAATGTTGCTCATACCTAATGACAAAATCTTGAAGACCGTAAAGTAAAAATACATAAAGCAGCTGTCAAATGTGCCAACACAAATGGTCCCGCACCAGAACTGCAATGCATTATTGGTGCCAAAAAAAAAAAAAAATCACTGGTTCTGCCAATCTGGTAAACTGAAACAACATTTTGACAGTGGAGCACTAACAACTATATCACTGTAGGTCCATCTATTCATAAGAAACATGAAAGAGAACTCATTAGCATGTATCTTTAACCATGGTAATAAACTAATTTATGCAACAGTTATAATAGTACCTGTAATACTGCTCAGCAGCCCAAGACAGGAATTAGAAAATTCAGAAACACGGCTGAATATGTGTTTGTCTGCTTCCATAATCGACAGCACAGTGTCCTCATTGCCTACAGATTCCTGACATTCATGCCTAAGAAAACAAGAGTAAACATTTTACTGATGAAGATGAGTACATATATAAAGACAGAATATTAAAATGAAGTTATGTAAGCTCTTATAATTTAGTCGCATATAACAGCAAAAAATCAGACCATTTCCAAATTACTTGTCGTTTAAAGCAAGGTGTCCCCAATTCTGTTCAACTTGTCCCTAGAGAAAATTGTAAGGAAGGTATAAGAAGGTTGTGCTATAGGAGAAACTACAAGAATACTTGGTTATGTAGACGGCATAGATATAGTTAGCAAAAATTAACTACAGACAGTGAAATCACTGACTCACTTCAAAGAAGAAACCTTCAAAAAATCATCAAATTGGTTTTTAAAAAGTCATTTGTTTGAAGGGAAAACTTCTTTAAATGCTATTTTTAGTAAATATATTTCTATCTTGACTTTCTAAGCATTTTTGCAGACATCAACTAGATGTCCCATAAACCTGTCACTGTAGAAATGCCACTCAAAAGGCACATCTAGGGAATTGAAACCTACCAAAAGTGCCAGCTCAGCTGCTTCCCAGGGTGAAAGGGTTAAATTCTGTTTCAAACTGACAAAAGTGCTCTTGAGACAGCTGAATTGATACGTTAATGAGGATCAACGTTAAACAAATTCAATATCATATTCACGTGTCATGATCCTTAAAGTTTTACACTGGTCTTCGCGTATCCATTCTCTGACTTTGACAATAAGTTTATAATTACGAACAGAGATTGGACATCCTTGCCAAGCTTCATCTTTAATCTTTTCCCCACCAGTTTTAAATCGTGAATAGCACCTAGTAACAGGGAGACAGCATCACATGGTTGTTGGGAGGTAGAATATTGCACAATGTTACAATGGACGAAAATCAACAAGTCTTGGCTACCCTGATGTTCCTTTTCTCGAACCATCACTTGTTTATTAACAGAGAGATATTTGCAAATGAATGACCTAGTTATATAAATAGAACCTGATGTAATGTTGCCATATCAAAGAGAGAGAGAGCCTTGACACACTCGCTTTCTAGAAGTTCTAAAAGAATTCTAGAAGGCCAGCTGTCAATTTAATTAGCATATTTTGGCATAGACTATCTGATGAAATCCAGTTGCAATTATCAAATCGTATGTTGAGAACTTAGACAGTAAACAAGCTGAGCCATACTAGAACCTTCTAGAAGCAGTTTACTGAGTAGAAAACACACACCAAGCATTCCAGCGACTCAGTATAAATAGTGGGAAAGAACCCACTTGAGCATTCTTCAGTCTACAAGACTTAGTAGAAGAGGGACTAGTAACATTGACCCTCACAAATGAGAACCTTCAGTGGTCAAGACTTAAAAGCAGAGGAACCAGTCACAATGAGCCTCGCAGACAGTCACAAGAGAGGAGACATAAATGAGACATCGAACTACAGAGACAATAGACAAAATACATGGATCCATGGTAAAAAGAGACAAATTAGAAAGAAACACCACTGAGATGTTAGATTCGACGATTAAGCCATTAGTATCAGACAGCACTAGAAGCCAGGCTGCAGATACAGAACCAGCTAACAAAGTAACTAGATGAAGAACACAACACGACCTCAGAAGTATGTAACCACAGAGTGAAAACAATGTCCATTCAGAATATCAACAATGTTATTTTGTGACACTGCTGAGGTATCACAATAAAGACAGTACAGAAAAGAAGAGTTATATATCTTTGATGTCAAATGTTAAACATTTTCTCTAAATACCAAATTTTCTTTCACAATTAAATTTCAGGCACCTTCTGTTAAGTCTGAAATTTCATCTTCTACCTTTACACACTCAATGGAGCAAAGGAATCAGACAACTCATATGAAGCTCTCTACAGACGTATTCATGATGTACTGGATTCTTTACACACCCAATGGAGCAAAGGAAGCAGCCCACTCACACCAAGCTCTCTGTAGGCTTGTTTATGATGTATCTGATTCTGCCTTTACACTCCCAATGGAGCAAAGGAATCAGACAACTCATATGAAGCTCTCTACAGATGTATTCATGATGTACTGGATTCTTTACACACTCAATGGAGCAAAGGAAGCAGACAACTCATATGAAGCTCTCTACAGATGTATTCATGATGTACTGGATTCTTTACACACTCAATGGAGCAAAGGAAGCAGACAACTCATATGAAGCTCTCTACAGATGTATTCATGATGTACTGGATTCTTTACACACTCAATGGAGCAAAGGAAGCAGACAACTCATATGAAGCTCTCTACAGATGTATTCATGATGTACTGGATTCTTTACACACTCAATGGAGCAAAGGAAGCAGACAACTCATATGAAGCTCTCTACAGATGTATTCATGATGTACTGGATTCTTTACACACTCAATGGAGCAAAGGAATCAGACAACTCATATGAAGCTCTCTACAGACGTATTCATGATGTACTGGATTCTTTACACACCCAATGGAGCAAAGGAATCAGACAACTCATATGAAGCTCTCTACAGACGTATTCATGATGTACTGGATTCTTTACACACCCAATGGAGCAAAGGAAGCAGCCCACTCACACCAAGCTCTCTGTAGGCTTGTTTATGATGTATCTGATTCTGCCTTTACACTCCCAATGGAGCAAAGGCAGCAACCAATTACACCAAGCTCTCTGTAGGCTTGTTTATGATGTACTGGATTCTGCTGCTAGTTTTCTATGGGTTGAGGTGGTTAGTCTCACTCCTTAGTTGTCTCTGTTGACACCTACGGTAGGCTACAGTATTACTATTCTTTGTTCTCCTTATGGACCCAAGTAACATATAATATGTTTTTGTTGTTCTTCTTCATCTTCAGCATTCCAAGCCCTTCAGGTACATTCCTGCAGACATCACCCACCTCCACATCTCTCTGTGGTTGGCCTTCTGTTTCCAGTTGGTGACGCCAAGTGTTTGTAGGTAGTAATTTGTTCTAGATATGTAAAAACATGTTTTAGAATTAGAGATATTGAAAGTAATATTTTACAAAACAGTTAATATTTGATAATAATGATGTTTGTTAGTGAAGACATATTTTTTGTCTGTGCACACACATGAATGTATACATGAGTTTTTTTAAACTGTGCACAAGTGTTACTAGCAGTCAAGTCGTTTTTTATTTTAGAAAATTTCAAGGCAGGATACAATGTCATGTATTGAGACACAATGATTTCTATTTATAAAAAACAACAGTATATAAAAGAACTAGCCTGTACTTACTCTTTCATTAGAGAAGCAACTTGTCTGAGCAGTGACCCAACTTCCGAGGCTTTTAGCAACAGCTGCTCCTTCAGCCTGATGCTTTCTTTGACTGGACTGACAATTGTGTCCATGACTGGACTATTCGAGCCTCTCTCAACTTTGATACTGCTGTTTGAGCGTTTGACAGCTTTCAGGTGTGTACTGTGTGACACGTCTTTTGTTTTGAAGAGTGTTTCTTCCGACAACTTCATGGCTAACGTTTTCTCGCTAAATACATCATTTACTCCTTCTTTAAAACCTTCAAACTTTGCAACTTGGCTCTTGACAGCAGCCGTCATATCTTCACTTGCCTGCCTTCTAGTTTTTATGTTAACTATCACATTGTCTATTTCACTAAGCTTCCCACCAAGAAAATATGATCTTGTGTGTTCTGAAGTATCCGAAGCAGATCTATTTTTTAACAATGACATGTTTTGCATTTTTTTGCTGACTACTTTTTGATCATGTGCTGCGAGACTCACTTCATTTTGTATTATATTAGCTCTGAGTTTATTTAAATGGCTCTTTGCTAAATATGCAGCTGAGTCGCTTCGCTTAGCTCCTGGCCCCAACATAGGAATCTCAGAGCTCTTGGTCTCAGGAGCAATTCCTGAATCCAATATACTCTGTACTGAACACTGGCTGGGAAGACTTGGTGATCCGGTGGTACATGACAGGTCACTGAAGCCTTGTAAATGCTGATGCTGAGGGCTTTCATTTGTGAACACATCACCTCCTTCACCAGATGTTAGAAGGGTGTTACAGGCAGAGTTCAAATCCCGACACTGTTGGAGAACACTCTTGATCTGGTGGCTCTGCAATGTGAACTGTGCGGAGTGCTGCCTTGCTATAGCACTTACAGCTTCCAAAGTTTTCTGTTTCACAAGATTCAGTGTGGCAGCGACATCTGATAAAATACAGTTGTACTGACTGATGATGATGTTTTTTGCAGTGTCTTCAACATCCTGGAGTAAATGAGCAAAACCAAGGATGAATGAGAAATCATTTAGTTGATGATCAGTACAAGCAAAAACAATTTTGATATAATTTTTTTTCAGGAGTCTTTGTGTATCTGTATCAAAATTCTTTGACAAATTTTCTAGTGCTATGAAGGTTCTTCTTGCCCTCAATATCTAAATCTATTCTTCCAAATGTATCTTCACTGCTACCTAACTGTGTGTATGATTATACATCTTGAAGTGAGGTTTGACTGAAGGAGACTTAGTTTTTATTTTCATGATTTATCTTCATTGTCCACTTCTGGACTGCAGTCTTGTTCCAGAACCTGAGTGTTGTGTGTGCATCTATTTCACAGATATGACTCATCTGCGTGCAGTCCTGTTCCAGAACCTGAGTGTTGTGAGTGCATCTATTTGACAGATATGACTCATCTGCGTGCAGTCCTGTTCCAGAACCTGAGTGTTGAGTGTGCATCTATTTCACAGATATGACTCATCTGCGTGCAGTCCTGTTCTAGAACCTGAGTGTTGAGTGTGCATCTATTTCACAGATATGACTCATCTGCGTGCAGTCCTGTTCTAGAACCTGAGTGTTGAGTGTGCATCTATTTCACAGATATGACTCATCTGCTGCAGTCCTGTTCCAGAACCTGAGTGTTGTGAGTGCATCTATTTGACAGATATGACTCATCTGCGTGCAGTTTTGTTCCAGAACCTGAGTGTTGAGTGTGCATCTATTTCACAGATATGACTCATCTGCGTGCAGTCCTGTTCCAGAACCTGAGTGTTGAGTGTGCATCTATTTGACAGATATGACTCATCTGCGTGCAGTCCTGTTCTAGAACCTGAGTGTTGAGTGTGCATCTATTTCACAGATATGACTCATCTGCGTGCAGTCCTGTTCTAGAACCTGAGTGTTGAGTGTGCATCTATTTCACAGATATGACTCATCTGCGTGCAGTCCTGTTCTAGAACCTGAGTGTTGAGTGTGCATCTATTTCACAGAGATGACTCATCTGCTGCAGTCCTGTTCCAGAACCTGAGTGTTGTGAGTGCATCTATTTGACAGATATGACTCATCTGCGTGCAGTTTTGTTCCAGAACCTGAGTGTTGAGTGTGCATCTATTTCACAGATATGACTCATCTGCGTGCAGTCCTGTTCTAGAACCTGAGTGTTGAGTGTGCAACTATTTGACAGATATGACTCATCTGCGTGCAGTCCTGTTCTAGAACCTGAGTGTTGTGAGTGCATCTATTTGACAGATATGACTCATCTGCGTGCAGTTTTGTTCCAGAACCTGAGTGTTGAGTGTGCATCTATTTCACAGATATGACTCATCTGCGTGCAGTCTTGTTCTAGAACCTGAGTGTTGAGTGTGCATCTATTTGACATATATGACTCATCTGCTGCAGTCTTGTTCCAGAACCTGAGTGTTGAGTGTGCATCTATTTCACAGATATGACTCATCTGCTGCAGTCCTGTTCTAGAACCTGAGTGTTGAGTGTGCATCTATTTCACAGATATGACTCATCTGCGTGCAGTCCTGTTCCAGAACCTGAGTGTTGAGTGTGCATCTATTTGACAGATATGACTCATCTGCGTGCAGTCCTGTTCTAGAACCTGAGTGTTGTGAGTGCATCTATTTCACAGATATGACTCATCTGCTGCAGTCCTGTTCTAGAACCTGCGTGTTGTGAGTGCATCTATTTCACAGATATGACTCATCTGCTGCAGTCCTGTTCTAGAACCTGAGTGTTGTGAGTGCATCTATTTCATAGATATGACTCATCTGCTGCAGTCCTGTTCTAGAACCTGCGTGTTGTGAGTGCATCTATTTCACAGATATGACTCATCTGCTGCAGTCCTGTTCTAGAACCTGCGTGTTGCGTGTGCATCTATTTGACAGATATGACTAATCCTCATGCAAACTGTTCATTCCTTGCCTCTCAGGCAGATGCACTCAGACTTTGAAGGAAGCTCCCAATTATTCAACTCTTACAACATGCTTTAGGTAGGCAGTGGGTCTATTCTTGTGTTGCCTATAATAGGACCCTGGAACCCACATGAGGAACAACCATAATACATCAACACTGCAAGTTGGCAAAGTATTTGATGATGATGATGAATTTAATAGCATGTCATGTTCTACATAATGATTTTAAATCAAGACTATCAGTTGGCAAAGTACTTGATAATGACGACGATGTTAATAGCATGATATATGCTCTTTCATTATCATACATCAACACTGCTAGTTGACAAAGTGCCTGATGATCAACACAAACGTGGCAAATTAAAATAATGTTGTTGCATGAAAAGTAAATACAGTAAAACTTTGATTAACCATCACTGGTTTAAGCGTCAGTTTCTGATATCTGTTACTGCCTTAAAAAAACAGTGCGTGAGTATCAACAAATAAACAGATCTTTAAAACTGTCCACGACGATGAAGGATCAGTTCTTAACCAAAAACCTACAACTAGCCACTGAGAAACAGAAACAATATCATCAAAGTGCATCGACTAGTCTGAAATGCAAAAGGAGGCAAATGCAACGTATATTCTACTTCTGTGTAAGATATGGAACACGGCTGTGCAGAAAGCTCAAGCCTAAGAGACACAGAAGGAGATGCAGATTATTTTAAGTAATGTAGGTTATAGTATTACAATACAGCCTTGGTCCAGACTGTGATGGTTATTCTAAGTTTTATTGTACTTCTTTTGTTTTCACTTATCTGAAGTATAAATTCACATGTCTGCCTTAGGCATACTGTGGAGTGACAACTAACAGCTCCAAAACTGTACTAAGGAAAAAATTATCAAAGAGGTGACTTAGGTGACTTTGGCACAGTGCCAACAACATCAGCACAGCTGGCAAACATCCAAGTATGATGCACATGGTCTCACTTTGTATCTGACCTAGTCTGTTTACAGCTAAGAGTTAGAATCGCCAGAGCATACACAATTACAGGAAGGACCAGGATAAGAAAATGAGGTGACATTGCAAGAACACTATACAAGTAGCCACAGAAGATTAGTAAACCAACACAGAACTGGTGTCATCAGTCGCTTCAAGCTGAGGGACATACTGAAGATGGGATCCGAGTGCTTTTATTACTTGTCTGATGTGTAATGAGGGTAATCTGTTGATTAACTAACTAACCAACCAACCGACCTAACGAACTAAATAATTAACAGCTTGCGAACCTTCACATCTTGGATCTGAGATGTTATTGCATTGTTCTTGTCAAAAAATGTGGTCATCAGTGTTGATAGTTGATTCTTTGCAGCCTGCAGGGCTTCCTGATAACAAGTATTTAAAAAAAAAAAAAAAATCAGATTTAAAACAAATTAAAACACACACACACATACAAACCTCCAAATATGCCTCATAATTAAATAACTTTTCCATATTATATTTCTATTGGATCTGACTGAACAAGTTACTGTGTTCAGACTCAGAATAACATACCTAAGATTCAAAGCTAAAGATCAGTTCCATGGCAATGTGAACTTGTGGATTAGTACCTCAAATTACTAAACACACACTAAAAAGCTGTACCAAAAACTGCTCTGAAAGGACTGCCATTTTGCCAATGAAACAACCCTCAAACTCTGAGGAAGACTGCATCAACTGCAAAAGGTGGGGGTGGGGGGAGGGGCCTTATGGAGAAAACAATAGGTCATGTGGAGGCTGACGACTACAAGTGAGGGGAAAGAAGTTCTCCTGTAATTCAAGGGATGATGTGTCAATATCTGAGAACCTTCACAAGGTTAACAGGATTTGTTTGGTACGATGTACAGCAGGGCCATTCAACTAAGTTTATACATGAACCACAAAGTTGAAAATGGGGACTGTCATGGGCCCGAGGTACTAGCCCCAGCGTAGAAAGATCACTGTTTGGACAATGAGCCACTTGCTAGGCCTCTGTGGGCTGGATTCGGCCAACAGGCCATCAGCTGAATAGCCCTGATGTACAGTGTAACCAAGGACAATCTATCTGAGTATTGCAGTCTCATTTTTGTCTAGCTTCATAATATGTTGATGACAATTCTTTACTACGCACCCGATGAGATACAATCAAATATGTATACTCTGATTAAAAAGTGAAGTAAAGGACTCCTTTGTATGTAAGTAGAACTTAGGTCATATGATGCTAGAGTAGGTCATATGATGCTAGAGTAGGTCATATGATGCTAGACTTGTAGTTTTTAATTAGCACTTAGCAGATGATGTGATCAAAATTACACCAGCCATCTTTACTGCCTAGTTAACAGCTGGTACCAACATTTATCCAAATCCACCCAGCATAGATTCCAATATCTCTGGGTCAGAGGGCAAGCATCAGGTCACTGTGCTACTGTAGCATGTGATCAGAGGATGCATTGCACACTTGCCAAGTATCTAGGGGATATACAAATTTCAGTCCTAAAAAAATACACACAGGATTGCCTCAGCTAACCATGGCCATCCACTCTCACTGGCACGACACATGCTGATGGTGACTATAACTGGAGTATAGGAGGACCAATTCAAGCCAAGGAAGCACCATAATAACCCAGGCACAAGTAACATTTCCTATCATCGTAACCTCAAACATTTTCTATGAGTACTATAATAAAACATGCCATGCCAAGTATGATCTTATTGTGTGATCTGTCTTTTTATTTTCGACAAACACATTGTGATGAAAATGAATTGGTGACCAATTAATCACTGTCTATATATATATATTCACATCGGCCGTCTATTCAGACATGGACAAAACACCCCAGCAAACTATGTTCAAGGTGGCTGCTATGGGTGACTCATGCCTGATACACCCCCTTGATGTGCAGACAGCCCTCTAAAGTTTGAACAAAGAAGACACAAACAATAGATTGCACAATTTATTGTCTGGCATATTTCGCTATATCTCATCAGGTGCATACTACAGTAACAATTACATAAATGAAGCAAATAAGTGAATCCTTTATAACTGAAATACAATTTTCACAATGGGGAAACATTGCTTTGAAGTCCTCTAAAGGTTCTCCCTCAAAGAATCCCTGCCATCCGAGGACCCAAGGTAGATGCACCACTTGGTGGAAAGAATCCTGACTTCCTCTCTGCTACCCAGTCATTTATTTAAGTATCACTGATTAACATCTAGTTAACCAGCCTCCGACCTTCTCATCACAACTCCATGTTAGTCAACACAAAGTTCCCTAGCACCTTCTGTGCACTTAATGACACTCCGTCAACCCAGCGTGCCACACAGCCACAACTGTGCCAAACCCACACATATGGCCGACACAAGTCCATTCTAGATAATCATTATGATAGAATAATGAAGTCCAACTCATGATATATCACAGCTATCCGGACAGCTCACACGAGCTCCGCGGAATACAACATAGTTAAAACTGTCACACTACAATTCACACACTTGTCTGCACACTTAGACTGACTGAAGGCGAATGCCTGATTCAAGCTACCGTGCCCTCTCACCAGCAGTGGTCAGCTAGATGTAGATCTCACATTCCTCACACAAGTCAGGGTGCTGCTTGCAGCTTCAAGCAGCTTCTGTTCCACAACTTTGAGTGGCTCAAATGTTTATACTCACAGCCCGTCAACACAACATGTGTGTACTTATGCTTTACAAAGTCCTGGCTCCTTTAACTCTTTATACATCACTGTGACTTTTGCACACAACAGCTACCACAGCTCCCTGTGTCCTAGGTATTCACAATCATGGGACTGGCAGGCAAACATACATTCTAGCATGCTGAATCAAAAAAAAAAAATTTGATGTTTCAATTTCACAATGTTAACTGTCTATTCTGGGACACCATTGGGGTGGGGGAGAAGAGGGGGGGGGGGTGGAGGGGAGAAGGGGGCAGACCCACTACTCCCCTAAAAAGCATGTAATAAAAGGTGGCTAATTAGGGTTGGCTGAAATCAGATCTGTTGGACTGAAAGGTGCAGACATTGCAGCCTAGATGCAAATAACATTACAATATGCCAACTGAACTGGTAAGGGCAAACGGTGACAAAGGCAGTGGTGATAATGACATTTCACTGTTTCATTTACTCAATTTAGCTCAGTGGCAATTATTTTAAGCACTGCTGTTACGTGTAGTGAAGGGATGCTTAAGCTGCATTTACTGAAGGATTAGAGAGAGGAGAGAGAGAGACAGACAGAGGCACACACAAACAAACAGCCACAGACACACACTGAGAGTCACTTATTCGGTAAATAAACACCAATCCCAGCTCACCCTCAGCTGCTTCCTGGCAGTGTCCAGATCCAAGATCATGTGATGACAGTGTGACCCCACACCTTGGCAAACACACAGGTGACATGCCACCACCTTGCATGTATCACAGAAGATGCTGGCTGCCTCACAGCTGTGGTCTGGACAGTGCAACAAGTGCTCTACTGGTTCTTCAACTGTGGCTTTTTGAATCTAGAATTAATTTCATAAATAAAAATTTCCCTAGACTGCACTTTCAAAAGAGATCATTGTCTAAATTTGTTCAAAAGAGATCAGATTCCAGTGTAAGAGCTGAATTCCCCTGCAAGATTTACCCATATGATTGCAAGTACTATACTGCACAGGGGTAGCTGCTGCAGTTTATTTATTCCAAGAAAAGATTTATTTTCTCACTAAAACCTAGAAAATTGTGCATTATCTTTAACCCTACCAGACCGCTGACCCGATTTTTCTGCAATTTCTGAACCTGATGCTAAACCACTATCCCTAATTTTCGGCAATTTGCGTAGTATGTGAAAAAGATGCGTCACAGACTAAAAATAACTAGCCAATCGTAATCAGATCTCTTGGATAGATGTCCGCCCGCACGGGTTTGGATTATTTTGTGTTGTTTTACGTGAAACAATTCTTTCAATTAGTATTCTGCAGGAAAATTTAAACAAAAAAAAAGTATTGTTTCATTTATGGTGTTGAAATCATGTTGCACTCATGGCACAATCATCACTGAACAATTCATCTGAAGGATCTACATACATTACCCTGCTAAGGCAAAGAATACAGAAATGCTACAAATACAAAACAAGTATTATCATTAAGAATACCAACACAAGTATTATCATTACTCAAATGCTAAAAATATGGAAGTCAAAAATAAAAGCAGACGTTTTTTTTTAAAAACGATGGAAGGGAAAAAAACAGTGAGATAAAAAAATGAGACATGGACAATGTTCTAACAGTTATTACATTTAATTTTTTTTTTATTTTAGTCTATGAAGCGTGACTTTGGTCACCATGTCCACAATTTCATGTCTTGTGTACTGCCAATAATTTATATTACAAATCTTTTTTTCATGCCAAGAGGCAAAACTATCAAACACCCTCTCTCTTTTTTCTTCTTTTGATCCATGCAGTGTGGCTCAGGTCCCTATCCACGTCCAAAACCTCCTGTCTTGTGTACTGCCAGTAACTTACGATACAGAAGTTTTTTGCATGCCAGAAAGCTAAACTATCAAACTCTCTCTCTCTCTCTCTCCTTTTTTTAATCCACGCAGTGTGTGTTGCTTTGGTAATCACATATACAAGATACTTCTCCAATCCATGAGGCTGAACAAAAATCTGCTAGTTCTGTTCACTCCAAATCAACAGGCTGAGTTAAGAACCAACATTACAGCACTCGGGACATTCCCACACACACACTGTCCATATTCTTAGCAGCCAGCAAATAGTTCCAATTCTGATGATACCAGTAACAGTTTAATTATATGTCCATCTTACCTTTCCTCTGAGTGTAGAGTGCTGGCCACATCCTCTGGTAACTTCAGGCAACACCATTCTCTCCGTAATAATCTACTCAAACTTTTAACCCCAACTCAGTGATATAATAAACAGAAATACCTATTTGCGTCACTGATCCACTGCTCCCCCCAAACCCCTTTCTCAACAAGCATGTTGGAAAATAAGACAAATTATGGGTGTTTCATTCAAAGTCAGACTGCATCTGCCTGAAAGGTGAGGAACCAACAATCTGAATACAAATATGCCAGATCTGTAAAACAGGTGCGTACCCAAAAAAAAAAAGAAGTTTTGGAACACGATTAAAGACCAGAAGCGAACACACAACCAGAACTTTCCACTTGCTGAACATGAAGAAGAATAAAGATATAAAACAAACACATCATGTAGTGCGTTCCAACCTTGTGCTGACTGAGTGTTCCACGTTTCGGATGGAAGGTGCCTAAACACAGCTGACAATAAAACACCTGGCACTGCTGACAGAACCATTCTGCTGGTTGGCGTTCTGTTTCTTCACACATTCCTGATAGAATAAACATTATACAAAAACTGCCAATTAGACAAAGAAGATATGTCTTTACATGTGTTGTCCATGAACAAGATTTATGTAAAAATAAATGCTTAACATTTGCGGCATGAGTTGACGGTTTTTGTGTGTCTACATATCGATGACTAGTGGAATGAGTTCTTCACCTATAAGGTACTATATATGATTTTGTATTTGCCTTTTCTTATTAGAATCTCAAAACCCTTTTATATCTCAGTTAAGCATTACTTAAGGAAAGAGAGAATGGTAGTGAATGGCAGTTATGTAGAAGGTAAATGCGCATGCACGCACACACACATCACACATATATAAATACTTTTCATGCGAGTGGTACATTCGGCATATGGTGCTCGATTAATATTTTTTATAGATAATTGGCATTCATTCAGCAATAGTGCCAACATTATGCCAGCTGCCTATACTTCTCAAACATTTCCCACCACCCATTTTAGGCTGGGTCCATCCAGATGCTAAGGTCAATAAAAAAAAAAAAAAAATCAGCCCTGATGAGGATTCAAACTCAAGACCTTCAGGTCAGAGGCAACCATCCAGTCACTGTGCTGCTGTGGCTCCTACCCCTCACCCAAATATTAAACAGACTTATAGATAGAACAGTTACGGAGACTGATTATTGATTGCCCATTGTATGCTAATGACCATGCAGGCACATGTTAATTAATGAAGCTAGAGATGAACTCACTCAGCGCCAAGAAACACACACTGTGTTTGTTATGTTCTGCTTACATTACATATTATCATCAGGTGCCTTGCCGACTGGCGTGGGTGATCATACCTCTCGATAATCCACGATCTCCTTCAGCATGTATCAGTTTGTGTGCCGACACACCTCCATGCCATGCAACAAGACTGTCAAGCATCTTCTCTCGTTGTCTTCCTCTATCCCTCCTTCCACAGATCTTTCCAGTGGTCACAACAACATTACATATACATTTTTCTCAACTATTTGTGTAACAACCAGGTGTGAAACTTACGTGCCCTGCCCCAACTGCTACTTTACTTCTGCATCTTTCATACCGTTATTATTTTACCTGATTACAGCCCAAGCATTTGTTAATATCATAAAAAAAAAAACACTTTCTGACAGAGTTCATGCTTTCTGTGATGCTTTTGGCAGGTGGCTAGTGGTTCTGTGGGAGAGACCGAGCCATATGGGATAAAACCGTGTGCACTGAAGTCTATCCTCTTAACTTTAACCTTTGACTTTCTATAGAATACATTAAATAATAAAACTAACGCTAAAGTCAAGAGGACTGACTTCATTGCACCGCATTTTATCCCATACAGCTTGGTCTCTTGCCAGAGAAAGGCTAGCTGCCTGCTAAATGTTTTACACAAAATATAAACTCTATTCTCCAGTGATGATCCCAGTAAAAATGGCATTGCTAATTGAATGAAAAAGTCTATGAAATAAGCCCAGGACATTCACAGTACAAGGTATACGGCTTGCCATTTTACCATGGATCAACCATGGAGAGCCCAGATCAATATCTGTCTAATACTAAGAGTTCAGACCGGAGGCTGGTTACAGCAGAAATGAATGAAGTGAACAAGAAAACAAATACAGGCAGGGAAACTAGTGAATGCACACAAATAGAGGGAATTAAATGGTGTAATAAAATTACTAATGTTGAGTTTTAGAAGAGAACTAAACAAGTTTTAGTGGATAAAAGAGAAGAAAAGACGCTGGTGCTGGATAGGACACATGTTAACAAAACCCAAGAAAATGTTACTAGAATGTTTTTGCACTGAAAAAAAAAAAAAAAACACACACGGAGAAGAAAGCTAGAGAGTGAAGTTAAAAGAATGGGGAGGATACAGGGTGAGCTGCATGCAACAGTGAAGGACAGAAGGAGGTGAGTTGGTTGAGGGCCTATGCTCCATTGGGGGATAGAAGGCAAAAGAAGAAGATGAAGAAATGGAGATGGAGCAGGTCACAATCCATATTTACACCAGACTTGTTACAGCTAGCTGGAAGACAACAATCTTCATCCAGAAATAAAGTACCTACCCATAGAAATCAGATGCCTGAGGAAACTGAAAGGATGAATTCAAGAAAGGCAAAGAATTCAGAGATTTGATTGGACAACTGCTGGTATCTGTCACTACTGCTTGTATTTATAGTACCACTTGTTTAGGGCACTGTAGATGCCGGGGTGGGTCATGAGCCTGAGGATTTAGGGCTACATAACTAGTGCTGTCACTATGGACTGTGAAGGTTATGATGTTTACAAAATAAAATACAACAGTTATAAAATAAAGCAGACAGCATTATACTGAGTACATCATGAGGCAAAGCTCCTAACCCTCACCCAACAATCACAAAACTGGCTCTAAAATGGGAAACAAATGGATTGAGTAATAGAAAGCCTAGGAGGAAATGTTGACGAGAGAGAAGTACTGGACTGGATTAAACAAAAGACTGCACAGAGAGAATGGAATGGAAGAATCAACTGAGAACCTTCTGTAAAGTATAAATGGCACAACAGGGTGATGATGTTAAAAAAACGTGGCAATTTAAGAAGTACTCACCACAGAAACACTTTTCCAAAGACACCTCAGATATACCAGAATTCTTCTTATGCAACTGAGATACTGCTTCACAACTGCTAGACCCGGATGAAGACTCTGGTACATCAAACTGGGCAACTTTGCTGAGGCTGTAGCTACGAATCTCCTGGTAACGGAACACAATGTTCTCTAAAGCCAGATTTTTTGGAAACCTCACAACTTCATCTGAAGTGAGAACGTGGTTCTGTCGGCAGGTGGGACATTCCAAGCCTGTGGATGAACACAACAAACATCTGCAATTCCAAACATCTAATTTACTGATCAACAGTAAAATACACCGTCAATTCAATGGGCATGTGATAAGAATGAATACACATACATACACACACACATGTATGCAAACAACACACAAACACGTCGCTGTAGCTACGGAGTTTTGTGCAGACAGCTACACAGGCGGACAGTTCCTTATCAGCTGTCTGTACTGGTGGTACAGCACTTATGGTTTATGACTGTGTGCAATGATGCTGGTTCACATCTCCCAACTATACCTTTACGTATGCACATATATATACATGTTAAATGTTTAATTAGGAATCAACATCATAGCACTCAGGACACTCCCATAAGCACTGACTATCTTCAGCAACAAACAAAGAGTTCCAATTCCGATGGCACCAGTAACACATATACATGTATGCAAACAGACATACACAAATGCACACTGGCAAACATTTATGCAGGCATACATGTATGCACACATGCACATTTATGCAAAAAGGCACGTATGTATGCAGACACATACACTCAATGATGTATGCAAACACACATATGTATGCATACAAATGCAAATACACACACACAGATCTCCACGTATGCATACACACAAGCATTATGCACACTGACACACATGTATGCATGATTGCATGTGTACACACATATGCATTTTTTCAGATACAAATTATGCACACACATGTGCAAATGTACACTCTACAGTCTTAGCTTGAGAATACAGAGAAGAGGGTGTTGAAGTCTCATTACAACCAACATGCAAGAAGGAAATGGCACATAATAAAGTTCCCTACCTTTTTTGCCACCTTTGTTCCTGCTTGTCATGATTTCCTGTAGACAAGCTTTACAGATACTATGTGTGCATGGCAGCATCAACGGATCAGCATACAGCTCCAGACAGACAGGGCATGTGAGTTCCTCCTCCATGTCTTTGTAAGTGAAATCTGTCAATTCGTATATCATTAATAGTTAAGTGTTATTTAATGTTGAAGCTAAATTTAATAGCATCTTCATCCCCATGTTGTGCTGTCAGTGCCAAACATGAAAATGAGTAGATCATAGAAGTACAAATTAAGCACCTATGAAATGCAAAGGTCACCAATAACACAAGAAAAAACAAACAGTGTCCCAAATACCAGCACAAGAAAGAAGATTGAAACAAGACCGTGCCTGAATTAAATGGAAAGACAAAGAATCAAGTGGTTTGGCCATCTAGTAAGAGTGTTGTCAAATCAAATTGTGTATTAAAGGGTTCAAGCAGAAAATCAGGGCGGAAGGTAAGAGGAAGACCACAGAAGAACTAATCAAATGATCTCAGCTTCCTAGTTGGCCCAGCCAGAATTGAGTAGCAGGAAATGACATGGGACCTAAAGTCAGCCAGCGTTTGTTGACTACACATCACCCATCAAATGCAAACTAGTTTATCCAAAAAAAAGGGGGCGGGGGGTTGCGCAAAATACACCATACATAATGAACAATTTAAGGAAATGTTCTGCTATTGTGTTTCCATCCAGCCCACCTCTACATTCAACCAATGTTATCTGCTTGACTCTGGCCATGAAGCTGATGGTAATTGTTACTTTGAGTTATTTTCCACTAAACACACATTTACAGAAACTGTCAAAAGCTGTGATAATTAAAATGAACAGTTCTTTCCTTTTTGTTGACCCTATCTCAAGGACTCCAAGACTTCATGGGGAGTTCCCTGTAAAGTCCAATTATCATGGAAGGATGGGTGTGTGTGTGTTTACTGGCTGTTTATTTCACGCCCCAACATCCCTATACCACTGAACTTTTCTGGAAATCCCCCATATAATCTTGAAGTCCCAGATATGAGGTGAACAAAATTAAAAGGACCAAATGAACAAACCCAACCTGGGTAAAGAAAAGAGCATGTCGTAAATTTGAAACTTCCATAGTAATCATGTGGCTAATCTTTAATTTCTAGTGTTGAGATGTCGTGTAACTAGAAACATTATGAACTGTGATCAGTGTATTTCAGTGAAAAGGATTCATTTTTTGTGCTGAAGTATATGCTGATATAAATCTGTAGTGATAAACATGATAAGAGACAGTAAATTATGCCAAGCAATAAACAGAGCAATGTATTGTTTGTGTTCACATTATACAAATTACATGATACTGGCTTTCAGTGTTAACATGCCATAAAGTACTATAATTACCTTGTGAAGACTTGGATGGATGAATCCCATCCATTGTTACAAGCAGGCAAACCTGAAATAAAAAAGTACTTTAACAGTAAAAGAATTTTTTATATCATACTAAACAAATTTTTATAGTTATGCAGATGATACAGTATTACCAGCTGAAAATGCAGAAAACATACAATTATTAGACATTGTGGTAATTCTTTTTCTTTTCCAACATTTACCTCAGTGAGGTGTAGGAGGGGGAGGGGGGGGGGGGGAGAAATGTAAGGTTCGTTTGTGCACTTTTCCCAATGCTTTGTACAAGTTTGTGTTCATTTATGTTAGGTTGCTCATGATGGTGTCGCTCCATATCTTGTGAGGTCTTCATCTTGCTCTGTGTTTATTATATTTCTTCAGCGTGACTCTCTGTGGCAGTTGGTACCAGGGCATTCTCGTCAGGTGGCCAAACCATCTCATTTGTTGTTCTTTAATGAATTGTGTGACTAGTTTCAGTCATAGTCTTCTTATAATTTCCTCATTCTTGATTTTATCTTTTCTTGTCACACCAGCAGCTCTCCTAAGACATCTCATCTCTGTTGTTACGTTCTTCTGCTCATTGTGGTACTAGAGGGTGCAAAAAAAAAAAAAAAGGACTTGCCTTGAATGTCAAGAAAACAGAAACAATAGTTATTTTTAAGTATTTTAACACTAGTGCTACCAGTAAGTGTCTGTGGTTTATGTGTTGGGAATGTGATTCGTGATGCCAGGGTACTGGGTTCAGTCCCAGCTGCAGGCGATCTGGCAGCAAGACGTCAATGGTTTCAACAGTTGTATCGAGAGTACCGTTCAGGAAGCAACAGCCAACTAATCGACGCAAATTTGCCTAGAAAAATTACAACAGCCAAAAAAGTTCTGGAGTTGATTCTGCAACGTTCTGTAAAGGATACACACACAACTAACTTAACCACTAGGCAGTAACATTTGCCTAAGATAGACAGAGACAGAAAATTGGGCTCTCCTTTCAACTACGGCCAGTCCACAACAGTAGACGGCCGGTTTGTCGGAGTTCTGTCCCCTTGCTGCAGTGCAATCACGGAGTGGACAGGAGGGAACGAAACAAATGACATAATTACTGTGTGTTGGCGATAGACAGTGTGCACTGCCCTGCTATAATCATACGGTTACGGTTTGGGTTAGGGTTTGAGTTAGGGGTAGGGGTAGGGTTACGGTTAGTGTCGCCGCATCTCGTCTTCGCACAAACTCATAGTAGCAACCCAAACCCTAAACCTAACCCTAACCATATGATGACAGTAGGGCACTGCACGCTGTCTATCGCCAACACACAGTAATTATGTCAGTTGTCTTGTTCCCTCTATTCCACTCCGTAATGCGTCGCAAGAAGTGGTAATTAAACGCGGTCGCTAATTTGAGTCGCAGCGCGGGGTCTGCTAGGCATGTCGAGCTCACTGTGTGTTCTGATTCGTGCCGTCTCCAGTCCGTAATTGCACTGCAGCCAGGGGACAGAACTCCGACTAACCGGCCGTCTACTGTTGTCTACCGGCCATAGTTGAAAGGAGAGCCGAAAATTGTTACTGACGGCTGAATCAATCATTTATGAAATCTTAACCTGAATAATAAAACATACAATATATATATATATATATATATATATATATATATATATATATATATATATATATATATATATATATATATATATATATATATCATAGCTGTTCATATGGATTTTTATGTATTTCAACTATTTCTTGGTTTTATGTTTACCTTGGTTGTTTGGAAGATGTGTTTTGTCCGATGAGTTTTCCAGTCACAGTGTCAGTTTGTGTTGGTATTTAAAACTCCGTTGATAAGATATAAGATAAAGACTTTATTTGGTGGAAACTGGGAACCTCGTTCGGTTCTGTGGCAACTTTGTTTATCCCGCCTATGCGCGTCTTTTCCATTCCCTAAACGAAGCTTTTTTCGGGTTTCTAGTAAGTTACATTTTGTGTTGCAGAAAAATAGAGCAGGTTTAAGATCTTATTTTATTTGTTTCAAATATGCAATGATTTCGCACTATAATTATATTTAATTAATTATGAATTAATTATCAGAGAACAACGAATCGCATCCTGTTGTTGTTGTGTGACGTTTCGTTTATTTAGTTAAGTTATCGATTAAGTTAACCATCAACAACACACTATAATTATAATGAATAATAGTATAATGTATACTGTTCATTTCTTAGGGTTTATTCAGAGACTCCAATAAGAAAATAAAAATAAAATAAATCAGTGTGAAACTACACAATTATTAACAATATATACATTATTATAAGTTATATATCTTGTATAACTGTATATGTTTACTATTTTAACTATTTTATGTGTGATAACAACACAACACTCGTAATATTGGAACTCTCTAGCTTAAAGGCAACAAAAGCCATTAGCTAGAACTCTTCAATGTTTTAACCAACAACAAACATGGCAGACGTTGTCATGTCAGATGCCACGTCCTATACGTTGGTAGAAATTGACAGTTTAACTGATCTGGAGGAGATGAATATTGCTCTTAAAAAATTATGTGACGGGGAGGTATATCATTCTCACTATCTATCTATTGTCTTTTTCACTTTTACCGGGTTGCAGCCCAGTGTCGTGGTTTAAAATCGTTTTGGCTTTGTTTACATTGGACAAGATGGCAGGCAATGAGACACAGCCACTGGCTGAGCCAGCGATTGCCTGAAAAATGTCACTGTACATCTACCTAGCCACTGACAAGAAAGAAATTTTATATACAAATGTAAAATTGGACGGAGAATTCAATTATAACTAGCATTACCATGTCTAGTAACAGTTAAAGCCTAAAGCCAACCCTGAATACTTATCGCTATTTTCAATCAAACTGATGTAACAGAAAAACAGAGGACGTCCGGCTGTCGTAGACATGCGCTGTTAATCGGGTTCCTTCCCGCCATTTTCAGCTTTTTATAGTGGGTGAAAATCACACCAATCGCAAAATTTCATGAGAGATTAGGACCCATCTCGAAACCCCAGCCGACATTTGCGAAGCAAGTTTTGAACGGTTTCCAGGGTAACGGAAATTGCCAAAAGACCGCAAATTGCCGAACACCGTAGTCGCTAGCTTACTAACTTTCTGTTCGAGCGTTTCCCGACAGAAATATAATTTTGGACCCCATCCATTACCTACCTTATCTTCTGACTTCATAAGTGAAACTAGTTTCGTAGAGCAATGAAAATTGTTAAGCGGCAGCTTGTATATTCTGAATTTTGTCCCTTGAGTTGGGAAGATGAGCGAGTTTTTTTCATTCAGTTTCAGAGTTTTTAATTTATTTTTTGGCTATCCTCCTATATTACCAATGCTGTACCGATCATATTTAGCCGAGTTTCAATGGTGCCACAAAGAGCAGATTTTCAGGCACTATTTGCAACTTCTGTGCCACTTTCTTCGGATATAAAGACTTCAATTATCGCTAACTAGTCGATTTCATCATTTTCCCTTATTTTTCGTTCCTCACAATGCCTCATTTTTGAGTTCAAATTTTTGAATGTTTACAACACACGACCTAATGAGGCCCTGTCAGGGTGTGTTTTTGGCTGCCATAATATTCAGAGCATAGCCCTTAGTCTTTTCATGCTAGCTTGAAAAATGTTAACCATGTCTAAAGGAGAGAAGACCAATTTCTTTGCATCGGGTTTCAGGCTCTCCTCCGAACTTCTACCCCCACAGTTTTGCGGCCTGAAATATCCGATTAAACATAATAAGCTATTAAACTCACCGCCGAGCATATCCCCCGCCTTTCCACTGAGTGACTGCAAGAGCATTGTACTATGAACTTACTCTGTAGCTCCAGAAACTTCAGAGCAGAGAGATTTTAAATGCTCTGAAGGACTTGAACTTTTAGAATGGCTGCCATTTAATATTTAAAGCTGAGAGATATGCACACAGGATTAAAGCTACATTTGATGCACACATGTATGTACACAGACATAGTTGAATCACACATATGTGCACACAGACACAATTGATTCACATATACTTGCACACAGACACAGTTGATGCACACAGACACAGTTGATGTACATAGACACAGTTGATACACTCATACATTCACACAGACACAGTTGATACACTCATACATTCACACAGACACAGTTGATACACTCATACATTCACACAGACACAGTTGATACACTCATACATTCACACAGACACAGTTGATACACTCATACATTCACACAGACACAGTTGATACACATACACATGCACCCTGACACAACTGATGAACACAGACACATTTGATGCACACAGACACAGTTGAAGCATAAAACTGGATAAGAAAATCAAACTGGGTTCCTGGAAAGGTAGATATACATAAGACCGTGTTCATGGAAACAGGAAAGAAAATCATATGCAGAGGTTGAAACAGACCAGGAAAAGTTTAAAAAAAAAAGAAATATTTTGACCACATCAAAACACTACGACAGATTAGAAAAAAATGAATAGCGAAAAAGAGGCAGGGACCGACTAGCATGAAGATGGGCACACGCTAAAAGTGACATTGGGTGGTAAAGTGCATGAGGCAGGAAAGCTAGCTAGAGACAGAATTTCTTTCAGACAGACCATGATGAGAGCGACTTGCCCCATAATGATGATGAAAATAAAAAAGTTGAAAAAATAAAAGGAGATATTAAGTATTTTAATTATTGAAAGACAAAATACTTTTTACAAAAGCCATACAGGAAAGAAAAATCACAGGCAGACAAGCAAGAGGAGCTAATGATACGTAGAAGGGAAACATCAAGGGAGGGACACAAAGATGGTCTGAGAGACCGCACTTAGGGCAAAAGACAGCTAGTTTTAGAATTTAGAGTAGAGAAAAGAAAGAAAGGGAGCAACTTTCACATCCGATGGAAAACTGGACAGAGAAATTAGCTTGAGATATACCAAAGCTAATCAAGTAATGGCGCAACTATCTTCCCTGTTGACACACAAGCAGATACCCCGGAGTACTAAAGTGAATCTTATCAATGCTATTTTTTTTATGCCATGCTATCAGTGCCAGACATGGACACTTACATCCTCTAATAAATGTAAAATTTTGACAACAGAGATGAATTGCCTCAGAAGAGCTGCAGGAGTTTCAAGGAAAGACAGAATACGAAATCAGACGAATGCTAGGAATAAAGCTAGTTTTACAGGTCATCAAAGAACAAAAATGAAATGGTCTGGACACCTAACAAGAGTGCCCTGGTACTATATACCACAGTGAGCCACACTGAAACGTTACAACGAGTATAGAGGGAGCGAAAGAACTTCACTGAGGTACAAGGTGGAAGAGAAGAACAACAATAGCATTTTGAGAGTTGATGGATGATAGATTTCAGAATGTGTAAATATTCCATGGTGGAACAACTCACCATACATTCCTTGACAAGCCTGAAGAAAGTAAATTTGTCTGGCTTCATTCCTTCACACACAGATCTTACATGAGCCCAAGATGGAACAGTTAGAGAACAATGAGAGCAGTGCTTTCATACTGCTGCATTAAATGAGAGACTGGGGCATTACAGCTGTGAGAGTAATCACATCAAACATATAAGATCTTGTCACCCAGCATGAGACTGGCACTGTTTATTTGCTGCAGGACACTGATGTATATGTTAAGGGTTAGTCTGAGCTCTGATAGGTATATCTGGAGAGGTGTGAGAATAAGCCAAATGATAACTCATTCATCAACTCATGATGTACAGTTAATTTAGTTTCTATCCAGTTGTGTGTGTGTGTACGTGCATTAATTTAACTCATTCTGATTCAAACATTCTCCTTTTTCTTTCTTCTTATTTTCTCTACTTATGGAATGCCTTGCGGCAGGAACAGATCTCTGGAAAGGGTCCTACTGTTTGCTTCTCAAAATGTACTTTTCAGTGTCTCTGATATTTCAGCAGTCCAATATGTGCGTATGAGTTATGAGTTAGATTATCTTCACAGGACTCTGGACACATCCATAGGCGCTCTGATTCCCCTCTCAACATATTCATCAGCGTTGTGCGGTTAATAGTACCAGTGCTTTGTTGGTTAACAATACTTTGTGTGCATCCAGTGTGCTTCTCATGCTTGGCTGTGCCAATCTTTACTCCCAATTCGTGTATTTTTAGAAGTGATGTGAACACGTTGCTTCCAAAATCCTCAGAACGTCCTATCCCTCTAAGGGCACTGACAATGTCTGCGTGATCCATGGTCTGGCCATCTTCAATTAATGCAGTACCTGTCAGTCTATCAGCTCTCTCATTACCAACAACACCTGCATACCCTGGAACGAATATGAAAGTAACTGCACACACAGGAGAATATTGCAATGACTCAAGCCACTGTCTGCATAACCAGCCTGCCTCGACCCGCCAGATCATACTCAAAGAATCACTCAGCACACACATCTGGGAATAGTCCTGTGATCCCAGCCACATAAAAGCCTGTGTCACCGCCATCACCTCCATCGTCATGCTGCTGGTGGTCATGGAGAAGGCACCGCTGGCTTCCTTTTCTGTTCTGCCTGAAGAGCGAGCTGTAAATGCCCATGCACTCTTATGTCCTCGTATAACGGACCCGTCTGTGAAGATCAACACATCTGTCTCATCTGACTTGTCACTCATAAGCACACGTACCTCGGCGTTGACAGCAGCTGGATTCTGCTCCCAAAAACTCCTATCGAGCGTCACAACACAGGAGAATGTGAGATTGGGCGCATTAGACTCTGGTATCCACTCCTCACCTGTAATACTGCAAACCTGCATGATGTCATCCTCTGCCCTACCCAGCCATGATTTGCCCCTTTTAAGCCTATTGCCCTTTTTCTTGAAGAGCATGTGGTGCAAAGGGTGCTTCAGATCTGAGCTTATTTTGAGGCATGCACGAGCCCTCCTGATCTTGATCCTGTAGTTCATGGTAGGGAAGTCAGGAAGGTACCTCATTGCTACACAAGAGGTGTCTCCAGTGCACCCTAGAATATGTGCGTCGTCGACCTCTGGCTCTGTTACCGTTGTATAGCATTGCTGTCTGTGGTTCAAACATTGACTGCTCTAAAGTAGAACTCCATGGAGTAGAAATAATTAAAGTAATTACTGGCTGACACTTCAAAAGATAATGATTAAATTGTATCTGTCATTTTCTAAATGTGTTGATTTTATTTCCTCACAGGTTGCAATTGAAGAGGAGCTAAAAGTGCTTCTAGATCATCAGGACATCTTAGAGAGCAAGATGTCTGGCTTGTATAAAATGCTGTAGGTTTATGACAATTTTGTTTATATTTTTTTTTGTTATTGTGTAAAAAAATTATTAGTTGATCATACGAAATGCTATCCACATGTAGGTTCTGGTGCCCTATTTGCAGAGGAACTGGGGAAAAAAAAGGGGGGGGGGGGGGGGGAATAGACTAACAAGCATGTCATAAAAGGTAACTAATTATTAGCTTGTTGTAATCGGATTTGTTGGTCTGAAAGGCACAGATATCTGAGCCTAGCTGTAAACCACAACTTATTGTGCCGATTGCCCCTTTTAAGTGTGAACACAGAAGAAGAAGAAGAGCTGTAAAGTGATGTACATCAATGATGTTGCTGTTTTATTTCAGACCTAACCTACAGATACTTGAGACGGATTCAAAGCAATTGTGTGGCATGATCTCATTCACTTCGACCCTCGCTGAGAATGTCAGCAGTAAAGTCAGGAAACTGGATCTGGCCAAGGTTCCGTATATGAAAACTTGATCAGTGTTACATTATCTCTGCATTGTGAACGTTGATCTATTCAGTTACAATAAAATAGCAAGGAAAAATAATATATATGATGTTTTCATAAAATGACAACCATTGTCATCTAGCACAAATTTTTTTTTTAAGTTATTATAATTTTTAGGTCTGCTACCTGAAGGTTTGACTCACAATGACTTATTGACAACATCATTATCATCATCATAGACCGCTTCTGCCATTAAGTGGAATCATTTGCGATCCAGTGCACATTGGCTGCCACTGGCTATTGTCATGCCAAGAAGGTGTAGAGTTTCTTTAATGTTGTCAATCCAGTTCTTTTCGTGGCCATCTTCTAGCTCTTGTTGCTGATCTTTGGAGATGTAGTGCTTGTGATAGCATTGATTTTGCTGCATTCTAATGAGATGGCCAGACCCCTTGATCTGCTGTTTCTCGATGAATCTAGTACACGGTGTTGTTCCCATAATGTGTCTGATAGTGTCATTATTGACTTGATCTCGGATGGTCCGGTTGGTGGATTTTCTCAGGCATCTTATTCCCCAAGTTGGTGATCTTGCGTACGTGGGTTTTAGATACTGTCCATGTGTGACACTGATAGCTTAAAACCAATTGTTCTGTTCGTTAGTCAGTTATTACTAAGTTAAATATGACTTTTGAAGTAAAAGTGTAACATTTTGTCTTACTACATTTATGGTCAGAGATTCAACAATACCACAGAGCTCTCTAGAGCGGACGAGGAGAAGAGGCAGACCAAGAAACCTGGATACAAAACTTGACTGACTGGACAAGTCTTAGGCATGTGACCATGAAGTCCATTGCAGCTGAATGTCAAAGGTGGAGGGCTGATCAGACAGTCAACAGCAACTAGTGATCCAGTGACACACACTATTACGGGATGATGATGGTCAGAGAACATGAACACAAACAGCATTAAAAGTCTATGGTTAAGCACCAACAAGGAAATCCAAGTCAATTTTGAGAGCATGCATCTTTCTTGCGGAAACACACAGATGTGAGTCGGGGGCTATCTCACAGTCTTTAACCCTACCAGACCTGAGGCCCTGAACCTAACTGCCCCCCTAAACCTAAGCTCCTGGGCGTTAATACGAAAAAACCGACATATACAAAATATTAGTTACATGTAAACAAGTGGCTAGAATAAGATGAAACTTGGAGACATTGTAGAAAATAGGTTTACCTTTGATCTAGCACCAATATTCCACCTTTGTGTGCCAATCCACCCAGCAGGATCAGCCTTGTTTCACAAAGTGAGCACAAGATGTTGCTGTTGAGGGACACGCCTCCTTCTCTTATCGATCTATTTCTAGATTTACAATTTTCAAGATTCTCCTCATTATTCGAGCACTCACCGACTATGTCACTTTAACTGGGAACGTATTCTTCATGAAATTATGACTCTGCAGAGTCTGAATCAACCAAAGTATCGATCACCTGTTGGACTGTGAAAAGCCTAGACCTAATTCACTTTCCTGTGGAAGTGCTTGGTTCATCAGCCGCTCGTTTCATTGTGAATTTTCAGAATATTTTCACATTAAACCACCCAAAGTAAATCCAAATACACGTGGGCAGCCATTCGCAGTGACTAACCATGTAGTTTGTGATGCATTTTATCACATAGTACGCACATTCCTGAAAAATCTGGACAACTGTATAAAGGCAAGTTAGAAAATTACAGCAGTAGCGGGACATCGGTCTGGTAGAGTTAAGGGAGAAAAATAGTAGTTTTTGAGCTGAAATGCTATAGTAAGGTTCTCAGAATAAAATGCAAAAAGAAGAAAATAGATACTGACATCCTAACAGATCTGAAATCAGGAGGATTGGCAAGTAAACAGCATCTTATCTAAGAAACAGGCATATTCTGTTTGGCCATATCAAGCCCCACTGTGGTTTAGAAAAAATAATAGCAGAAAGCATGGTACCAGGAAAGAGGGTTAGGGGCAGGGGCTGAACATCACGACGATGAGCACGGTATATAAGTGACACCTTGGGTAGGAAGAGGTAGGAGAGCTAGTGAAAGGCCTAGTTTCTTTCAGGCAGACTGTGATGAGATCGCCATCATGTAAAGGACCTGCTACATGATGATGAACATGAGTGCACACAAATTCAGTTACAGACGTGCTAAATCAGACCCAAGGCTATGTATATGAAAGGCTCTTCAGCTTCTCAGTTTCATGACTAAGTTCAAAACTTACATTGGGGGGGGGGGGGGGGGGTTTTATATTGTTATGCTCATGTATTTTATTTTCATTCACATTTGTAAAGTACCCGCACATTGTAATTTAAATTTTATAATTTTATCTGGTTAGGAAGGCATTTTCATGATTTCACCATCCTTGATATGGTTCAGTAGCAGGCCATTCGACAGTGGGATGCTTTTCATTGATTTCGACAAAACCGTATGAAAGCTGACCATTTAGAGATCATTGTCAAACTACTGAACATACAATGACCTAGTAAAACCACAACAAATGCTGTGATTGGTTTGCAGCATCCTGTAAAGGATTTGCATCTAATTATATATATGTATACATATATATTTATATATATATATATATAATGTTTTTAGTTCTGTTTTAATCGAAGAAAATTAAATTTTAAAGAGAATAAAAATTAATACAGTATTTCTGTAATTGTCCCCAAAATGTACAGAATCGAGTAGTTGAGTGTATGCAGAGAGTGGAGGATATCTTAGATTTGAAATTCTGTACAGATGGAGTGCAAACAGCTCTGCAGAATGAAGACTATGAGAAGGTGAGTAGATGCCATCTAGTAGATGGCTGAAATGCTTAGGAATTGATGGCTGTCTCTTTGTGTTCAGATGTGACCAAATAGACAAACACTTGAAACTTGGCCATCAGAGTAATATGCTTTAAAGAAACAAAAAATTAAATACTGTTTCTTTGGTTCTTATTATTTCAAATAGTTTTGGTTTTTATGTTTTGCAAATCTTCACTCTTGCTTTAGTTACTGATATTAAGTTATTCTAAATTTTACTTTACACTTATTTCCATCTTTTTCCTAGTCTTGGCTTTGGTCTTGTACTATTAGTCATCATTCGCTTTCCTTGTTTCTCAGTGAGAATTCATATATGAATTGAGCTGAGTCAAGAACTGACATCACAACACTCAGGTCATTCCCATAAATGATACATCCCCATCTTGAGCACACAGCAGAGAGTTCCAGTTCTGATGGTAACCGTAGCAGTCTGACTGTATGTCTGTTTTGCCTGTCTTCTGTGTGTAGAATGTCGGCCATATCCCCAGGTGACTTCCAGCTGCATCTTTCTCTCCAGACTATGACGACTGAGAACTCATGTACAAATATGGCCAGCCAGTCTGATGCTTTGTGATGTGAACAATTTGAGGGTCTTTTTGTAACTATATTAGTTCTCTGTTTTTACCGTTAACAGTGCCAGGAATCTTTGTTTTCATAGCTCTGCAAAGAACTGCAGCTCAGTAAAGTTATGGCTTCTGCTACAAATTTATCAGTTATATAATGCTATTGACATTATCAGTGATTTGTATTGTTGACTATTTTGGGTTGATAACTAAACACATCTTCATACTAGACTGCAGCTCTTTCCCTGTGTTTCTGCAAATGAAACAGAAATTTCAGAAAGATAATTTTAAATCTCTCTCTGTCTGTCTGTCTGTCTGTCTGTCTGTCTGTCTGTCTGTCTGTCTGTCTCTCTCTCTCTCTCTCTCTCTCTCTCTCTCTCTCTCTCTCTCTCTCTCTCTCTCTCTCTCTCTCTCTCTCTCTTTCTTGTCTTGATTGTCACTGTCTCAAATTACCTTTTGTCCATCTCTTTGTCTGGTTCACTCCTTCCCCTAATTATATCACTGTCTACCTCTTACTCTTTTGCTTTCAACTTTTTCCTCAGTGTTATTTTTATAAAAATCTTATATATTTTAATGTCGCTGAAATATTTCTCGTCTGTTTTTTTTTCTCAAGTGTCTTAGCATCTCTCTTCATTTCCAGTCCTTTCACAGTCCTGTTGTATTTTATAATAACTGCATCAGACACAGAATATTCTCAGTATCATATGTTTCAGTCATATTTGATTCCGTGATTTATCACCTGGACAGGAAACAGACAATCAGAAAGTCAAATGGAGTCTCCAGAGACTTTGATATACAGAAAAAGCCAGAGGTAGACGGTGATACAGATAGGAATCAGATAACATCAACAGATGGACAAACAGCTGTCTGAGAGAGTGTACAACCAGGATAAGGGGCACAGCGTAATGGAGATCCACTTTCTTTGTTGAGACAGCACTTGATTGTGTGATATTGCTGAACCATCTGTTACTCAGTGAGACCTATAATAACAATGCAGACATTAAACAACATTAAGAGAATAGCCTATGGCATAACACCAGCAAACAAATTACAGTGAAAATGTTGAGAGCATGTAGCTTTCTTGTGCAAATTGATATTTTGTTTGCAGTCACAGAAGAAGAGAGTCTTGAACAGTTTATTCTCTCCTTCTCCCACAAATGAAAATACTATATAAACATGTGTTTTTCATATTTATAAAATACTTGTTTTGTTTGTTATTCAGGCTGCAGGGCATATCCACAGATTTAGAAGTTTGGATGAAACTGTCATCAGGATAAGTGCAGAAACCAGTGAGGGTGAGCTTATGTTCATTATTATCCACATGAATTTTGATAATGGAATAGAGGACTAATATTCTGTTTCATGGAGCCAGTCGGGCCTAGTGTCATAATCAAATAAATTAAATGTGATATTGAACAGGGCAGCATATAAAGAAATATTGAAAGTATGTGGAATTCTGATATTGACACTGTAATTCTTACCGGTCCCATAAAGTTGGTGTACTGTGCTAAGATTCTCCATACAGAGATTCATAGCCAAGGCTAATGAAAGAGTTCCTTTCTTCTTTGTCTTATTTATTCTCATTCTTCTTTCTCCTTTTTCTCCTTCTCTTTATCCCTCACTGAAACACACACTCTTAATCAGCCTTTGCCTTTGCTCACTCCTAATTCTATGTCATCCTCATTTAGTCACCTTGGTCAATGATTCTCTTATTTATTGTTTGGTCTCGCTCATTTCTGTTTTTTTTTTAATTTTTGTAGAAGAACATTTGAATATGGACGGTCAAATTTTTTTATTCCTGTCACATTTGCTGTCAGATGTTACTGTCTAGACTAAATATATTGAACCCTTTTGACCAGATCCTTGGCCAAACCTAAGAGGGCAGAATTGTATAAGGGGATAAATGCTTTGTTTTTAATTAAAGTTGCTCTACTGTTTAGAAATCTCACCTGCCATGTACAAGGATATTTTAAGGAGTTGTGACTCATGGCTCATACATTAAGTGATGTTGGTTGTAATCTAATTTAAAGCAGGAAGGTTGAATTTGTTAGTGGTAACATTAAAATTAAACCTCAAGTCTGAACATTGCATGATGACTTTTTGGGTGAGCAGCCATAGTGTTCACTGCCCTTGTCTAAACCACATGGTATTCGTAGGCACAAGTAAAAATGTTGTATCAGTAGTTTTCTTTCTTTGAAATTTAACAGATGACTGTGTTAACCTAACCTCATAACAGTAACAGTTGGTACCATATGGTTTTCAGAATTTTCTGGGAAGTAAAAATGATGAAAGTTTGCACTAACCATCCCAAATGAGATTATATTTTTTATTGAAAAAAAAATATGTCCTGAATTTTTTTTTCTTAAGATCAAAATGGAACCATTGATTGAAATAAGGTCTGCTGTTTATCATGTAGCTTTATATGCATGGAAGGAAAGCATACCCTTTGTTGACTTCACAGGTGGAACACTGGAGAGCTCCTTTAAGCTGCTGTATGAAGCTGAAGACAAACTCAAGTCCATAGTTCACAACAAGTTTGATGCAGCTGTTCACTCAGGAGATGTAGCATCCGTGGAGAGATTTTTCAAAATCTTCCCTTTGCTGGGACTTTACTCTGATGGTCTCACAAAGTTTGGAAAATATTTGGCTGCACAGGTATCAGATGCAATTTATGCAATAACTGTAGGAAATGTTAGACTATTTGATGTCTAAAATATCAACTTAGTGATATCTGTTTAAACAGTTATATTTTAGTGATATCTGTTTAAAAAGTTATATTTTAGTAATATCTGTTTAAATAGTTGTATTTTAGTGATATCTGTTTAAACAGTTGTATTTTAAGAAGCAGCTATTCTGTTTTTTTAAATTATTTTTCATGTAGCATGTTCTTACTAGATTGCCAAAATATATGTTCCTTCTTGCAAGGAAAATTATAACAAACAGGTGTACTACCATCAACACTAGTAGGATATAGACCACATAGGGATACGTGGAGTAATGCTGCCATTTTTGCTTAAGATGTCTATGAAGGTTTCCATGCAAGAATGGAAGCATGTACTGTGACGCTCGACTTGGAAGATGCATACAACAAGGTTCCCTTTGAAAAACTCATACACCAGCTCCTAAATATCAACATTTCTCCAATACCCATTAACTGAATAGCAGCAGCACTCTTCAAGAGACAGGCTGTTTTCAAATGTTGAAGATGGATCTCAGAGTTGAAAACCATACACCCAGGATTGCCTCAGGGATCACCTTTATCAGTATTTTCACTAGGAAAGAACACTCTCATACGCTGATGACATACTAGTGTACTGCCAAGGCTAGAACAGGGGCAGAATTGTTGAACTCCAGAAGGAACTGGGATGAATAGCAGATTGGTATTAAACCTCTGGAGCACAGATTAACCCTGCAAAAGCAATTGCAACTTGTTTTGAAACACACAGCATGTTCTTCTTCCTTGTTGACTCTTAACTTTTTTTGTCCCGTAAGAATCTTGAAGAATGACCCTTTTCCAAAAAAAAAGTGCATCCTTATAATAACCTCAAAGGCTACTGTGAGTAGTTAGAGGAAGAGAACAAGAAGAAGAAGTCTTGGTCACTTTTTATCATAATCCAGGGAGTCAGATGCCTAGACTGCTGGGCAGACAGACAAGCTTGAAGGCCACAGCTTATTCACTAAGTTGCTGAAAAAAAAATTCAGTTTAGAGATATTGTTATACCTACTTCAGGTCACTGTTTTGGGCAAGCTAATTTTTTGTGTGTGGAGGGAAGTAATCTCTAAAATGAACAGAGCCAAGAATTAACTACTTTCTTTCTTTTTGACCATGAAAACAGAGGTTTTGTTGAATCAGCCACTTGATTCATTGTGGAAGAACAAAGGAAGCAAACGAGAATGCGGTCAATATCGAGGCATCTCTCTTTTAAGCCATGTTGGCAAAATATATGCCAAGATAATAGAAACAAGACTGAGACCAGTGATAGAACCACAGCTGGCAGAAGAACAGATGGGATTTAGGAGAAATAGAAGCTGCACAGATGCAATCTTCACACTTAAACAGTTAATAGAAAAGAACATTGAATACAATAAGAACTTATTTGTAGCATTCGTAGACCAGGAGAAGGCATTTGACAGAGTCGACAGACAATTATTATGGAAAATAATGGCAAGATATGGAGTAAGCGAACACCTCATCGAAGTGTGCAAAAGTTTATACAGGGATTGTAGAAGTGTAATTAGAATAAATCAGGGAACATCTCATCCTTTCACAGTGACATCGGGAGTAAGACAGGGGTGTGTCTTATCACCACTGCTGTTTATCACCTACATCGACAGTATATGCAAGAATGCCAAGCCCATGAATGAAGATCTTAGTAAGATCAACGAATTACTCTTTGCAGATGACCAGGCCTTGATAGCAGATACAGCCATGAAATTGCAACAACATCTAGCATCCATGAATGAAGAATGTAAAACAAATAATATGAGAATCAACACTGAAAAGACAGAAGTAATGTCAATAGGAAAAAAGAAGACAGATCTAAACATAGCAATAGAATAAAAAGGCATTAAACAGGCATCTGAGTTTAAATATCTGGGAACTACATTTACCGAAGATGGGAAATTGGATAAAGAAATTGACATTAGATGCAGTAAAGCAAACCAAGTATTGGGACAGCTAGCCCCCCTCTTACAGCATAAGACAATCCTAATCAGCACAAAGAGACATCTTATTCAAAGCATATTTATTCCAACTCTGTGCTACCAGTGCCAGACATGGTCACTAACAACAAACCATAAAAGAAAATTAGTAACCACGGAAATGAGATGTCTGAGAAGGGCTGTAGGAGTGATCATAAGAGATAAGATCAGGAATGAGATCATAAGAGAACAAGTCGGCACAGAACCAATTCTGGATTACATACAAAGACAGCAAGTGAAATGGTTTGCCCACTTAGAGAGAATGCCTTGTGACACCATACCATACAAAGCATACATGGAAAGAGAAGAAGGACGTAGAGCACGGGGTAGACCAAGAACAAGATGGAAGGATAACATCAGAGAAACTCTACAACAGCACGATGTGCCTATGGTCGAGGCAGCCAGAAGAGCTAGAAACAGAACCTTATATCTCCCTCGACACCCACAGCGGTAAAAGAGGAAGTGAAGAAGAAGAAGAAGAAGCCACTTGAGGCAGTGATGTTATTGTGAGGTTTTTACAATGTCACAATGACAACACAGTTTGAAAAAAAAAATGTTTTTTTTTTCACCCCTTACAATAGGGTAAATATTGTTACACCCACCATGTCTAAACTTCATTTTACCAAAACCTGTGAAAGTAATAACAATGACTTTCTCAGGTGGTGTGGTGTGATTGACAACTAGACTGTGCCTTTTGACCCAACAATGTCAATTTCAGCAAACTCCTGATTAGTCACTTGTAACTATATGCTTGTTCCGAGGCAAGGGTCTGTTCACTGTTTGCCAAAAACGGAGCCCTAGAACTCAAATGGGGAAATCGGCTTAAATACCAGGGCTTGTGGAAATTTTTTTTATATTCATCACATTATTCACCCTGTATGGTTTCCAGGGCCCTGTTATAAGGAAAACAAGAACAGACCCACTGCCTACCCAAAAGCATGTCGTAAGAGTCGGCTAATTGGGAACTTCCTTTGAAGTGGGAGTTCATCTGCCTGAGAGGCAAGGAACCAGCAGTCTGCATACAAATTAGTCAGATCTGTCAAACGGATACACACACAACCCTCAGGTTCTGGAACAGAAGTGGATGAACAACCAGAACTTTCCGCTGGAGTTTACAGCTGCTGAACACCTAGAAGAAGAAGAAGATAACATCATTCATCTCTGTAGTGTTTGTGTTATTGTTGACATAATTCATTCACATGTGATCTCAGTTGCTGGCAAGCATCATTCATAGATGTTACCAAATCATCAACCTCAAATGAGCCTGCTTTATTTAGTCAAACATCTAATTGGGACCAGACCAAATATTTTCACAGCCTGATCAAGCCCACAGGCTGAATGTTCCTCACTCCTGATCTTCATTTCCTTGAATGAATGTTGAATTAAGAATCAACATCACAGCACTCGGGAGACACCCATAAGTGCTCAGTCCCCATCTTCAGCAGCAAGCGAAGAGTTCCAAATCCCAAAGTACCAGTAACCATCTGATTGTATATCTGTCTCATCCTTCCTCTGAGTGTTGAGCGTCGACCAGATCCCCTGGTAACTTCTTGCAGTGCCATTCTCCTTAAACTGTAATGATGTATCTGCACCTCAGCACTGTTCTGTTAATTTGACTAAATGTTTTGTGTAAATTCGTAATTAACTATTACAGTTTTTTCATATAAGTTGATGTGTCCTCCATTCTGCACATGTTATTAAACTGAGTATTCCTATTATTTTGTTGTTAACCTTCGTTTTCAAAAACAGTTGTCAGAAAAAGCAGATGGGAACTTGAAAATCGCCTTACATCCTGACTCCTCAGACAAGAGAGCTCATGTTATGTTTGCAGACACTTTAACATTGTTATTTGAGAGTATTGCTCGGGTTGTTGAAATTCATCAGCCATTAGTGGAAACCTATTATGGTATGTTATTTGATTGAAAAGACAAATGTAAATTGTGTTTTATAATATTAGTAAAAAGATACCAGAATGACTTGTGATTATGGTACCTACCTAAACAGCATTTGAAGTTCAAATCATTTAGTGGCATATATGATAAGATACATTTTGTACATGATGTTAGAAACTATGAGATCAAGATGCATATCTTATGAGTCCTTTTACATTTGTAAACCATGATGAGTTTACTGTCGACTGATGTCCTGGAAACATTTTAAAATTAGAAAATGTAACATAGATTTTCTGGAGGATTGTTATGGGAGCAAGGTTCTTCAAAGGACATTCTACTGACTGGCTTACAACATAATACTTACATAAGGTATGGAGTTTATTATACACACATCCCGGGCAGTGCTACATTATGCACTGAGCTGAAAGATGAGTTTAGCGTTTGTGCACTGAGCTGAAAGATGAGATTAGAGTATGTGCACTGAGTTGAAAGATGATATTAGAGTGTGTGCACTGAGTTGAAAGATGAGATTAGAGTTTGTGCACTGAGCTGAAAGATAAGATCAGAGTGTGTGCACTGAGCTGAAAGATGAGACCAGATATTGTGCACTGAGCTGAAAGATAAGATCAGAGTGTGTGCACTGAGCTGAAAGATGAGACCAGAGTTTGTTCACTGAGCTGACCCTTTTCTGTGCCTGGTTGTTTTAGATTAATCAACACTTGTTGTGTAACGTGGTCTCAGTATTATGCCCTTTGCCTTTTACTTGCCCTAATAATCTCCTAGCACTGATTTTAGTAAGGTTGATTTGGAAACTTATTTCAGTGTTTTTTAAAAAATAATTTTGACCTAAGTGAGATTTTACAAAATAAACTACCCACATTCATTAACTGATGCATGAGCAGAATATAGAGAATAAAATGATATGATAGATTCACTAATGTAGAAGAGCTTTGGGAGAGAACAAAACAAGTTCCAGTGGACCAAAAGGTGAAGAAAAGACGCTTGCGTTGCATAGGACACACATTAAGAAAATCTAAGAACAATATAACTAGAATGTCTTTTTACTGGAACCCACAGGGGCCTAGAAATAAAGGAAGACCCAAAAACACATGGAGAAGGGGGCTAGAAAGTGGGGAGGACATGGGGAAAGCTGCATGCGATAGCAAAGGACAGAACAACTTGGCTTGAGTTGGTTGAGGGCCCATGCTCCATTGGGGGTTACGAAGGCAGAAGAAGAAAGTAAATGAAATTTGAACACATGACCCTCGAGTTGCCAGAAAATCTGACTGGCATGTCATTTAATGACCTGGTTGATTTGTTTATTCAGGGCCTGGCAGATTATTTCAGCTCCTGCACATCTTACAGAAGGAATGTGACAGGCAGGCCAGGAAGATTTTTGAGAGTTTCAAAACACACAGAGAGTATAATATCAAGGTAGGCTGATGTATGAGCAACTGAACAATGCCTGAAATATTTTGTTGAATGTGGATGTTAGTGAGAATTGTTCTGTCATTAATGTTGATTTCAACAAAGAAGTCGCAATCAAGAGATTGCCTGGCATAGTTTGCTATATCTAGTCAGATGAATTTACTACAGTAATAATTCAATATAAAGAAACAAATAAATGAGCCCTTTTTCAACTGAAATACTCAATCACTACACTAAACAACTAACTGATAATTATATCAGGACAAACTCAAGCTCACAACTTGTAGTAGATTTTGTATATCATTTAGAAGATTTAATTTATTTGCCTCATTTGTTACTGAGTATACACCTGATGTCAGGCAATATATTGTTCAGATTTACAACAGAGGAATATTGCTTTACCTTTTTTCTTGTGTGTTCGTATACAGCACTGTGAAAATAAGTATATGTAAACAAGTGTTTGTGTAGTTTGTGATGTGTCTGTATTTGTAGATGAGAGTTGCATTGCCTACCAGAGCAAGCTGCTTGTCAAATTATGACACAGCTTTTTTCTGTAGTACTGGTTGATACATAATGCAAAAAAAAATTTGGGGGAGGGGGGAGACCATAAGGTAATACATATAGACAAGCTATTTAGTACCAGAATAATACAGATGAAAATATCAAACATTATTCTTTTCATGTATATGGTATAGAGATTTTGCCATGAATCGCTTTGCATGGAAGGGGGAACTTATGAGGGAATTAAGGACAACACGGAGAAAATGATTGCAGATGGGATCTGATTGAACGTTGAGAAGAAATATGTCAAAAACATGTAATGGCAACAAAGGTGCTGAAATCCCATACAGTTATTGTGGATGTTTTTTTCTTAAAATTACCTGATTTTGCTAGTCATACTCACCATCATGATGGACTTTTTTGTTGCCTAAGCCTCCCAAGTGGCATATTATAACACTATCATCTGGAAAGACGGAAAGGTAGAAGGCATGGCATATTATATTTTATTTGAAATGAAAATTTGAAGACAGGTTTTGGTACAGTTTTTTAAAAGTAACTTGTATCTGTAAATTATAGGACATTTCTTACACCCAATGTATGCTCACTTTGTTATTTTTCAGGTGAAGCAAGTTCATCAGAATTTATCAGCCTTGAAACAGACAGTAGTTGAAAAGTAAGCATTTATGTTGTGAGATTCTTTGTTTTGAGTATAGATTTTTTTTTTCTTAATGAAATTGTCATAATTATGGATCACATATCAGATTTGAAATGGTACATCAAGATATGTTTACTGCAAGATGTTATACATTGGTTTAGCTTTTAGCAAAACTGACGATTCAGTTCATGAATTCTGGAAATTCATGTTAGGATTTAGCTTTTTTATTTTATTCTAAGATTGGTTAAGAACTTACTAATTTTATTTATTTACACACAGGATTTTCTGTCTCTGGATAAAATATTTCAGAAAATGTATTATTGTTCTGGACACGTTTCTTAGATAGTATCTACTTACAGGAAGTTATTATAAAGGTTTAGATTTAGGTCTAGATGTCGGATCAACATCATGGCACAAGGGTAGTAACCCATAATTGCTCCGTTCTACTTCTGACTCAAGCCTGAGTCCAAGGAATCTCATCGCAGTGCACAAATTCTGTTAGCACCGGCGAGGATCCTTAAATACTTTGGGTAGATTGTAAACTCCAAATTTGACAAAATGACATTCACCTTTCTCAAGACCACGCAGCTCCCTAGAAAGTTATTATAAAGATGTTACTTAACACCACACTTGGTCACATATTAAACCTGCATGCATCAGTAATCTACAAGTGTGATAGAATACTTTTAATGCCCGTCACATCACTCTATGAACTGTATGCCTTACTGATAATCGTATGATCATCAGATGCACAGTTTAGGCCAGGGTTCCAAACCATCCATGTATATTTTTTTTTCTGTGTCTTCCTCTTCTTCTTTATTTCAGTCAAGTTTCGTTGTCACCAGTTTTCAGACTTTTGGACTTTTTCCTTCACAGAACTCGTACTCGCACCCCCCCCCCCCCCCCCACAAACACACACACACACACATGCTTGCATGTGACACACACACACAGAATAACCATGGCTATAATTTATTTTCTAACCAGTTTACAATTAACATCTTTCTCTTGGAGCACTTCCTCATTTGTTTCTCTAACCAGTTTACAATTGACATCTTTCTCTTGGAGCACTGCCTCATTTGTTTGTCTCTAACCAGTTTACAATTGACATCTTTCTCTTGGAGCACTGCCTCATTTGTTTCTCTAACCAGTTTACAATTGTATCTTTCTCTTGGAGCACTGCCCCATTTGTTTGTCTCTAACCAGTTTACAATTGACATCTTTCTCTTGGATCACTCCTTTATTTGTTTTTCTCATTCCAGTTTACAATTGACATCTTTTTCTTGGAGCACTGCCTCATGTGTTTGTCTCTAACCAGTTTACAATTGACATCTTTCTCTTTGAGCACTGCCTCATTTGTTTATCTAACCAGTTTACAATTGACATCTTTCTCTTGGATCACTCCTTTATTTGTTTTTCTTATACCAGTTTACAATTGACATCTTTCTCTTAGAGCACTGCCTCACTTGTTTGTCTCTAACCAGTTTACAATTGACATCTTTCTCTTGCAGCACTGCCTCATTTGTTTTTCTAACCAGTTTACAATTGACATCTTTCTCTTGGATCACTCCTTTATTTGTTTTTCTTATACCAGTTTACAATTGACATCTTTCTCTTAGAGCACTGCCTCACTTGTTTGTCTCTAACCAGTTTACAATTAACATCTTTCTCTTGCAGCACTGCCTCATTTGTTTTTCTCTAACTAGTTTACAATTGACATCTTTTTCTTCGAGCACTGCCTCATTTGTTTATCTAACCAGTTTACAATTGACATCTTTCTCTTGGAGCACTACCTCATTAGTTTTTCCATGAATACAATAACAATTAGTTAAGTATCCTTTACATGGTGTTGCAGAACCAACCCCAGCATTTACTGTTTTTTTTTTTAGTTTTACTAGGCAATTTTACGTTCAGTAGTTTGAAATTACTTTCTTAGTGGTCAGCTGTCAATAGCGTTGTTGAAATCATCGCAATACAATCTGCAGCCAGATCACCTGCAACTGGAATTGAACTGGGTATTACAGAATTATGAATCATTTGTGCAGTACCTAAGCCACAGACATTGACCATGATCACAGTTAGATATCTTGGTGCATGTTACATTGCCCATTTGTAAGGTTTCACAAGTAGTTTATCGGTAGTCTTTTCCATTTCTTTCAGTAATACCTATACAAGAAGTCAAGTTTTGTTTTAATGCTTGCTCATATCTTGTCTAGACTTACAAATAATGTTATGAGTATGTATGACTTTACAGAACAATGTTTAGTTCACAATTAACCAAACATTTGGCAAAGATTAAGCATATGTATTTTGTTAATGTCTGTTTTAGGCTAGACCCAAAAGAATTAGATGTTTTGTTATCAGAGATGGTTCTGCTGAGTTCAAGATCAGAGTTATACTTGAGGTTCATGCGTCGCCGAGCCACGGTATGTCTATTACTGTATTAATATTAATGATAAAATAAGTTGTAGATATTTTATGTTGTGAAATCCAACATGAGATGACATTTATCTTTGTTCATTTGTTGGCAGCTTTTCATCTTTGAAGATGATAATGTTATATTGTTTTTTAGAGAAGCATGCAAATCGCAGCCAGATAAGGCCAGGAAGAAAGTTTGTCCATTCCACAGCACAAAGCCTGGGCAGTATTGTAGAGACCATGTGTTGCCCTTGCATCAGAATCCCTGTCTCGACCTGCCTTGTTTACTCTAAAGGAGAGGTAACACCAATACATTTTAAACAAGCATGCTGCAAAAGCTGATGCATCAGAAAAGCAGTGCTCTGCCTAGCTGCCTGACATAGATTCTCTCATAGACCAGCTGCTATGGACCAAGGCTAAAGACCATGGTCTGCCATGCCATGATGTTCAGGTTTCATTTTGCATTTCCTCCTCCTAGGATAAGGATGGTATCCTTCCATCATTTCCCACATGCCTGCATGTCTTGGAGAAAATATGGAGAAAATATCTAAAGGAGGCTGACTACTCGGGACATCTGTAAAAGGAAGTAAAGTAAAGATCCCTTTTCACGCCCTTCGGCGCATCAGGCATATAGGCAGAGCGTCCCACATTTTTTACAGACCAGTCGGCACTCGGTGGGTAATGTGGTCAGCATTACGCCGTCCATCTTTACTTCCCCAGGACAGCCATCCTGGTACCCATTTGAGGCTGGGTCGACCTGCGACATCCTATACCACGATAAAAATCCACGCAGCCCGCAATGGGTATCGATCGCGGTGCGTTGGATTACGAGTTGGACTTGCAACTCCTTAACCACGAACGCCGCATCAGGACATCTGAACTGATGATTTCCACTCTGCATGGAGCATGCCTTTCTCAGAATATTTTGTGAGTTTGGTACGAAGATGACATTTGTGTGCAGCTGGTTCTCAAGCCTGTTTTAAACAGAGACTAGGTCACAAGGGCACATTTGATATCCTGAGCTTGTGGAGCAGCATGATCACCTGTACAACAGCTATTTAACATAATATCTTCTTTTTTTAAGATGTTTCAGTGACACAATTCAGTTTGTGATCAAGAACATTGTGCTTCATAGCAGCATTAACTTCTGCCCATTGCTATTGCTGTTTCACATTATTGACTCTTTCACCGGAGAAGCCATTGTTTTGACTTTGCCGCCTGTTCCCCAACTGGCCAATATTATGCACAGTATTTTTCCAGAAGTGACTGGGTTCTGAGCTTTTCCCCCCTGATGTTTTTGAGATGGAATGGTTAATGTTTCCTGAAGTGTAAACTCAGCATCGTTACTTGAACCGTTCTGTATTCTCATCATTGTTTTCTTTTTCTTTACAGGGAGACATTGAGGCATCACATGAAGATGATGGAAAGCAAAAAGGTATAGCATAGACTTAGTAAAGGACTTATTTTCCCACACCCTTGTGTATATAGTGTTAGACTTATATTGTAGTCTTACGGTCTTAGAAATTATGTTGTAGTATCATAGATTTCTATTTTGTTTTGTCCATTGTTACTTGTTCTCTAATTATTAATTTCTGATTTGTACCAAGTTTTCTGAAGGCTATATGAAGTATGAATGTAGTATATGCAGCTGTAACCGTTGTCTCTCCAGATGACCTTGCCGAGGTAGAGCAGTTTTTCAGTTCATGTGAGCTCAATAGACTGGTTCAGGAAGTGATAGGCAATTATATCATGATGGAGCAGTACTTCATGCGAGAGATGATTATTAAGGTCAGTTTCCCATAACTTTTTGTGTTGTCATTTGCCAGTTTGATTTCTTTGGTGCAGGTGAAGCTTATTGTATGAGGTGAGGGATGTCAGAGAGAACCTAGTGATACTTAACCAAAACGTCCTTGCACTGGATCCTGACTGGTTAGGGGAAATAAGAACAGACCAAAAAGGACATAAATGGGGAAATTAGATATTGAAGTGGGGAAAAAAAAGGGGTGGGGGGATTTGTGGTGAGCTGCTCATGATACAAAAGATAGGACAGTTTGGTGTGGGTAATAGGGATCTATTCTCTGTTTGGGGACAAAAGGCAGAAGAACAAGAAGACAGATGGCTTACATCAAAATACTGAAGTTTTTATGTGAAAAAGGAATCAACGGAAAAAAAGTAAAGAAATAAATTAGCTTTATTTTCAAAGAGTCATCAATTGAACATGGGTGCTCATTTTACATTATGCCAGACGTATTCAACTGGTGACCTGCGGGCAGAATCCGGCCCTCAGAGGCTTAGCAAGTGGTCAGCCAGTTGTATTAATAATCTTTCTACAATGAGACTTGGGCCTAAGACAATCCCCTTGTCAGCATTTTGGCCTCACATATAGCAATAAACATAAAATGAGTACTAAGATAAACTTAATAATGACACAGAAACTCCTGTAAGATCACACATATATTTATGTACATAACTACCTACACACAAAATTAGGTGGTCACTGAGGACACATGCAGTTGAAAATTCTGGAAGTCTCATAAGTTTTTACTCTTTCTTTTTGATTTCACCTTATTTTGAGAGGATTTACTTGGCTGAACTGTATGCAGACAAATCAGTCTGAAGAGAGTTGTGTGGCAGCAAGTGACCAAGAGATCTGGCTTACATTAACTCACAAGGGAAAGGCAGGACAGATGTCAGTTCAGATTGCTTATGGTGCCATCAAAATTGGAATTCTTTTCTGGCTACCTAAGAAGGGGAATGAGCATTTTTAGGAATGTCCTGAATGCTGCCATGTCTGTTCTTAACTCGGCCTGTTATGTAATGAAGGTTTTGAACAACGCATCAACATCATGGCACACGGGTAGTAACCCATAAGTGCTCCGTTCTTCTGCTAACTCAAATCTGAGTCCGAAGAAAATCAGCACAGTGCACAGGCTGTGTAGCAACGGCAAGGATCCTGAAATAGTTTAGGTAGATTTTTAACTCCACATTTTGCTCGGGCAGCACGGTTAGGCTACTCTTTTCAATTTCCAACTTCCAAGGGACCATTGGGAATTACTAGAAGTCCAAGTCCACATGAAAAGATCCCAGCCGTTACCAGGGATTGAACCCGGAACCTCTAACACTCGAGGCGGACACCATGCCTTGAGACCACGCAGCCCCCCTGTTATGTAATAATGGTTTGCAGTATGCATTTGGACAAGAGACCAAGCAAGACAATGTATCAAATTTTATGAGAAATCGCAGCTGGAACTATATTCTCCATACACTTAGAATGGATAAGATAAGACTTCCCCGTCAAACCCTCATATGGACGCCAGACGGGAACAGAAAATGGAGAAGATCAAGAGAGACAACGCAGAACCATCATCATGGAAGGCTCAACCATGGGCTTAACAAACATCCAAGACCTAAAGCAGGTGGCAGTGAACCGCCAGACATGGAGAGTTATGACCTCTGCCCTATGCGTTGCCCTAGGCTCAAGACTGACTAACTTACTAAAGAAAGAAAGGTTAGTTGAGTGTCCTTTACAGGACGTTGCAGAACCAACCCCACCAGCCCCTGGCTGTTGTGTGGTTTCACTAGGCAAATTTACGTCCAGTAGTTTGTCATTGCTTTCTGGATGGTCGGCTCCCTGATACCACTGTCAAAACCAACGCAAGGCGTATGGCCCACAGTTGGGATTGAACCTGGTACCCTGGCATTACAAAAACTTACTAAGTATGTATTAATTCCACAAATCACTATTCCTTGGGAAAGTAGTGGTGATCCTAGGACATTTCCTGATGTTCCTAAGCAAAACATGCAGAATTATTTGATGACATCAGCATGCTCTTTGTTCTCAATTACATTATGGCTCTTGTGTTTTCAGGCTGTCAGTATGGATACATCAGAAGAAGGGCAGCATATTTCCAGTATGGTGGATGACACTTTCTTCATTGTCAAAAAATCAGTCAGGTGTGTGTTGCGTTACATTTGCATATTTAAACCTTGTCTGTGCTTCTGTCAGACACCCTTGAAACCATGCAAACTTAGCAACGTAAATTGGACATGCTGTGGAAGATTAATATTCTTTCCAGAAATCTAAGCAATGTTTTCCACTTGCAAATTTAAACAAAGAAAACACTGTATTTTCCTGTCTAAAAAAGGCTTTCTTGGTGTGCAAATGACTGCAGAAGAACGTTTGGAACTATATGTTTTATTTTAAGCTAAAATGTTTTGACAAAATATGTTTTAACAGTGCCGACAGAGAAGACAGCTATACAGCTGTTTTTGTTTAGTTGTAGATCATATTCGGATTGTTAATTGATGCTTGTGATTTTGGCAATAATTACCATTTTTCAAAAACAAATTAGTTCGCTGTTATCAATAAATATTAACCCACAGACTACCAAGCCCATTTACCCTTGCATTTTACTGGATACCACATTTCTAGTGTGTATATAAAATGACATAGCTACAAAACTTTTTAAAATTAATATTTTTTATTTTTTGCACCAAACTGAATGTAGAACAAAGTTCAAGAATTAAACAAAAATTGTGTAATCTTATTTTACATCATCATCACGTGGCACAGATTAGAGCACACAAAAAAAAGGTAACCGAAAGATGTTCTATCTGACTTCAAATAAGTTTTTAAAAAATGTTTTTAATTTTTTTCTTCTCTGCTGAAATAATCATGAGTGAGAGCTCTGTCTAACTGTGAAATAAAATTCTGCAGTTTCAGTGGCTGTTTGCCATTTAGCACCAATAATTTCTAATGCAGTATGACTGAATTTTCAGACTAAAAAGGCCACAAGCACCATCTTTTCCCTAATTGCCTAACTTGGATAAACTGGTAAACATTGAGGATTGCATTGTAAAATGATTTTCACTAAAATCTAAACCACATAATATGCACAGTCTCACTAACAGATGTATCTAACAATACACACCTGAAACACATACATGAAGCAGTCTACACACAGAAAAATACTTACCTCTGCCTGCCACAGCTGATAAGGGAATCATCGTCATTTCTGCTTCGAGGATATTTTTGATGGCAGTTCATAGGAATGATCAAAGTCATAGTTATCAGGTTGTTCAGAATCTGTAAACTTCAGAAATATCTTGTCCGTCACTTTCCAGTGTAAAGAAATGTTGAAAATCTTTCTCATAAAATGAGAAATAATTAAGACAATGTCGCCGTCACTCTGGCAGTTGGCTGCCACTAGACTTGACTTTGAAGCCACACGCCGTCATTTCAGCTTCGACTAAGTTTTTGATGTCATTCCATAAGATTTATCAAAGTCATAGTATCAGACTGTTCACTAATATCTTCACTTTGACTTTCCAAAGAAAAATTAAGAAATTCATCCATAGCTCCAGAAATATTCACAAAAATATTGCCTGCACATGATGGCTACAAAAATTTGGTCACCATGACTAAATATATGTCAGTGTGTCCCCTACAGGGGAGTTCACCATACAAATTTATGAAACATTTACTGTAGGCACTACAGAGTTGTTTCCCTTAAAGAATGGACTAATGCCTATAACCTAATTTTCACACGTCTTAATTTTAACATGGCGGCAAGCTCCAAAGTTAATATTGCAGGGGATGTGATCATAGTAGCCAGGTGTAATTGTCAGCAGATTACATAAGATATAATCTTGGTAGTTAGAGGGTTAATTTTGAACAAATAGGACACAAACTTACGTAGCTTTTTTGTCACTGTCTCTTAACAGAAAACAGAAAAGATGGAGCAAGGAAGTGAATCCTAGTTAACTATTTGTTTGTTTTATGTTTTAACATTTCATGGCAGATATTTATAGTTGGCCAGGTCACCTAGTCTAAAAAAAGTACAAGGAAATGTCCTGGGAAGTAAAGTCATAAATTCACCATAGAGGATGTGTACTTGTCTGCCTTTACACAGGTCTGGGTCAATCCCCCAGGGCCAGGTCAACCCAGCCTCATTAAAATGGATGGCAGATTATTTCAAAAAAATTGTATGCTTAAGAAAGATGATGAGGAAAAAAGCTGACTGTCCCACATTATATGCTATGGCCTAGAATTTTGAAGGCCTAACATGTTATACCCAAATGATAATATTGGCTATGGGACTTCTTCAGCATTCTGAGCTCTTAAAGTTTATTGATTACCCACATCCATTCATCTCTGTGATTGGCCACAGCTAGTGACCTCACATATTTGTAGGTCTGCCTGTATGTAATTTCTCCACCATCTTCTTGGTCTGCATTGTTGTCTACTCCTATTCGGTTCTTTTACATACACAGATTTTGTTTCTCTGTTACAATATCTCTCTATAACACCCTCCCCCTCCCCCTTCCCTTCACCTAAGAAACTCAATTTTAAAAAAATCTGCAATGCATTAATTGTATTATAGCTCATTAACCTTTCATGTGGAACTAACATATTTCTGATCATCCTAACAGGCGTGCTATCTCCAGTTCTAGTGTAGATGGTGTTTGTGCAATGTTGAATCTGGCTTGCACAATTCTGGAGCAAGATTACGGTGAAGTGTTGCTGGTCAGGTTGAGGGCTGGATATCCTTATGGTTTTGATCTTCAACATGCCTACAACATTGTACACTCCAGTCTGCAGCAAGGAAAACTTCAGAGTTCTGACTCTGAGAAAAAACAAGCCAGAGCTGCATTTTTAGTGAGTACCTCACGGATGTTGCTCAAGATTCAGTAATCTGCCCATCTGGCTGATAATCTTAACTAAGGCTTTTATTACACGCATGCTGAAAAATCTTGCTGGTGTTTATTTTCTGATTAGGTTTTTTTTTTCTGGACAATACACTATTGTGGAATTTCTTTTTTAAAGTAGAATGAATGTTGAATAAAAAATCAACATCACAGCATGCAGGACACTCCCATAATCACTTTGTGCCCATCTTCAGCAGCAGACGAAAGGTTCCAGTTCCGATGGCATCGGTAACTATCTAATTGTGTATCCGTCTTGCCTTTTCCTTGAGTGTTGAGTGTCGGCCAGATCCCCTGGTAAATCCTCACATGCTAACTACCTGGGACCTTTAAAGTGATGCTTGCCACTCTGCATGGAGCATGCCTGTCTCCACCTTTCTCAATATGCTCTGTGAGTCAGTTACAATCACAACATTGTGTACAACTGAATTTTAAGCCAGCGGAAGCAACAATGACTGCGTCCACCTCCATTCTGAAACTAGACATTGTGATATCATATACCAGACTTTGTTGCACTAAGCGACATCCATTCACTTGTGCTATAGATCCCCATGTACTACCTCTGCCCTTCAAGACCCATCTCTGTAGATAACTTTAAAAAAAAAAGTATAGTAGGACTAAAGAATTTAAAGCAGGAAGAAAGAGGCACAGCAAAGACAATTAGAGAAGAAGACATTGAGTGCACATGGCAAAGGAAATAAAGATTTGTTGAGGACATATTGCTCAGTCGGAGGGTAAAGGCCAGATGAATAGTGGTAGTAAGATAATATTCTGCATGTGGGCTCAGAAGCCCCATTTTGAGGGGAAAGAGTAAACTGACTATCCCTTAAGCATGTCATAAAATTACCAAACAAATTACAATTTAGGGGTTCATATTGTGAGAGACTTTCTAAGTAGCACCTCCCAGAAAGCAGGTATAAATTCCCCAATGCCGTTTTGAATTTGCCACCTCATTTCAACTTGAAGCATCAGACATTCTCTCACAGTTAAGTCTTAAAGGCTAGGAGGTCAGTATATAAGGCAGATATTCACTGTTATTTTTGATGGAATAACTGCTGCTGAATGTTACTTCTTTTCATCCAAGCAATTGACACCACTTGACAAGTATCTTATAAAAGGTGACTAGTTAGAAACTTGCTTAAATTGGATGTGTTGAGTTGAAAGGCGCAAAAATCACAATCTAGCTTCCTCGTGTGGGTTCCATTGTCATAAGAGTTGACTAATTGGGGGCATCCTTCAAAGTCGGAGGGCCTCTGCCTGAGAGGCAAGGAACCAACAACCTGCTTACAATTAAGTCAGGTCTGTTTGTTGAACAGATGTGCACGCAACACTCAAGTTCTGGAACAAGACTAAAGTCCAGAGGTGGACAAATGACTAGAACTTTCCGCCTGAGTTTGCAGCTAGTGAACGCAGAGAAGAAGAAGACAACTTAGCTGTAAACCATAAGACAACGTGTCAACCACCTTTTTAATGTTGAACTTGAAGAAGAAGAATAGAAAGTCTAGTAAAGCATTTTAAATAACCCCGTAATTAAACTTCTAACATGAATATTGTTTTGACAAGGAGCGAAATGCTCAGCTCTTCATTTTTAGCAGTAAACTGAGATCCAAATCTTGTGATGTAGCCATGTTGTGACACATCTTAACCACACAGCCACATGTGAAAGTCAATTATTTAAAAAAGAAATTGATTTGTGATGTCTTTGTCATTTTTACAGACTGCCCTGAACAATGCTGAAGTGAGCTGTGATTACTGTAAAGCCTTGAAAAGTACTCTAGAGGTAATGTTAGCTTCACTTTAAAAATTTTTTTATATATTAATAAATAAATAAAGCATCAGTTGAATTCTGTGTTCATTGTTTCATCATTGTGATTGTAATTAACATCATAATCGTCACCAAATGTCCCTAAAAAAAAGGTCAGAGATCTGTGCCTCTGAACAACAATTGTTCTCTACTATTTATCAGTGCATTTGCTTTATTCCATCAGTAAAATACCATCTACACTGAAGGTTGAATCTGTCATCCTGGTTGTACATTGTTTATCAATTTATGTTCCCTCTTTCCATGTTGTGATGCAAAAACTATCAATATGTTTTCTCCCTGACAACCTCCTTCTCTTTATCCATTGACACTGCCACTTATTACAGTATGTTCAACTGTTTCTCTTATGTTCTTGTAAAACAAAAAACAATAAAATTAAAGGATCCTTTTCACATTTGCTGTGTGATATGGCCAACATTGTGGCAGCCACCTTTACTTTCCAAAACCAGAAAACCAATGTTATGTAGTGTTTGATATTTTGCTGACCATAATAAATCATTGAGATGATTGCTTCACATTTATTATTCATTCATTGCAGGAAGATATCTCAAAATTGTATCCTCAGTGCACTGAACAAAGCAAAGCAAAGTTAGAAGTAAGTATTTGATACATAATGTTACCAGATGAGTAGTGATAACACCTTTGACCCCATGTAGGTTCCAGGGCCCCATGGGGGGGAGGGAGGAGGGACAGTATAAACCCACTGGCCCCTATTACGCCTGTCATAAAGGGCAACTAATCAGGAATTTGCTGAAATTGGATGTTAGGCTGAAAGGTGCAGAAATTGCAGCCTAGCTGTAACCCACAACACAATGTATCAGCATCTTATTTTTTTTTACAGCCTACGCTGAAGAAGAAGAAGAACGAGAAATGTTTACAGATACATGATAGGAAAGAAAGTTAGCATTTAACTTTTTGCTGACCAAATTCGCCAATCTGGGAATTTGCGACATGCAGTCTGCCGACAGATGTCCCTACCGATAGTTTTTTAATTAAACTTCATCCGGGTATTTTTATTATTCCAAAATGGCTGCGCCTACAATCAATATTACTTTGAGCCGATACAAGCATTAGTTTTGAGTGAAATAATGATAATTTTCATTATCAGTGCATATTCACCCTTTTTGTCATGTCTGATGACGAAAAACAGATTAATAGTATGGATGATTCAGAATCTGCCAGCAAATTTAGCCTTGAAAACAAAAATTCCTAGACAAGTAGACATTCGCGTGTGAATTTAATCATCATATCGCAACTGAATGTAGCAACAACGATGATAGACTTGATGACGAAGGTGTTGTAGGTACACCTGAACAAAGAAGTGGGCATGGCACAAGAGACCAAAACATTTCTACAGCTAAAAATGCTGTTTGTAAATGCAGAAAAGCTGCTCAAAATGAACTTGTTAAACTTGACAATCTTCTTCCATACGAAGAACAACAAGGTGCCACGTCAGACACAATTGGGTGTGTGCCGATTTATTTTTTGAAGAAAAACCAATTGAAACTGAAAAAGACAGATCGTCATGTTTTGTGTGAAAAAATTGAAAAGGCATGTTGCCCGTCACCTGTCATAATTAGTGTTCACCTGATATCTACTGTTTACTTTAGTGGTGTTATAGACAAGACAGTTGGGAACAGTTGCATTTTTTAGATCAGAATAATAAATAAGCTAGTTCTTGCAGAAAAATACAACAATATAGAAATTGTCGATCAATTCTGCCAGCTAGGTGCAAATTACCCGTATGTACCTAGATTCTGTAATTGGTAACTGCTATTATATTATTTATTGACACTGCTCTGGTCAGTGAGCATATAAACTACAACACTGCCAACTCTGGGAATAAGGTCACAGCAAAGAGGTTCAGGCAGAAAGTAAGTTTTGCTGTTGTTACATCTGCTAAAACCTTCAAGACCACATGTCACAGCATAACGATTTACTGAGCGCCATTTTTAAAAATTGAATATGCAAGCTAAGGTACAAACCAGACTGTAAAGTGTGTAAAGTTGAATGGTAAAGAAGCTCTGCTTGCATATACCGCCCAGATTACAATACACCTCTATGCTTGATACCCTGTTGATACACTGTTGAGGATTATCAACATTCCTGACAAAGACAGAGGGCTACTGCTAAAGCTTTAACTCCAGTTAATGAAAAAAGTAGCTCGGACTTTAACTAGAGGTGCTTTTAAAATCAAGCATTCACAAATGCTCATTGTAACATCACAAATAAACACAATAAACAGGATAAAAATTTCACTTTATTCCCATTTTTATTCAATTTTCATTTTGAAATATTTAGTCAATCGTTTAAAATTTTCTCCTGTTTAGCTAATTTTATTCTTTGCCAACCATGTCCCCAACATATTATTGCACTGATATTGAACAAATTCACTAAGAACTGGAAAAAAAATGATGGTTTTGGAACATCTGAAATTTTTATAAATAGCCAAACAAATTCAAGATGGCCACCATGATCATGCTACATATTTGCATACTATATCTTTTTTCATGTGTGGCAACCATCCATAATGGTGCTGTAAAGGTTTCAAACCCCTGGAGGTGTTTTTGAATTTTTTATGAATTTAATTAGAAAACCAGTCATTTTGAAAAAAAATCTACAAACACCCTTGGTAATGGGAGACAGTAATGCTCCAGATTGCTGTTCAGGAAAGTATTAATCTTGTCTGTCACAAATATATGTTGAGCAAAGTATTACACCCCCCTTCCCTTTTTTTTCCCCTTACCCTCAATAGTAACTTTAAAAATAATAGAAAAATAGTGAGAATGAAGCAGGTAAACAGTAATCCCATTTCTTTGGTGTTATCCCATTTTAAGATGTGGAATCATGCACATGTTTGGGTAGTAATATAGGCAAAGATGGGGGAACTGATAGAGATATTGCAATACAAATACAAAAGGCAAGAGGAGTTTTCATAGCACTAGGAAATATGTGGAAGTCAAAGGAAACTAAAACTGACACTAAACTTAAAATATTTAACTTGAATTCCAATCCACTATTGCTGTAAGGAGTGGAAACATGAAGAACAGCTAAAACTATCACTAAACTATAAACATTCATTAACTGTGCCGCACAGAATAGTAGGAATAAATTGGGTTGTTAGAATCACTGATGTTGAGATTTGCGAGAGAATTAAACAATTTCCACTCAATCATGGTGTGAAGAAAAGTGCTGGCTCTGGATAGAACTCATACTTGAGAAAACCCAAGAACATTTTAACTTGAAAATATTTACACTGGAACCCACAGGAGCATAGAAATAAAAGTAGACCGAAAAACATGGAGAAAGGTGTTGCACACGGGGCTAATGCTTTTTTTCGTATTGCATAGAATTCTGATGTTTTTAACGCCCTCACGAGCTTTACATATGACTGGAGTTTTAGGTATAGTCTGTTTCAGCTAAACTAATCTTGTGTTTGAGCTAAAGAAATCTTGACTAACTATAGTCTGTTTCTGACTTGACTAACTGTGGCCCATGACAATGAACTGCTTGTTAGTCAGTACTACAGTGGAACACCTTTATAATACTGATCTTTTGTATGATTTCTGTTTCCCCTTGTTGTTCCAGAGTTGTCTAGGAGAGGTAGTGGTGGTATCCAACAAATTCAAAGAAATTGGTGACTTTGGATTTAGCCAGCTGACAGCCAGTGCCGTGAAGCCTAAAATTAAACCATTGGTGGACTCTTTCCTATCTACCAGCCATAACATCACAGAGGTCAGTCATTGAAATGTATTATACAAATATAATCTGTAGCCCCATGCTAGTGAAAGGGATCCACAGTAGTGTAGTGGCTAGATGCTTGCCTGATGGCACAAATGTGTAGGATTTAGATCTGCATCAAGATTCATATAAAAATTTTTACCTTGGCTGTCATGTAGACTCATCCTAAAATGGATACCAGGTAAAGTCTTGTGAAGTTAAGGTGGCCAGCATAATATTGACCACTAGGCTGACCCGGTCAAAAAATGCCTGCAGAAGTCGGATTTGTCGGCTGAAATAAGCAAATATTGCAGCCATGCTGTAAACGGACACATCACAGTTACATCTTCGGATGAATGCAGTAGAAGATGTTCACCACCTCAGCCATTGAGTGTTGACTGGTCTAAAAATTTGAGTCTAGCATTATATGCCAGTTGCATGACTGCACAAAAAGTGTCCTTGACTGTTGCTGACATGGTAGTTAAACTAACCATCTGAGTAACATTTGACGACACAGCTGTTTTATTTTCTCTTAAAAATGTTGGGTTCTTATCACAAACCTTCCAGCATGTCACCGTAGCATGTGAGTTCCTTCCTCTCTCCTTCATGACCTGGCTGTTCCCACGGCCTGTCATATGTTTCATGGGGATGTAATGAGATGGTTTCGTTCGGTGTTCGCTCGCCGCATATAATGTTTGTGGGAAGCGCCTATGTACAGGTAAGAAGTACTGCAGGGAAAGTGCCAAATGCGTGACTTTTCGTATTGAAACTGGGATGTTTTTGTATTCCAACATTCATTGGCGGGGGCTTTTCCCCAGAAAAAAGAATCCACTGACAAGGAATGTAGAAATAAAAAACATGCCAGTTGCGATACTCATGAACCGTTCGCAAGTAGCACAAAGTGCAAATAATCATGAGCAGTGACAACATGAGAAAAGAGAAAATGGTTAAACCATTGAAAACAAGGAATACATGACACTCCCACAACATATGACAGGCCGTGGGAACAGCCACAGCATGAATGGGAGGGGTAGGAACTCTCGTGCTATGGTGACTTGCGGGCAGGTTTGTGATAAGTACCAATGTCACCATCATCGTTATATTGAGCCATCATGTTTGAATTGTAAACTATTTTGATGATTTTTAACTATCAAATTGGTGGCACTTTATTCTGTGAAGTTATCAAATTGATAGCTTTTTATTCGCCATTTCATCTCTTGGCTTAGCACAGTTCTTCATTGTTGTCATATATTGAGTCTTAAGTTTCCAGTTATTTACTTTCACAGATTTGAGTGTCATCGGTTGACATTGGTGGTAATAGGGAAGATCATCATAGTTAGTCTCTTCTATTTCATGATAGTTTGTGATTGTTGTTAACGTCTGTGGCTTAGGTGTTGTTAACATGGCTTGTGATTCTGAAATATCCCATTCAGTTCAGCTGTGGACAGTTTGGAAGCAGACCGCTTTGCATTGATTTCCACAAAAGTATGGAGCACTGACCATTCAGTAAGCAGACACACACACAGTTGCATGTAGCATTGCCTTGTAAAACCACACACAGCCAGCAAATGCTGGGGTTAGCTCTGCAACATCCTGTCAAGAAGGGCTATTCAACCAAGTTTACACATGGGCCATACTTTTGAAAATGGGGATTGGTACAGGCCGAAGGCTCGGGCCCCAGCATTGGAAGATCAATAATACAACACAACTAGCAGTAATCCATGGTCCAAATCTGCCCCACAGGCCGCCCCCTTGAATAGCCCTGCTGTAAAGGATATGCGTTTAACTTGTTTTTTTCTTTACAATTATTGTTCTGGTTAATGTTGAGAGAATTTACTGAACAATTTTGACATCTCACAAGATCTGAACATTGCTTTTATTTACTTTGCTACTCCTTCTCTGTCTCTCCGCCCCCCCCCCCCCCCCCCCCACCCAGTAGCAATTCTCCAGACATCCATATAAGTGTAGTAAGAGAGGAATGTATTTTAGAAACTATGGTGGGCTGGCTGTTCAGTTCCTAACAGAATAAAGTCAATGCTAATTACTGGTCCATAACTGCTGACATTTTTTCTGCAGGAGGAGTTCTTTAATTATGAAGCAAATGATCCATGGGTTCAAAACTTTATAGTCAGCCTGGACTCCACGCTGACAACATTTAAGGTGAGCTAGTTTCCTACACTTAGAGTGACTGACTTTTATTTTTTTTAAAATTATTTACCGGCTGTGAATTCCGGCGGAAGGTAAAGGTTAATCGTCCGCTTGGACTTTTGGCTTTCACCTGGACCTGATTTTTGCGTGTACAACCGTTTTACTGTTCCCTGCCTCATGGGCAGCTGTACTCCGACTTCGAAGGAAGACGTCAGGCCTATTTCTAGGATGACTGTGGCCATTGTTTTGTGTGGTGTCCACTTTGTCTCCTTCTCTGCAGGTATTGCCCCCGGAGTACCCCTTTGGGGCAGCCCCCTGTGGGACGGTTAGCCCTCAAGGGAAGGCAGGGGCAGATCATGCGCATTCCCCGCCATCCAAGGAGGCTTCCATGTATGCAGAGCCGGCACATGGCGCTCTGGTTCTGGGCTCACCCAAGGAATCATCACATCCTGTACATGCCTCCTGCTTAACCTCACAACCGTATTAGGCTTTCCGCTCGACAAGGGCTGCGCCCTCTGGAAGTCAGCGGGGAGCAGCCAGTGGGTTTTGGACTTTTGTGACCACCCGAATAGGTACATTTTTTTTTCCTCGCACGTTAGATTTCTTTGACGAGCCGTTAGCCCGACAGAATTTTACATCCTGCATTAGGCATAGGGTTATCAGTTTGGTCCCAACACTCGGGCGAGTGGGGTCTTTGGGTGTGGACATTTGGTCTTTTTCCGTTCAATACAAATTGTGATGGTCAGATTTTGAGCTTATTCGTGTGCCGTAGGATCTAGTTTTGTCGGACATTTAGGCTTAGCCAGCCAATGGGCTGTTGCTGTTGTGGTGTACCTCAGCGCGGTGACGACGACACAGAGGATTAACCAATGATGTACATGGATGGCCAGACTATGGATGGTTGCTGTTGTGGTGTACCTCAGCGTGATGACGACGACACTGAGGGTGAACCGAGGGTGTACATGGATGGCCAGCCTATGGATGGTTGCTGTTGTGGTGTACCTCAATGCGGTGACGACGACGCTGAGGGTTAACAGAGGATGTACAGTGAACAATGTTCTCTTCACTCCGCAATCTTTTAACCAAGGGTTGTGTTTTTAGCTGTACGTTTGGCAAGCATACTCATGTTCCTAATGAGTTTGATAACCTTTTTTTTACCCAAGCGTTTGGGGGCGGACTGATGAGAGTCACATGGACACATCACCTCTGGGGGCCGCCAAACTCTGAGATCCCCTGACAGCTCTGTTAATGCTCATTTGAGACATTATCCGTGGCGCACGACGAGGACGTGCTGCAGGGGTCTTGCGTGAGGTTCCGTAAAACCAGAACAGTGAAGGACTGGCGCCCGAGTGACGTACGGAGTATCTCCTTATACACATCATGTTGGACTTAACTTCCCCTCACGCCTGTGACATAAATCACCGCACCACAATGACTGACTGAATGTTGAAGTATGTTTGCCTGGAATATTATATCCATGTCGACCTTGTGTGTGTTCTGGGATCCAAATTTGTGGGGGGAAAAGATTAGATCAGTTGCTCGCCCTAACAAGCATGTTGAACAAGAATTCTTGCTTGCTACAAACATCCAGTTTTAACATATGGCTGTGAATCCTTGACAATCAGTAGGCAGGCCAAACAATTTCTTGAGGCCTCAGAGATGTGGTTTTACAGAAGAATGCTTAGAATACCTTGGACATCCAAAAAGAGCAACCAGGAGGTGGGAGCCTGAAGATAACTTACCACAGACATCAGGAGACAGTCATCATTTTTCGGCCATGTTATGAGAAGAGGGAAAATAGAACAAGTGACTACTGGAAAGATCTGTGGAAGTAGGGATAGATGAAGACAACGAGAGAATATTCTTGACAGTCTTGTTGCATGGCATGGTGATGTTTCGTCACATGAACTGATACATGCTGCAGGAGATCGAAGATTGTGTAGAGGCATGATCGCTCATGCCCGTCGGCAAGGCACCTGATGATCATCATCATTTTGTAGAGATCTCATAATTTAAGACTAAGTGTACCAAAATATTTCCATGTTAAAGAATCTTTATCAGTGAATACAATAGGTCAGTAAAAGCACTACAGCACTGCCAGTGAACTTGAAAACCTAGTAAATAAATAAAAGTAAAGTAGATAAAAGACTGACTTCAAATTTACAAACTACAGATGTGATGCATAGTTTTAAACTTCATATCTGTTTCTGTATCGTAGTCATGTCGTTTACTCATGAAGCATTCACAAGTGATCTCCATTGCTGTTTGTCTGCAGCTCTTCTGCCCATAGTATCCTGTCAGTTTACACTCCTTCATTTCCCTTTCAGCTATCCTTCCACAGGTTTTCTTCAGTTATCTTCATCATATTTTTTATCTGCGGTTGACTGGAGAGCTGTTCTTGCCAAAATGTCACAAGGAATTCTGCAAACATATCTAAGCCATCTCTGTCTTCTTTTGATAACATTTGCCAATGGTGAACATTCTGTCCTACACAACAGTTCTACATTTGTGATCTTGTTTGGCTAAACAATTCACAGAATACATAAATAAAGAGAAGATATGTGACAATTTCATCACATTACATTTGTGGCTTTAAAAAAATATAAAAACACTAATTGTTTTAGCTTTTTAAATGAAATATGACAATCATATTAAATTTTCAGGATGCAATGACTCCAGCCAATTATGACAGATTTGCCACTGTAACAACCAGTGAAATCACTCAACAACTGGAGAAAGCAGTCACCAAAACAGCATTCAACCGAGTAAGATTTTCCCAACATGTGATTCAGAGATAATGTGTTATTGTTAAGTCTTTTTTTTTTCCTGTTTACAGGCAGAAATGTTTTTTGTTGTGTTTCCTGTTTGGCAAGCATAAATTAATAACATTCTCTAAAATGGTGGCATTTGTACATGTATTTTTAAATCGTCTATGGCTGTCAAGAGTTTAGCAAATTCACAAATGGAAAAACAATTACTTCTTCTTTTTCTTCTTCTTTTCCACCTTGTACCTCCTTGAAGTGTTGGGGGGAGATGTAACATTTGTTGATGAGCTCTGTCAAGAGCACTATTAAGATGGATGTTCATTTCTGTAAGGTTGTTCATAAGGCCATCACTCCATCTTTTTTGAGGTCTTCCACTCACTCTATACCCGTTGTAACGTTTTAGTGTGGCTCGCTGTGGCAGGTAGTACGAGGGCATTCTTGTTAAGTGTCCAAACAGCTTCATTTGTTGTTCTTTGATGACATGTAAGACTGGCTTTATTCCTAGCAATCTTCTGATTTCGTATTCTGTCTTTCCTTGAAACTCCTGCAGCTCTTCTAAGACATTTCATCTCTGTTATCACAATTTTATGTTCACTGGAGGATGTAAGTGTCCATGCACTGACATAGTTTTGGCCGAAAAATAGTTCTGATAAGATTTACCTTAGTAATAGCAATTACTTTGATAGTCTTCAATTGTAATGTTTTACTCCAGACATTTGTTTTCTAACAGATGTCTGAGCACTTGCAGTAGAAACATTTTTTACCTCCATTTACAATGGTCTTTGAACTAACTGATATCTAAACACTGAAAATTTAACCTGCATACATTAACACTGCTACTTTGAATAGCTTGGCAAGCTTCATGATCACATCGCTTGTTATGCTTTTGGGCTAGAGTATGTGAAGGCTCATTACTTCACACCCCAGTACCATTAGAAAACTGTTTATTTTATTTGATCTGCATCATCATCATCAACCAGCATGTCTTTTACAGAACCTTACTCTCTTCGTGGCACACCTGAAAGTTTCTCTTCGTGGCACCCCTGAAAGTTTCTCTTTGTGGCACGCCTGAAAGTTTCTCTTCGTGGCACACCTGAAAGTTTCTCTTCCTTCAGCCAGTTCTCCATTGGGCTTTCATAGCCCATGCATCATCACTGTATGTTTGCATCTGTGCAGAGGTCAGCCTCTACTTCTTGTTCCGAAAACTGCACCCTCCATGGCCGTTCTTTGCCTGGTCACCATGGCCAAAATAGCTCAGTTTTAAGGACAGAATGCTGTTTATGAGCCAATTTTCCTAGTTTTCAGATCATATAGGATGTCAGTGTTGTTCTTCTTCTTGGTCTGCTGTATTCTAAGAATTATTCTGTGGCCTTCCAGTTCAGAAGCTCTAATTTTTTCCTTGAATGTTTTAGTAAGAGTTCATGACTCACATCCATAAGTTGCCATGGGAAAGATGGATGATCTCAAAATCTTTACTTTAACTTGCTTGCAGGTGCTGTGCCAGACGTTCTTTATGCTGTGTATCCTCTGCATTGCTGAAGCAAGCCTTTTTAAGACTTACTTTATGCAGTCGATATCGTTATTTTTCTCTGTAGAGCTTCAATATTCACATTCTGTGACATTTTCTACATACATACATTGTATTTATCATGTAATAGATTAATGTTATTGTGCAGTTTCTGAAAAAGAAAATTACTGCTTTTGAATTAATATTTTTGGCCCAAGAAAGCTGTTTTTAACGGCATTTACTGTTTTTTTTTTTATTGATAAGAAGTGTTTAGGCAATGGCCAGCAAACCTTACAACAGCTGTAGACATGGTGGGTGTGACTATGTGTACCTAAACACAATTTTGGGATATATTCCCATTAGGGATAGAAAAAATTAGGATGTCATTGTTACTTTATAATAACCTTTTAATGATGTCACTTTATTCCTCATGGCTAGGTGGAAAAAAAAGCCCATGTTTTTCATGGTCAAAGGGAAGGAAACCTGTAAATCGTTTTCTGCATTTGTGTTTAGTAACCAATTAACTTACTTAAACATGTTTTTTGATGCAGATAGTCAATAAAACAAAATTATTTTGATTTGATAGCTGTGATATAGCTGTGGACTACACTTGACCGTCTCCTTGGTGGTATAGGGATTCAACCCTCTGGATGTTTATAACATTGCTCAAGACTCCAGATTTCTTCTTTTCTGCAAGTTTCTTAGGCTGGAGTTTCAGAGAATTATAAGGATGTGTTTCCTTTTAACAAAATTTAGAAAGAGGCCATTTCTTAAGAATCTTATGGGGGAAATGGTAAAAGGAAGATTGCTAGGGTATCATGGACCAAGAAATGGAAAATAACTGACATTCTTCAGTATCTGAACTTGCTCATAAACAGATAATTTTTAGAAACTGAGATAATTTCCTTCATATGAAATACCAAAATGGTTCAGAAAAAACACAAATGGAGAACATGGTTAAATGAAGAGACAGAACGTCAAGGACATTCCAGACTAGAAAGTTCATTAAGCAGGAAATTTGGTAGAGGACTGAGAGTCTTTTCCATGGCCACTGGTGAGAGTGACATTCTGCTATGAACCCACAATGAGATTAATATGACTTTGATTGGTTTAGAAATATAACATCTCAACAGTTTACTTTTGATCTTGTTTTACAGTTTACAGCCTTGTCATTTCTGTATCTGTCATAACATTTACAGCTGCAATTATTTATAACTGATGCTGTTTTGAAAATGCATTGGCCATGAAAGCACATAGGGCTGGAAAATTGTCTAGAGAAAGAGATGCCTTCAAGCATGCTAGAAAAGAGTGCCATTCTATTCTGTTGATTGATAATGATCCTTGACAGTACAGTTGCATATTTTTGAATAAACTTTTACAACTAATGTTTTACTGATGTAATCTTACTTTAAAAAAAATATTTTGTGTGTGTAATCTTTAAAAAAATTAATGTAAAATTGTCTGTTTATTTATAGCTTGGAGGTCTACAATTTGACAAAGAGCTCAGGGCTTTAGTCGGCTACTTGTCGTCTGTAACCACATGGACAGTCCGTGATAAATTTGCACGGCTTACTCAGATGGCAACAATCCTCAATTTAGAAAGAGTAAGAACTTGTGTTCATCTTTCTGTTTCTGATTTATATTAAATATTTCTGATTGATATAATTGTGTTATCAGTCTGCCATTATTGCCAAATAAATCAACTTTTTAATTTTGTGAAAGCTCAACCTGGGAGAAATATTTCACTTATTTTAGCATATTTTGTGGATATCTAGTTATTTATATGGCATCTGCCATATAGTTTAAGGCGAGCCAGAAACTGACTTATAAAGCAGTTTATAATTTTGAGATACTGACTTATTAAAGTAGTTTACAAATTAATGTGCAGGTTTTTAAAGCCTGGTGGAAACTTATTTAAGAAGCATTTCACAATTTGATTTGCAGGTTTCAGAAATCATGGACTACTGGGGACAGAATTCAGGTCCATTAACATGGCGTTTGACACCTACAGAAGTCAGACAGATCCTTGCGCTCAGGTATGTCCAGATTTTCACCAAATATGTTTGTCATTGCTGTAGTTTCAAACTATATCTAGATCTCATGTATCCCAGAAAAGATATTTTCTTGTACAGTTGACTTTAGTTTATAATAACTCAGTGTCACCCAGTAAAAGGAGCTAAATGCAATGGAGACTTCTTTGACACGCTGCCTGTATTAACTCCAACCTAAAAGCCTGAAGGATTCTCTGGGTACACATCAGCTGTGGCACTCAGTGGTTTCATACTTTTTCGCTCTGTTAGCCAGTGGTTTCATTATACTGTTTTGCTGTGTCAGTCAGTGGTTTTATTATACTTTTTCACTCTGTCAGTCAGTGGTTTTATTATACTTTTTCACTCTGTCAGTCAGTGGTTTTATTATACTTTTTCACTCTGTCAGTCAGGTGCTCTCTCTCTCCTCATTGAAAGTTGTTTGCAGTAAATCTCCATCTCAGTCACTTGTCCTAGTTGTATACTCTCTCAGACTGCGTTTTTTTTCCATCTCTTGATGTTATCCTTCTGCTTGGATCACTGCCTTCCTCATGCTCACTTGCTTCTACTTTTCCAATCAGTAAGGGGGCCAGTTAGCGCAGTCGATAAGAGGCTGGCTTTCAAATCCAGCTGCGACTCGCTGCAGCCCATGGTCGGTGTTCAAAAACCGGGCGGTTCCCAGGGTTCACCCAGCCTCTAGGAAATGGGTACCAGAATGACACTCTGGGGTATATGGAGGAACGTGACAGTAGCTACAGAGTTACGTGCGGACAGCGACACAGGTGGACAATTTCTTATCTGTAGTCCGTACTGTCGTCAGAGCACTTATGGTTCATAACTGTGTGCAATGACGCTGGTTCACATCTCCCGACTTTACCTTTACCTTTACCATTCAGTAAGATTGTTTTGAAAAAGCATGCTATATATTTGTATGTGGCGCTGTGATTAAAATCACAGGTGTGAGAGACAGTTAAGGTCATTGTGATGTGTATGAGCTATTCCTTACCTCACCTCGGACACCAACCGGCTCTTAATGGTTTTACAGATCCTCATGCATGACTCCTGCAACAAGTCCCAGTTGTGCCCCACAGATAATGGCTCACTTCAGAGACCTGAACCGAGTTGGCAGAGGATCTTGGAGTTTGTGGCCTCTAGAGATGTAGTGTCCAGTCCGGCTCTCATCAGCCCCCCCACCCCCAATGCATGGGTGAAAATATGTCTGTCAAAACTCATTGTGAACATGAGAAAAATATCTCAAAACTCATTTGGAACATGAGTACAGTCTGCTAGCCAAACATACTACTAAATGACAACCCTCGGTTAACACATCTGTCAAGTGGGAAAAACTATCGAACTACTAGATTTAGCCCTGAAACAAGAGATTTGCTTGCAGTGTAGAGGAGCCACATTTCTTGCTGGCGGTAACTCTCAGAACAGTCTTGTCTTCGTACATCCCTTGTTGTCCCCCAATGTCGACGTCACCGTGCTGAGGTACACCATGGCAATCTGCTGCTGTCAATAAGCTCCTCCACACAGAGACTCAACTCAACTCTACACAGAGACTCAACTCAACTTCACACAGGTACTCAACTCAATTCAGCTCCACACAGAGACTCAACTCAACTCTACACAGAGACTCAACTCAACTTCACACAGGTACTCAACTCAATTCAGCTCCACACAGAGACTCAACTCAACTCTACACAGAGACTCAACTCAACTTCACACAGGTACTCAACTCAATTCAGCTCCACACAGAGACTCAACTTAACTCTGCTCCACACAGAGAAGGCCGTATTAATGCTCACAATCTCTTTAGGTTTGCTAACTCTTGTGCATTTGTGTAATTGTTAATAAAATGCCCTTATTGTTATGTTTTTGTTTCTCCCTAGGATTGATTTCCGCAGCGATGATGTGAAGAGATTGAAGCTCTAGCCATGACCCTGGTTTTTTTCAGTAGTTTTGTTTTCAAAGAAGACCGACTTTACAGTCAAGTGAAAGCTGCTACCAACCTACAGCTTTGTGGACATAAAATCCACATCTGGCATGAGTAACCTTGCCTTGTCAACATCTTGTGATCTCCAGCATCTTCTTCATCATCTTCTGCCTTCTTCTTTCCAAGGGCAGTTGGTATGGTGTGTTGCAGTTTACAGCAAGGCTGAAATATCTGTTCTTTTCAGCCCAAAACGCCTGATTTCAGCAAACCCTGGATAAGTCACCTTCTGTGAGATGTTTTCAGGGGGTCATTGGGTCTGTTCTGGTTTTATTCTGTTTTACCACATTAAAACAAAGCATTAGAAGTCACACTGGGAGAATTTGCAGCAAAGTATAACAGTTTGTGTGCTGGCATTTTCCCATGCCATGGTGAGTTGTCTCTCAGGGATTTTCTCTAGCTATCTTCTCTACCACTCTTTCATTAAACCTGTCCAGGATTTATCATACATTCCATTGTATTCTGTCATAAATTGACCTAAAAAATGATGCGGTCTCTTTCAGAACGTTTAGATTTCTTATTTTTGGTTGTCCAATGTATTTTGTTGGATATTTCTGTATAATTACCTTTCTATAATTTCAGTTGATTTTTCTTTTTGTTTGTAAGTTTTTTTGCTTGTTTGCTAAACGCAGCCAAATGTTAAAATTTGCTCTTTCTAGATGTGCATGAATTTGTTTATGAATGAAGTGTGCATCCGACAAGAAAGGTCATATGAGAGGAAGTAAACAACATGTGTACAACTAGTGTGCTGGAAGTGAACAACATGTGTACAACTAGTGTGCTGGAAGTGAACAGCATGTGTACAGCTAGTGAGCTGAAAGTGAACAACATGTGTACAACTAGTGTGCTGGAAATGAACAACATGTGTACAGCTAGTGTGCTGAAAGTGAACAACATGTGTACAACTAGTGTGCTGAAAGTGAACAACATGTGTACAGCTAGTGTGCTGGAAGTGAACAACATGTGTACAACTAGTGTGCTGGAAGTGAACAACATGTGTACAGCTAGTGTGCTGGAAGTGAACAACATGTGTACAGCTAGTGTGCTGGAAGTGAACAACATGTGTACAACTAGTGTGCTGGAAGTGAACAACATGTGTACAGCTAGTGTGCTGGAAGTGAACAACATGTGTACAGCTAGTGTGCTGGAAGTGAACAACATGTGTACAGCTAGTGTGCTGGAAGTGAACAACATGTGTACAACTAGTGTTCTGGAAGTGAACAACATGTGTACAGCTAGTGTGCTGGAAGTGAACAACATGTGTACAGCTAGTGTGCTGGAAGTAAACAACATGTGTACAACTAGTGTGCTGGAAGTAAACATGTGTACAACTAGTGTGCTGAAAGTGAACAACATGTGTACAGCTAGTGTGCTGGAAGTGAACAACATGTGTACAACTAGTGTGCTGGAAGTGAACAACATGTGTACCACTAGTGTGCTGCTGCAACAGCCAGCATCCATGTTTGCTGTGGGAAAATGGAGCATCTTGAATTTCTGTGCTCGCTCCAAATGAACACTGTTGACTTGTATTGTACATTTTGACGTGATCCATTTCTTTAATATTACCATTGTTTCTGCTTACATATTGATCAAGTTGTGATTCCTTTATTAATTTTCTAAATCAATTCTCTGTAGTTTCATGTGAATTGTTATTATCAAGACTGTCAATATCATCATCATTAGCTCTTCATTTTGTGACCACAACCCACAATCCATGGTATACTCTCTACAAAATGAAAACAAATTAGGGAATAGTAAAGGCTGTTGCCTGACCTTCTTCTTTGAGCTCTTGATTGAATGTTAAGATGTTGAAACTATTCAGATGTTTATAAAATTTACTTTAAAAGAAAACCATGGGAGCACTTCACTGGCTACTGAGAAATCTATAAAGCATGTATGGGAATATTCCCAGTGCAGTGAGGTTAACTCTGGAATCAAAGCGTGTTGCCCATGTATGCTGCTTGTGTGTGTTGCCTAAGTATGCTGCTTGTGTGTGTTGCCTAAGTATGCTGCTTGTGTGTGTTGCCTAAGTATGCTGCTTGTGTGTGTTGCCTAAGTATGCTGCTTGTGTGTGTTGCCTATGTATGCTGCTTGTGTGTGTTGCCTATGTATGCTGCTTGTGTGTGTTGCCTATGTATGCTGCTTGTGTGTGTTGCCTAAGTATGCTGCTTGTGTGTGTTGCCTAAGTATGCTGCTTGTGTGTGTTGCCCATGTATGCTGCTTGTGTGTGTTGCCCATGTATGCTGCTTGTGTGTGTTGCCTATGTATGCTGCTTGTGTGTGTTGCCTAAGTATGCTGCTTGTGTGTGTTGCCCATGTATGCTGCTTGTGTGTGTTGCCCATGTATGCTGCTTGTGTGTGTTGCCCATGTATGCTGCTTGTGTGTGTTGCCCATGTATGCTGCTTGTGTGTGTTGCCTAAGTATGCTGCTTGTGTGTGTTGCCTATGTATGCTGCTTGTGTGTGTTGCCTATGTATGCTGTTTGTGTGTGTTGCCTATGTATGCTGCTTGTGTGTGTTGCCCATGTATGCTGCTTGTGTGTGTTGCCTAAGTATGCTGCTTGTGTGTGTTGCCTAAGTATGCTGCTTGTGTGTGTTGCCTATGTATGCTGCTTGTGTGTGTTGCCTAAGTATGCTGCTTGTGTGTGTTGCCTATGTATGCTGCTTGTGTGTGTTGCCTAAGTATGCTGCTTGTGTGTGTTGCCTAAGTATGCTGCTTGTGTGTGTTGCCTATGAATGCTGCTTGTGTGTGTTGCATAAGTATGCTGCTTGTGTGTGTTGCCTATGTATGCTGCTTGTGTGTGTTGCCTAAGTATGCTGCTTGTGTGTGTTGCCTAAGTATGCTGCTTGTGTGTGTTGCCTAAGTATGCTGCTTGTGTGTGTTGCCTAAGTATGCTGCTTGTGTGTGTTGCCTATGTATGCTGCTTGTGTGTGTTGCCTAAGTATGCTGTTTGTGTGTTTTGCCTAAGTATGCTGCTTGTGTGTGTTGCCTATGTATGCTGCTTGTGTGTGTTGCCTATGTATGCTGCTTGTGTGTGTTGCCTAAGTATGCTGTTTGTGTGTGTTGCCTATGTATGCTGCTTGTGTGTGTTGCCTAAGTATGCTGTTTGTGTGTGTTGCCTATGTATGCTGCTTGTGTGTGTTGCCTAAGTATGCTGTTTGTGTGTGTTGCCTAAGTATGCTGCTTGTGTGTGTTGCCTATGTATGCTGCTTGTGTGTGTTTATCTACTAATGTCTTCAGGTGGACGCAGTCTAAAATGTGTGCCAGATACAGTCCTGGCAATTTTAGGTGGCTGGTGTCCTGCTGACCACATCATCCACCCAGTGCTGATTGGTCTATAAACATTTGAGTCTAGCACCATGTGTCCAACATTAACTAATTTTATGTATTCAGCTTTATTTTTGCTCCTTCCCATCTGTAAATCTAGAGAGAGAGACAGACAGACAGAAAGAGAGACAGACAGACAGACAGAGACACAGAGAGAGAGAGACAGAGACACACTGAGACACAGAGAGAGACACAGAGAGAGACACAGAGAGAGAGAGAGAGACAGACAGAAAGATAGCATTAGATACAACACAAGAATGGAGGATAAATGTTTGGAATTTTATTCTTAGCGTTCACTAGCTGAAAACTGCAGGGCAAACGTGGGGACTGACCTGGCCCAAAAAAAAATACAATTGTACATGAACCAATCAGCTTCTGAGTCTGAGGTTGGCAACATTTGTCTGGTTCACACACACCTTGTTTGTCTTCGGTATTCAGTGCTATTTCTGCTTTCTCTTTGTTGACTGGCTTATGTATATATGTTTTACAAACATCTCTTATCCTGTCTACAAGTAAGTTTTCTTACACCTGCAGTCAAGTTAGTTTAGTTTAGTTGATGGATCAACATCATGGCAGGCAGCTGTAAACCCATAAGTGCTCCGTTCTACTTCTAACTCAAGCCTGAGTTTGAAGTTTCTCAGCGCAGTGCACAAACTCCGTTGCACCGGCGAGGATCCTGAAATACTTTTTTGGGTAGATTTTTTTAACTCCAAATTTTGCCCAGGCAGCACCATTAGGCTGTTCTTTTCGATTTCCAACTGCCAAGGGATTTTTTTTTCTTTACGTGCGTGCAGTGTTCTTCATTGTTATTAATTGCTGGCTCGAATGAGTCACAGCATCTTTCCATTCACCAACTTACAAGAACGAGAAAACATGGACGCTGGCAGACGTTCAGAAGTTACACATACCATTTATTTTCACTCGCTGATGTTGCAGTCAGTAAATGTTCATACACAACCGTAGCACTCATCGATTACTTATTCAATGATCTAAACAGTCAGTCATACCTTTGTAAC